AAAGAAAAAAAAAAGGATTGGACAAGTAATTACAAACTTATTTGGACATGCAGTAAAAATAAATGGATAACCAATACGAAGCGATTGGATAATCAGTATGAACACATTGGATAATCGTGTTACAAAGGAAAAAAAATAATTGGATAAGCGGCATAAGCAGAATGGATAACCAGTATTAGCGTATCGGACAATAATTTTCTCCAAACAAAAAAAAATGGATAACCAGTATAAATAGTTTGGATAGGCATATAAATTCGTTGGATAACTAGTATGTATAAGTTGGATAAGCATGCAAACCAACAAGTGAATGGATACCAAGTACAAACGAGTTGGATATTCAATGCAAATAAGTTTGATATGCATACAAACCCGTTGGATTATAACTACAAAACAAGTTGGAAGTTAAATAGGCATAAAAACCAAATGGATGGATATCCAATACAAACGAGTTAGATATCCAGTACAACCAAATGGTTATCCAGTACAAACAAGTGAGATATCCATTACAAACAAGTTTGTTAGGCATACAAACCAAATGGATGATATCCACTACAAACAAGTTGGATAACCAGTTCAAACTGGTTGGATAATCAACATGAACACAACGGATAACCAATTTAAAATAATTTGGTTATCCATCTTGTAAAACTGGATATCCACTTTCATTCTGCCCATCAGAATTTAATCACTTTTAAGCATAAAAAAAATATTCACTATGGATCTTGTTGGATAGATCTCAACGAGAACAATAAATTTCATGTGTAACACGTTTTCTAATTTTTCCCGGATTGAGAGATATGCTTGTTTAAAGATTAGAAATGTTTTTTTGGAGAAGAGAGAAAAAATTGACAGAAACTAAACTTGCAAATTATATAATATAATTTAGAAAAGTGAAAAAAGTGTAGTAAGGACTAGTAGTGCAAAAAAATAAGAGGGGTACACGGTGCCCCCGGATATACTGGATAGAGACTCGGTCCAAAATATGTTCTTTTTGTTCTGACAGCTAATAATTGCCTCGGCAATATCACTAGGCTAGTTTATTTACATGTTTTACTTTGTAAATTTGTGAGTTTTGTAGTATTATTTTAATGTGGAATATTTTGTGAGATATAGGAAATATATCCATTTATGGATATCTCGATACAAATAATGTAGGTTTATTGAGAAAGAGAAAAGATTTTATCAACACGTTGTGTTCACACAAATCTGTTACATTGAAAAAATTACATCTATTTTTTCTTTAAAAATAGCCATTTGAAACTCAAAAATGGAGCAAAGACCATGGCGGAGTTTGGGAAATACTCCTTCCTTCCCAAAAACAAAAACAAGAAAATAAAAAATAGAAAAATAAACGAAGGCAAATTAATCAAGCCAGATATATGTAATGGGAAAATTGATTGTTGTTTATTTATCAGGTACTATGTACAAAAAATCGAAATAGACATATAATAATAATGAAATAAAAGATGAGCAACAAGTTGTTGGATTATACACACACACACACATATATATATATATATATATATATTTATTTATATTAAGATGATAGCAAATCAAGTTCCTTAGCTACTTTCCAATATCCTCGCAATGATTCATGCATTGTTTGTAACAAGCGAAATTATAACCTCCGCCGCCCAGATCAATGGTATCAATGCAGGCAGTAAGACATTGTTTAAGACAATAAGCTTGATCCCATTGGTTATGCGGTTGAAACGCTGCCGGGGAGGCTTCCGCCTCCGGCACCAACAACACCGCCATCATCATCACCACCACCACCCATGTGCATTTCTTCATCCTCACATCCATACGTAGTCCCTTATTTGATTTTTTTTTTTTTTGTAATGTATATTTTCTCTGTTTTGTAAATTAATTTGGTGATAACCTGAAATGACAAATTTATATTGTTGTGAAACAATGGAGGATGCATTGAATTCGGAAATCTGGTGGATGCAGCGTTTGGTTTCGAGAACAACGACACATTTTTACTAATTTATTATTATAGTTCTGCTTAAATGAAAGCAATCTTCTAAGAAGGATTAATGCGAAGTCCTTATGCCATCCGCACGTACTGTGAAACTACTAGTATAATAATTTACATTTTAGTGATCCCCCTTAAAGCTTGGTCAAATATTTAAAAAAAAAAAAAAAAAAAAACTGAACCTTTTATCTTTCAGAAAAGAACCACTAAATTATGTTGGCGCGTTACTAGTATACCGACTAAAAAAATTATTGTGTTCGCGTTACGAGATAAATAATTACATAATGACGTTAATGAGAATAATACACTGTTTGAAACGTCTTTTCTATTATTATTGTTTTGGCTTAATCCAAGTAATACGTTAAATTATAACAAGATGTGGATTTTTATTTTATTTTTTTGAGACAAAAGGAGTAAAATTTATCAAAATTACGTTAACAAAAGAAACTAGTAATAATGTAAACGAGGGTTCATGTCGCCCCTACTTTTATACTCTTATTACAAGAGGAGAATAGGTTGTAAGCATTACTAAGGCTTTTGACCGCTGGTTAGCTTGTTATTATCCTCCAAATGTGAGGGAGGCGGACACAACGACCTTATGCATTCTACGTAGCATATATAATTAAAACCTCCGGTGATCACGTCAACGCAGCCAACGGCACATTGAGCAGAGCATGTATCATCACCATCTAATGCCTTCCTGCTGGTTTGTTCTTCTTCTTGAGTTAGTGTCGGATCACCGGCCGCCACCGCCACCGTCGACACTGCCACCGCCAGCACGATCACCCATAGACATTTCTTCATCCTAGTCGTATCCATCCCTTGCTTAAATTTTTTATGTCTTTTTTTTTTTTCCCTCTAAGCTGTTTTGCGAATTTTGTGAAACCTTGGAAAGGCCAATTTTATATTGGTAGGAGAAGCATTGAAACAATGGGACTATGGGAGGACTAATTTAAGTTCCAAATCTTTTCAGACACGTGGAATCATTTGTTTGTCATAATGACAGAATATTGACAATAATGACTAATTTACTGCATTATCTATATCTCTATTATGACTAAATAGATGGACTGATGGAGTACTCTTTTCCTTGTCTTAATATAATTTTCCTAATTTTGATTAATTAATGTATTATAGTACTACAAAAAGACATGAGATAATTATTTTGCTTAGTGTAAAAATACATAGTCTGAAAATGTTTCTCTTTTCTATATGTGTCAAGAGCATCTCCAACCATTGTACTATAATTTGCACCAAATTTAGTGCAAAAATAGAATGTTCCAATTTTTTTTTTTTTTTTGCACCAAAACTTTTTGAACTCCAACCTTTATGCACCAAAATGTCCAAATATTTTAGTTTAAATATCATTTTGTGACTTAATAAAATTTTGTAATTTGGTGATAATTTTGTAAAGTTTGTTTCTTATAATCACTTTTTATTTAATTTTAGAAATATAAAAATAAAATCAATTTTGTTTCATAATCAGTTTTAATATGGCTTAAAAAAGCTTATGAATATATTTGGACCGGACCTTAATTTCTTGGGCCGTACAGCGGATTTTGGAGAAGCAATGAAATATAGCAAAATTCTCTTCTTGCTCAACCAGGAAAACGAGAGGGAAAGTAATAAAATTTCAGGACATTTATGTCGATTCAGGGTGAAGATCATTCCTCTGAATCATCAAAAGAGATGAAAGCTATATAGACCATGTATATATATTTCGCAAGAGAATTTTGACCTGATGGTAATCTACACATCTTCTCTTGTATAACTGTATTTTACACCGTTTTTATTTATCATGAATTACAGATAAACAATACAATACTCGAAATGTCTTTTCTTTTTTATTATACTTTTGTTTACTCTAAGCAGTATGTTAAATCATAACAAGATGTAGTTTTTTTATTATTATTTTTTTTTAGACAGAAAGAGTAAATTATCGAGATACATTAACAAAAGAACCTGGTAATAATGTATAAATGAGGGTTCATGTCGCCCCTACTTTTATAACCTTAGGATTATTACAAGAGAATCGTTTGTAAACACTACTACTAAGGCTTTTGACCGCTGGTTAGCTTGTTATCCTCCTCCAAAAGTGAGGGAGGCGGACACTTGGAGCTTATGCAATTTTTGTAGCATACAGGATTCAAAGTTCCGGAGAACGGGTCGATGCAGCCAACGGCACACTGAGAAAAGCATGTCTGATCACCATCTAATAGCTTTCTGCTGGTTTGTGTTGAATCACCGGCAGCCGCCACCATCATCGCCGCAGCCATCACCACCACGATCGCTATCCATACACATTTCTTCATCATGTCTTACTTAAGTTTTTTATGTCTTACCCTTTTTTTTTTTTTTCTCTCTCTATCTCTCTTTTGCGAATTTTGTGAAAAGCTTAGAAAGGCCAATTTTATGGTGGTAGGAAGAGTGGAAAAAATGGACTGTGGGAGGCCTAATTAAAGTTTAAATCTTACCGGATACGTTGAATCATTTGTGTGCAATAATGACAGAATATTGACAATAATGACTAATTTACTACACTATCTATATCTCTATCATGACTAAATAGATGCACTGATGGAAGACTCTTTTTCTTGTCTTCTTAATATAATTGTCCTAATTTTGATTAATACTCCCTCCGGTCCTTATTATAAGGCATTTTGATTCCGTCTTAGGTTTAATTTATGTTTTTTTTAATTGAAAAAAAAATCTTAAATATATAATTTTATATTAGTTGTGTTGTCCTAATTATTATGAAATGTTTTTAAGGTTTTTCTTTCTATTAGAAAGACATCATAGGTGAAACCTAGGACGATATCAGAATGTCTTATAATAAAGACCCGAGGAGTATATTATAGTAATAATACAACATAATAACAGACAATTATTATGTTGCTTAATGTAAAAACACATACTCAAAAAACGTTTCATGATTGGTTTAGAGATCATGTGTATATCCCTGACATAATTTGGAGAGTGTCAACAATTAAGAAAAGAAAGGAAAAAGAAGATCCTGACATCCTAGAACTGTATGATCCAATCATTTATGACAAAGCGCCGTATGTTGAGGCGGATCAAACTCCAAACTATAAGAAATTAATATGGCCCAAAGAAGGTTGTAAAAGGCTTGCGAATAGAGCTGGACTAGGCCTTATTTTCTTGGGATACAGAGCGGGTTTTGCAGAAGCACGCAGCAAAATTCTCTTCTTGTTCAATGAGGAAAACGAGAGTAAATAGAACTTCAGGAGATTTAATCATTTATGTCGATTCAGGGGGGATGATCATTCTACTGAATCAAAGAGATGAAAGCTATATAGACCGTGTGTATTTCGTCAAGAGAATTTTGACTTGATGGTAGCCAACACATCTCTTGTATAACTGTATTTACACAGTTTTTGTTACTCTGTTGGAGTATAATTTACCTAGATCATGAGTTACAAATGGCCTGATACCAAAGTAAGTAACTGAACTAAGGAAGATACAGACTAAAGCTACATATACTTTGAACCAGATGGACGAGAAAAATGTAAGGTAGGTAAATATGCCGGTGATTATGATCACTCCAGCAAAATTAATGAAGCATCTCACTGTCGAAAGCTCTTCTTCTGTCCCTTCATTTGGGAAATGGCCATTTGCAGAAAAATCTGAAAGTAGCTTATCTTTGAACTGAAATGTGTCCATCAACCATGAGTTAGCTTCCTTCTCTAATGATGGGATCTTTGAAAGAGGAATCCGTCTCACATGAATATGTACTTCAGAGGGTTCAGTGCCGAAAGCATTGTCCAAGAAAGAAGGGCATCGACGCTTGTATGCAATAGTTAGATCATAGACTGCATCATGAAGGCAATAGATTGGTCAAGATCTGCTGTAGAGATGCTAACAACGAACTTCAAACAGATAAAATGCAACAAAAGATCTTGAAAGGAGATACCAAATCCAATGCGTATTCAACATAGCTCAAGTTAAGGATTATGATTTTGCAGATATACCTGCATCCAAGGAGGCTCTAAGGGTTTCCAAGCAGATATGGAATCCTTTTGTCTTCGGAAGCAGTACATTCTTTAATACAGGTAAGCCATTTTCAGCTGCAAACTTCTGACTCCTCTTACACTTCTCCTCCCTACACAATAAAAGGAACGGTTAAATAAAAGATAATGCATTTTGGAGGTACTTTGTACAGATTCAAAACATTGATCTAGTTGTACATAGAGGATAGCAGGAAACATGGCCAAATAATGTATTCTATATGCACAGAAATTTTCCAAGTCTCATTTTGTTAAAGTAGCAAGTGATATTGAAACCAACATTGTAGATGCTTTATATAATGTTTGAAGAATCAAAATCAAATAGGCTCTGAGACAAAAATCAAGGAGGAAGGATCACGAGTTCTTACGTATAATCAGTGCCTTCAGGAAAAACAGTTAGCCATAAGGGATCCTGACGATCAGTAAAAGTTGACAGAATTTGACGCAATACAGGTTCATCAATATCCCATTTCCTCTCCACAGGGATGAACTCTAAAACGTGAAAACCCCAGCCAAAAATTGGCAGTTTCATCAAACTGCTCTTCAATACATATTTGATTGACCCCAAGCACCCTTTTCTCAATGCTAGATCCCATGGATACATCCAGTCAACCTCTGTTCTGTGATTTGCAATAAGCAGAACACGCTCCCCTTTTGGAACAGTCTCTCCAGAAAAGATCACCTTCGTTTTGTTTATCTTTTCAAAGAAGAATGGCCATAGACCAAGCCATAGACCAAAAATGTAAAAAACTGCTTTCCGACTGTAATGCACGCTAAAAAGACGCAATAGAACTACAACAGCCGGTACAAAGTACACTAGAAACATAAATGCTGTTGAAATGAATATGACTAAGCATATCAAACCCCTAATAATCCTCGGCGGGGTCAGTGCAGTATGAGTAAAATTATCTGTAGAGGGAACTTCCACATGTTCAGTCATCTTCAGACTAAACAATCCAACAGGCGGGAACTTCACCTCAAATTAGGAATAAAAAGGCCACAGTGGTCACTGGAAGTAACTTGAAAGGTATGTCTCATAGAGTTTGAATCTGAAAAATAGATACAGAAAAATCAAGACAGGGTCAAAGTGTCTGCTGGTCTACAAAAGACTGAAAGAGTGGTTCCCTTACACCAAAGTATCAATTTCGAAATTAGATGGCAAAAAGAGGCACGCATCAACTACCTTTCAACTAGAATTTGGCAAGCAGCATCACAAAATTAGTTGAAGCATAGTTATTATGCACCAAAAAAATCAAAAACACCAACTTCTCCAAATTAAGAATTGTAATTTGCCTTTTAAGCACATGTGGAATTAAAATGAGTAGGTAGATATACTGCCCACTTACAGAGCCACCAAAACAACTGTTTAAAAAACTCATCTTTAAAGTCCATGATGGAGGCTAATGTGCTTGAATATGAGTTTTAGGTTTTCTGCTATGTATTATATCGTCAACTTATCCATCATGCGCAGACATGATCAGTTGCCCAACCTTTTCGAGGGAAAGTTGAGAAACAACAAGACAATCATCAAAATCAGATGAAGAAAGTCCATATAATAATCGCCCCCACAACGAATGATAAAAGCTTTTCACCAACTTAATCTCAATTGAACACAGATGAGAGACTAAATCAACTTTTGACCAAATGGGATTTTGGAAGAATTTTCCTTTGAGCCGGCACCCATTGAAATAGGGAATTAAAAAAAAAAAATCAATTTGTCACCATGAAGAAAGGGAGAAAATCTAGCAACAGTCATAAACCGCATCGAGAGCCATTAAACACCAAAGGGTACGAGTGTCTGACTTCAGAAGAAGAAAAAAAAAAAAAGAGCATACACCACAAATAGAAGCAGTTAAAAAATGTTAAAAGAACAAGAATTTACAAATAACACAAACAGAAAGACAAAAGAAGAAATCTTGGTTGTTTATGGGTTTATACAGTACAGGCACGAGAAATTAGAAAGGAAAGGAAAGATTTTGTTACCATGAACAGAGGCAACCTCGAAAAGCTCCGAAACGTCGACATTGTCAAAGCAAGAAGATAAACTCCCCTGAATCTGCTCCCCTAATCAATAGAACAGTATTTCTTTAGTACTCCTCTCTGTTTTTATTATCATTTATATTTATGACTCTTCGAGAATATATGCAGAAGAACCGAAGAAGAGCCCAAGAAGTTTGTGTATTTATTGTGATATATATTCTTCTTGTATTGTCTATATAGCATTAAAAACTGTTTGGGACCTTTTGGAGAATTTTATCTGGTAACGATCTGATCTAATTTTTCCCCAGAGTTTTTAAAAAATTGGATCTTGGCATCTTTTTGGTGATGTGAACTGGGCATTATGGTTCGATCACATGTGAATTAACGGTGAGGATTTGGGGTTTGCTGAGGGGTCAACGTCTTCAGATTGGACTCTGGATTTACAGCAGAAGCTTCCCCCCGATTGTAACGCCTGTTTTTAACATTATTATATAATTAAAAAAAATAAATAAAGTTGTTAAGGTGTAACATTGGAAAGTGAATACATAAACAAACTTCTTCAAGTTGGATTTGGACACAAATTGGGCAGCCATTCGAGCTTTCCTTTGTCCCTTTCTTCTTTGTTAAGTTTGATCTGACGAAACGTCTGTCCTATTCTTTCATAATAAATCGTGTGTTCAAAGTTATTACGGGATAAATGAAAAATTAGCATTGAGTGTGTTTAGAAAAAATAGAACAAAATTACTGTAATCTAATTACAAAATATATTTGAGATCGCAGTGATATCAAGGATCGATGGCCTTAAACATTATTAGTAACAAAAGATCAATTATAATAATACGATAAAAGCGACAACATTTTTTTACATTATTGTAAGTTAGTGATTGTGGAAATTAGAAACAAGTAGTGCTCTTAGTCTGGTCGATCATATACATAATGATGGAACTCACTATAAGTCTAAACTTATCGAGCCTATCATATGCGGGGTTGTTTTTATTAAAAAAATTTAATCAAAAATAGTTTAACTACATTATAAAGTTGATGATAGACTATTGTATGAGAATGATTTTAACCAAACACACTATAAAACATTAATGTCAGAAGAGATTGATTTTAACTGCGAACTATTTATGTCTCCCCCCTTTAGTTTCAACTTTCAATGGGTGTATTTTTATGGTAGAGAAATGTAACAGTGCAGGGATTTTATTTATTTATTTTTGGAGTTGTGCCCTTCATTGGCTTTACTCTTCACCATTTTTTTTTTTTAAAAAAAATCACTAACAGATTCAACTCAATTCACTAGTAACAACATAAGAGATAAGACTAACACCTGATGTTGTTATTATTGACTGAGAGGTTAAAATTCCATTTGGACAATTTAAAGGAAAAAAAAAATTGTTAGTACATCCTAAAATGTAATGAGCTTCACAAATCCGGAATCAAATAAATGCAAAAATGCCATTAAAATTGTGCTTTTGCTTTGTTTCTTTTGATAATTTGAATAGTTTGATGTAATCTGTTACACTTTGATGACAATTGTTTATATTTTTAGTGTGAGTTTCTTATAATGTGAACAAATAAATGAAAAGAGGTTGAAGAGGGGAGATTTCCTTGAAGCTATATAAATATCGGACCATAAAGGGTTTCTTCAGTGGTAAATTTGTTAATTATAATTTTCTTTTCTCTTTTTTTTTTTTTTAAATAAGAAAGATTCTAAAAAATATATATATGAAGGATATAAAAAAAGGGGGGAACTTATTAACTCTGGGCGGCTGCACTCTGGAATTCCTTGTACTAAAACCCTAAACCCTTACATATCTGTCGAACACTTGGAAGAAAAAACCCGACCACGCCCGAATATCAAACACAGTTCAAGCTAAAATCCTTGTGTATTCTACCGATTAATTATCATGGAATCGACCGACGGCGGCGACGAAGAGCGGACGACAAAGGGCTCGGCTTGGGACTTGCCTGATTTGCCCACCGGAACTCTGCCGCCACATATTCAACTTCAGAAAACCCGGGTCGTCTGCAACAAAGAAGCCCCAACTAATGTATTGCTCCGATTAGTTGCACATTTTTTTATTTTTTTATTTTTACATTTTTTTGAGGATTTAATATTAATTTTGTGTGAGTTTTTGATTGTTGTTTTTCTGGGTTCTGAAGACAGAGAATGTACAATATGCGGGTGCCTATGCTGCTGCGGGTGTTGATAATACCGTTCGCCTGGATGATTTTCGGGAGAATTTCCGAGTGGAAGTGATTAAACTTACCGAGGATGATATGGAGTTTGATTTGATTGGTCTTGATGCTTCCATTGCCAATGCTTTTCGCCGGATTCTTATTTCTGAGGTTCGTCCCAAACTTCTGTTTGAACCCCTTAACTCTGAATACTTATTGACAATTATGCTTCAAATAAGTTTTGTTTTCTCTGTACCCGTTGAGATGAGAAGGAGAAAATGCTAAAACTGTGGTTGTTTCTGGTACATTAACTGCGTAGTAGAAAAACAAGATATCAGATATTTTGGTAGAAGTCACCTTAATTAAGAGTTTGGTGTTTAGTTTTAAGTTTGAAGATGCCATCCTCACTGGAAAATGAAAAACAAGGCTTACTTTAGGGAAGATGAAATGTAAATTAATCAAGGGGCGGATGTTCTGTGTTTTCTACTCTGGGATTGTTGGCCCATCACGGGCATAATTGTTTGTTTATAAAAGAAGTTGGTTTTCGAAGATTGTTGAACTCTTTTTTTGTGTTGTGTCTGACTGTGTTGCAGCTTCCCACCATGGCCATTGAAAAAGTTCTGATTGCTAACAACACTTCTGTTGTCCAAGATGAGGTGTTAGCTCACAGACTCGGTCTTATACCACTCAACGTTGATCCAAGGCTGTTTGAATATATGTCAGGTTTTGTATCTATCTAGTTCCGATATCTTTTGTGTTCGTCCTCTTTGGGATGGTCTGAGGAAATGAAGCTTGTTTTTTTCCCCATTTCCATCAAATAAATGGGAATTCCATTACCAGTTCGCTCGCAAATAACTCATTCCTGTTTCTTTCCAGAAAATGATACAGCCAACGAGAAGAACACTATTGTTTTCAAATTGCATGCTTCATGTGCAAAAGGTGGTTCTAGAATTACAGGTACCTACCGTGCTGTATACTATTTCTATACTGCATTTTTATATCTGGAAACTTTGTCATCAAGCCACAACCATTTGTGTTTTACTGTCTTTATAATATTCAATGCAGTTAAGTCAGAAGAGTTGAAATGGTTGCCTAATGGAAGTGAGTTTTTGCTGGCGAAAGGCAATTCGGCTTCAAATCAAGACTCTAAACAGAAAACTTATACTTCGTTCAGCTGCAGCCAAGATTCTCTGCCAGAGTTTGCTGATAACCCAATTGCTCCTAAGCATGCAGATATAATTATTGCGAAACTTGCACCTGGCCAGGTAAACCAGCTATATGATTTGCAGTAATGCTTCTCTTGGTAGCCATTATTTCTTTATCCATTTGTTATCACTTTATAGCAACATTTAAAGCAGCCTCACAGATGTCAACTTGATATTGTTCATGATATTGGAAGCTTTGTTCTTATAGATGTCTCTTAATGTCCTCTTTGTTTTCCAGGAGATTGAACTTGAAGCACATGCTGTTAAAGGCATGGGGAAGACCCATGCGAAATGGTCTCCAGTGGCTACTGCTTGGTATAGAATGCTCCCTGAGGTATTTCTGAATGCTTTTTACATCTTGTCCTTGTTTTATTGTGTCATCCAGTGTAATATATGTGGCAAAGTTTTCTATTTTCAAATTTCAAATTGATCAGTCCTTCATTCTGTTTTTTTTTAAAGGTTCTGTTGTTGAAACCTATAGAAGGCGATGAAGCAGAAGAACTTGTGAAGAAATGCCCTGTTAAAGTGTTTGATATCGAAGATATTGGTAGAGGTTAGTGGACATTGGACATTCACCTTAGTTGATATGAAGTTTCTTGACATGAGAATTAGGTTGCGTGACTTTGTGGCATTTGCCCTGCTGCTTACATTTTGCCATTTATTAGAAAATTTTCTCTCTGTATTTGCTTCTACCTAGGGGTAAAGAGGGCAACTGTGGCACGACCAAGAAATTGTACTCTTTGTAGAGAATGCATCAGAGGAGATGGCTGGGAAAAGCTTGTGGCTCTACGACGTGTGAAAGATCATTTCATCTGTAAGTAATTTGGTTCTTGTTCTTTAGATAATTCCAGATGCATAATTCTGTCCAATATTTTCCCCCATTTCTTATGGTAATGAATCAGCCCGGTCATCACGCTTAAAGATTTTTCCTACTTGAGTTGGGATGCTGGCTAAGGTTGTCCAGCTTATAATCTTGAACTCCGTTTTTTCATTGGGAACCACAGAAATGTTAGGTGGTTGACAAAAATAAATCCCATGAATTTTTGCTTTATATTTGGGCTTAGTACTGTGTACTACAACCAGGTTTTCATTTGTGTTAAACACTTAGTGATAACATATATCGACTTTTAAAGGCCCAAACTACACAATTTTATTATGAAAAGTAACATTTTAATAGGTTCTGTAGTTGTTTCTGAAACATTTTTGAACTCTTGTGACTGGGGAGTGGGGATGCTTTTTAGTTCATTTAGTTGCGGTGACTTGAAGAAAATTAGCAAATCTTATTGACATGATTATGGCTTCAATGCTGTAGTTACCATAGAATCAACTGGAGCATTACCCCCGGAGGTTCTGTTCACAGAAGCAGTGAAGATCTTGGAAGACAAATGCGAAAGAGTGATAACGGAGCTCTCATAATTGGATTCAATTGTTTTTTGGATGGAGGGTAATATTGAATTCAAGATATAAGATGCTCCTCAGCGACTCCAAAGAGTTCCATTGTCACGAGCTGCACACTCGGCTTCCAGTAATGAAATAGGATATAAATGAGTAAGGAAAAGCAGGAGATATCTTATTATCTTGCCTGTATTTTTGTCTTCCAGCAGAAAAAAAAGAAACTTTATCTAATTTGTTGAGTTGCCCGCTTAAATACGCTCTGCTTAGTATGCATGCTTGATTTTCTAGTGTGTGCGTAGGGTTCTCTCTTTTCCCTGTAACTTTTGCTGTATGGTGAAATTCAACGTGGCTTCTGGAAGCACAAGTGTTGATACGCATTCAGTAATCAGTAGTGACTGGCAATCTGGCATTATCTTATCTCTTTCATCTGGAAAAATTGGGATTGCACGTCAATTGCACAGGAGAAATTGACCAACTTCCTCGACATTTTTCTTCTTTTAAAAGTGTTCAATCGATTATTTCGGAGTATAAAAATTGAATTTTGGCAAAAGTCTCATTGAAAATGAATGTTTAGAATTCTAGAATATATTTTAAAAGAGAATCATCTTGCAGAAAAATCAAACACCTTTACTTTATATGACCACCATGCCTGCATATTCAAAATGAAAAGGCATTATAATGGAACTTTCAAATTCAACGACCAATTCACACGTAACATCTTAAAATACATCCCATTTTCAAAGGCAATATCAAAGTCAAGAAATCAAATACATCAGGTTTGTTTACTAGAACCCTACGACGACTTTCTACTGAAACTTCTAATATAATTAAGGTCTGCCACTTTTCATAAATCCTAGAACGTGATGTTTGAAAACTAAAGAAACCATTTATTTAAAACGATGCTTTGCTAATCAATGATGCGTACATTTACACTTTTTTTTTCTTCGGGACTGATTAAATTAACTACGAAGGAAGTAAATTTGAGTCCTCAACTCAATCCAAATATTCAGCGGAAATTGAGCATTCAATCTTTTAGAAGAAAACTGATCGGATGATATTATGGTACCAGAACTGATTCGTTGCATCAATTACTACTTGTCGGAGCATCCAACGATCGTAGGATTCCGGTGGAGCCCGACTCAATCATGGGGATCAACATGGTCTTTTCTCATTTTTTCCATCTCAACTTATATTCTCACCTCCATCGTACTCCATTTCTTCCTCTACATCATCGGCCGGAAAAAGCCAGTCCCATTAGGAATCGTCCCGGCAGTTTACAGCCTCTTTATGTCACTCCTTTTCACCACAATCTTCGCCGGACTTCTCACCTCATCCGCCGCGGAAATCCAAGAAACTAAATGGTTCTGGAGAAGATTCAAGACCCCAATTGAATGGCTCCTCTGTTTTCCCCTGGGAACTCGTCCCTCCGGCAGAGTATTTTTCTGGTCCTACATTTTTTACCTCTCCCGATTCCTCCAGATGTTCAACACATTCTTCACTATCCTACGAAACCGCACCCTTTCTTACGTACAGCTCTTCAACCATTCCACTCTCATCTGCATGGCATTTCTTTGGCTGGAATTCTCTCAATCGTATCAAGTTCTGGAAATTCTGTTAACAACCCTCGTATTTGCAGTCATCTACGGGTATAGATTTTGGACGGAAATCGGAATGCCCAGAGCGAATTTTCCGTTTGTGGTTCTGAATTTCCAAATCTTGCTGCTGGCTTGCAATCTGGTGGGCCACATTGGAGTTCTTCCTCTGCATTTTCTGAAAGGCGGCTGCAATGGAATGGGAGCTTGGGCATTCAACTCTTTGGTCAACGGCGTCGTACTTTTCCCGTTGTTGAGGTATTACGTGAAGATCACGCGTTTAAGCAGCCAGAGATATGTTGTTTCGCTCAAGCCGGAACCAAAATGGTGATCGGAGTAATCAAGCATTACCCGATTCTGTACAAATTTTGTTTCATGTACTCGATTCTTAGTAGACAGTTTGATCGTGATTCTTAAGGTTTCTAAGGTGAAACAAAGAAAGAAAGTTGAATAGGTAATTGAATGAGTCATTTGGAAAATAAAGGTTAGTCAAATGTGACGTGGATACATTTGGACGTTGGAAATCAAATGGAAGAATTTTCCCTCTTTCCATATTCCGTTGGGCTTTGGCCTTGAAAATTGCACCAGAATGGCCAACTATGTAAATCATCGTGAAATTTGATAACCATTTGGCTCCTTTTGGTTGATATGGTTTATTTGCCGATTTAGAAAGTTTGAAATTGTGTAATCAAGGCAACGAAGTTGCAGAATCAATAGCTATAAGTTTGGTTTTCGGATGTCACCGATGTAACATATTTTGGCAATATCTCCGATGAAAATGACAAATTTATGTTTTATCATCAAAGTTCTTCACAACTTTGGATCAAAACTGGACCTAAATATCTATTCTAAGCTATATAGACCAATAAAAACCTAAACTAAATACTCAATATCACTTTTCTTTTCTAAGCTAACACTCTAATACCTTCAAAGTACTCCCTGTCAAAATCATGTCATGAATTTACTATACTTTATACGTTTATTTAAAGAAGAAACGTACGTAATTAAAAAAAAATAACTAGATGAATCAAACATCCTTCGTGCGTACGGGTTTAAAATAAATATGTATGAGTCATTGTTCAAAGAATTTAGCTAAAACGTCTATAAAATACATCACCAACTATTACTTACAAATTGTAAAAGTATAAAAGACTTAAAATTTTACTAAAATTAAGAATACATTCATGTTTCTAAATTTTTCTGTTAGAACCAACGTTGTTTTTTAATCTTGCAACTTATCTTCATGTTCGTGATTAGCCAAAACTTGCACATTAAAGTTCCAATTGGGTTGTCAGAAAAATAAATCAAAATAAACTTGTAAAATAAGAAAAAAATAGATAAAAATTGAATAAGAGATAAGAAAGAAGAAGTGAATAGAAAAATGAAAGACTCCAAATAAAATATGATCCTTAAATAGTTTTAGTAAAATATATTGTAATGGTTACTAAAATAGTAAATGAAAAGACTCCAAATAAATGAAGCAACTAACAAAAAATATTATAGTTAAAAACAAAAGACTAAGAAAGATGAAAATAAAATTTCCATAAAAAGAACACAAAATGAAGGGAAGATGAAAAGAAATGAAACGTTTTATACTAAATAATAGAAGATGAAAAGTAATGAAACGTTTTATAATAAATAATAAAAGATGAAAAGAAATGAAAATTTCAGCAATCTCAGTTAAAGATTACGATAAATATAACAAGAGAAAGATGAAGAGGTGCACTAATTTGGCTTAAAAAGAAAATAGAAGCATGTGAGAATCATGTGAGAGGACTACAGAGCTCAATCCCATATTCCCTAATTATAATATATGTTAATAATAATACTCTCCCCGTCCCATGAAAATAGTTCAGTTTCAAAATGTACAACTCTTTTAATTTAGCCAACCCACCAAAGGTATAACTCATTTTAAGCTAGAACTTTTCACTAATTCCCTACTTATAAATTATAATCCATATCCCGGTTTTAGGAATCAAAACGCAGCCATCGCCGAAAAGCACAGAGCAACCGAAGTTTTCTTTTACTTTTCTTTCTTCCATCAAAAAACATTCTATTGCCAAGATTCTCCCTTTCTCCCCAACCTTTTTTTCGGCCGGTTGTTACTCAAGGAATGCATACATTGCATTACAAGCTTGGAAAGAAGCCATGTTCTCAGATATCACCACCGATGTTTACTGTGTTCTGGCGTTGGACAATCCCAATATCACCACCATTGCCGGAATCGACCTCAACCACGCCTATATTGCCGGATACCTCTTGGAGGAGTTGGGGCTCCACAGAGATCTTGGCCTTTTACACATTAATTCCAACAGGTTTTGTGGGATAATTCCAAAGAAGTTCAAGAATTTGAAGACATTGTTTGAATTGAACTTGATTAACAACCGGTTTGCTGTGGAGAAAAATTGTTCATGATGATTGTGGGAATGGCAGGGTGGTGGCGGTGGCAGTGGTGGTTGGGATGTTCTATGATTTTTGGGTCGGGTGGTGAACTGGTGGGTTTGTTTTTTTCTTTTTCCATTATTGGCGTCACGAGAATGTTTAAGTCATTTTAGTTAAATTAATTTTGACTTTTTTTTGAAATTAGACTATTTTTTTGGGATAAGATTTTTTTATCAAGCTGAACTATTTTTGTGGGACGGGGGAATATTAATTGTGTCGTATTGTGTTAAATTATCTTTGTAAATTAGGTTATTGTTGTCAACCTTTTTGCACTTTAAATTTCTTCTTATTCCTATACATCCCATTGAGCTCCTCCTTGATTTCATGTAGCAATTTGCAGCTTATCCAACTGAAGTGACAAAATCTAATGAAACTTTTGCATTATAAATGAAACAAAAGAAATACTGAAATTAACTAAAGTGGTTGTGATAGAATGGAAGAGACTCCTGCACCTTTAACCATAGATTAAGGGTTTGAACCTCACCATAGGTATGAAGCAGTGAGGAAGATTAGTCACTGTTGCTGACGGTGGAGACCCTACAAATATGAAAAAAAAAAAACTGAAATTAAAAAATTGATAATAATAATTATATTTGGTCGTCAATTTTCCATACTCAGGACTAAATTGATTACATGTTTTAATGTCTTGGACTAATTTCCGCAACAAAGAATTTAGGGGAAGCCCGAAAGATAATAGGGTATATGAACTAAATAAAAGGAATTTTCTCTTTGTAAAATACTACTCCAAGACATTAATTTTCTCTTTGTAGAATTTAAAACATGGTAGTAACATTTAGTCGTGGTACTACTGATAGCGACTTTAGAGGCATTAATTTTTAATGTCTCCCTTTTAGGTAGAAGCGTGGCCATCAGCAGTCTTTAGTAGGGAAAGCGGGGCCTCAAAATTAAATGAGAACCAATACTTTCGAGACTCAATCAGGAACCACCACGTGGATAACAAATTCACAAATTCACAAATTCTTCCAACTTCCGTCGTCGTTTCGGAAACAATTCGGCCACCCACACCACCACTCTGTCACGCCTTTTAGAGGTTTCCACGTTTATTCTATTGTCTTCTCACTTGCCTCGCACGCACGTCCGTCAACGGATCACCATTGCTCCGGCGCCGATCTTCTTGAATAATTAGGGATTTCAATTACTCCGGCCGAAGATCACAGATCAAATCAACAACCTAACTATATCTCCTCTTTTTGTTTGGTGAGTAAATTGCTTGTCGTTTGATTTTTTAAAGATTTTTTTATGTGGTTTTTGTTTGATTTCAGATCATGTTCTTTTCTTCTGAATGTTAAGATTAATTTTGTCTCATTGTTATTAGTTATTAGTTTCTGTGTTTTCTACAAAGATAAATAAAGCTGTATATAGAATGATTAAATTCTGTAAAAAGGATGAAATAAAATTGATACAAGGTTTTATTTGAATGCTTGGATTGAAGAATTGGGTTGTGAAAGTTTGGCACTGTATGCATACTGTTCTAAATAGTTAAGGCTCTATTGTTTTGTATACCTTTCTCTTTTTGCAAGTGACACTTTAGAACTGTGGCTGTCTTGCGATGGTTGGATGGGATATTTTCTAAGGAATTGTAACACATATTGTTTCTTTTGATCCTTTTGCTTTGTTCGAACTGATAGTGTGTGATTGTGGAGAGGGATTTCCGATCTTATTATAGCTGGTTAAGGTGGATTGTTGATTTTTAGGTAGAAATTTGTGCTGTTGGTGAGTGAATTTGAGAAAGTGTTTGTGTATGTTGGCAGGAAAATTTAAGAGAGTAAGAAAACATGGCAAGTGGGTTAGGGGAACCGACGAGTGGAGTGCCTCCGAGCGCGTCTTGTTCAGGGAGTGCTAGTAATGGTGGTGATGCTGGTAATTTTGAGTGTAATATATGCTTTGATTTAGCTCAGGATCCGATCATTACACTCTGTGGTCATCTCTTCTGCTGGCCTTGCCTCTATAAATGGCTTCATATTCACTCGCGCTCGCAAGAATGTCCCGTTTGTAAGGCGCTCGTGGAAGAAGAGAAGTTGGTTCCTCTCTATGGCCGTGGGAAGAACTCGACAGATCCCAGGTCTAAATCAATACCGGGGATGGAAATTCCTCATCGCCCTGCCGGACAAAGACCTGAAACAGCTCCTCCTCCACCACCAGATGCTAATGCATTCGCTCATGGTTTCGGGTTCAACACTGGATTTGGTGGATTTGCGCCAGCTGCAACTGCTAGGTTTGGGAACTTTACACTGTCTGCAGCATTTGGAGTTATCCCATCATTGTTCAACATTCATGTACACGGATTCCCTGATGCCACAATGTACGGGGCAGCTGGTGGTTTTCCATACGGTTACAATGGGTTTCATGGTGGACATGCACATAATTTCCCTCAGCAGCGCGCAACTCAGCAACAACAGGCCGATTTCTCTTTAAAGATAATCTGTTTGTTGATTGGGGTTGCTGTCATTTATGCTTTAATCTGTGCTTAGGTAAAATGGTCCTAGGTTCAATGCTTTGGAATCTGTATATTTGGTGGCACCGTAGATGGTAAGGTTATTTTTCTTTAATCTTTTCAACCCTTATTGGCCAAAAGACTAAGTTTAGTAACTCTTTTCACCCCTATAATCTGCTTCCAACCGTATTCTCCACCTTGCAAGGCTGTACTATGTTACCATCATATTTGATGAGGATGATAGTTGCAAATAGAGTTTAGCTTTGCTGTGTATTGTATTGTATACAAGGTGCTTTCTTGCACACGAAGAATAAATATTCACTGAGAATATGACCCAAATGATCTTTGCTTTTGCAACTCTGGTGGTTCAAATTCTTTTGACTTCCCTTAACTTATTGTGGTTTGCAACTCTGTTGGTTCAAATTCTTTTGACTTGGCATGTTATTGTGACAAATGCTCGAACTTTTCCCTCAAAAAGTGGGTAACAATGTCTATGGAGTGCTCCACAGGGGGAAAAAAAAAGTTCTCTGCTCTCTTTGCTACATGAAATGACTGACTTGGCTTAATCTGTTACATTGTTGGAGAAGAAACCATTCTGTTGCTGTAATGCAACCTATAGCAAGCATGCGACACATAAGAAGCAAAGTCTTCTTGTCGTCTGGTAAAACTTTGTTTGGAACTTGGGATGAACAGAGAAGTAAAAGAACTACCTGAGGATGGTGCATCGTACATTTGCTATTGAATATTTGAAATTAAGTGTTTGATTTTGAATCAGATCGAAAATACTGCAGGCTAAAGTATTTAAAGCTCTCTGGCTTTTTGATCAACTGTTGCGCGATAAAAACGTCCAGAGAAAAAAAATTTGAAATGTAAGTAAAGGGACAAATTTCCATCATAAGTAAACAGGTGGGTTTGTCAAACTGTCTCATACTGTCTCATCCTCCTATGTTTCTGGGTTCACTGTGGAATTAACTAGCAATTAGACACGTTGTATCATTTTATTCCGTAGGCAATAATGTAGACTTCACTAAATTGTATAACTTGTAAGCATATCAATGAACGAGATCCGAACTCTTAATAATGAGTTTTTACCACTTTTCTTCTTTCTTTTTTTTTTTTTTTTTTTGTCAAAGCAATATTCATTTCATACATGAAAAAACTTGGCACAAAGAAAATTACAGAGAGGTATTACAGTTCGCCTTAACTGCATCCTCTAGCCACAATGGAATATTTTGGTTCCAACATTGTGTACAAGTGTTTAGGATATTTTCTAGTGGGCTTGTCGCCTATGGAAGCCCAAAGTTTCCGCTAACATGACTGCTACACCTAAAATATGTGGGGTGAACTATTTCTCAGATCATTTTAACTTTTGTCGACTTTCTCGTTGCGAATCGCCTAATGATTTAAACACAACAATTAATATATTAATTAATTTGTTTAAAAAATGGATTTATTTATACATTTATAGTTTTATCTAAGAAATAAAATTTGACTAATAGATAAAAAAAAATAACTGAGAAAGTTACAAATATAAATAAGAATTTCGGGAAAAAAAAACTTGAATAAGGCGTCAATTTGGATGTCGGGACTTGAGATATTCAACCTGACGAAGACGTCGACAAATCAATGGTAGTTGAAAAATTGAACAGAGTTGTCTTTGCCGTATGCAACCTCTCTTTAAGTTCAAATACAATTCGCCGACGTCGAAGTCGGATTGAATATATCAATATTAAACTCGACGGCGTATACTTTGAAACGTAGGTTTTGTTTCCCACAATATCTCTCCATTATCTTCACGATTAAACATCATCCCTTAGCAAATGTGCAATCAACAAATGCAAGACATGAACTAAGAAAAATCTGGAGAGGAATCGATCCATTCATTGACAGAAAAAGAACTGAAAGATTGAAAATCAAAGCATAAAAATCAACGAGGTAAATCGGAACGAATTGTAATAGAATATATATATATATATATATATATATATATATCCACTTATCGTTACACCATCAATCATCCAGAAATTCCAGAATCTTAAGAATCACGTCGAAGAAGTTGGATGAGTCTGTATTCAGTGCACCCGAGGATACCGTGCACCCCAAATCGGAATCAACAAAATTCTTCGGCTCTTCTTTTTCGTCAACAAATCCGACACCCCAAATCAGAATCAGAATCCACCGGAATCTACCGTCTCTTCTTCTTCGGCCTTCTCGTTCAGCACCGCCGCTACCAGAATCGACTCCCGCGGCCGCCGGAATCGCAGGTCACCAACCCGTCCCGGCTTCGCCGCCCCGCCGAACACGTCGGTTTTTATAAGGTGAGTCCTTTTTTCGTGTGTGTGTGTGTGAGGAGTGTGTGTGTGTGTGTGTGTGTGTGTGTGTGTGTGTGAGGAGTGTGTGTGTGAGGAGGCGGTTGGGATCGATTGGCCGGAATTCTTGGGGTTTAATTGAACGCGGTCGGGGTGCACCGCCGGAATTTGCAGGGGCAAAGGAAATGGGTGGATAACCAGCAAATTGTATGGACAGGTAGCTACGTAGAAGTACATCTAAAAAAAGTATGGATAACCAGTTTACACCATGTGGATAACTAGTGTAAAATAGGTGAATAACCACAAACAAAGTTTGGATAACCAGTTTACAACTTGTGGATAACCAATTTACACCTTCTGAATAACCAATATAAATGGATGGATAACCAGCAATTATAGCACAAACAACCATCACATAATATTGCTGTTAATTAAAGAAGAAAACTGTGTGTGTGAAGAGAATGTGTGTGTGAGGTGGCGGCTGGGATTGTCGGCGGCCGGAATTCTTCAATTTGAATTCATTTTGGAGCCGCCTAAAGTTGCAGGATGCATCGGAATTTGCAGAGGGTACACGGTGCCCCCAGGTGCACCAGATAATTTGCCAAGTTGGACTGATTACACATAAACATAGAATGATTTGAATTAACGTAAATACTCACTATAGCTTTGAATCCACACACACAATTCATTCCGGCTTCTGACAAGGAATTTGTTTAAACTGTAAATATCATAATTAACACTGTTAATCGTTTTAATTTATTTATAAATGTTTTACTTTTAATGATGTTTACTCCTAGTTTATAGGGTCGTTAGAAATTCAAAACAACCAGAAACTATGGAAATTATCAGTAATGATACTTCCAGTGATTAAGTACAGTGAAAATATATTGTGACAAATGAAAAGACAAATACATCATCCACTTGCTAAACATGTCTATTCATTAATCAATGGTAAAAATATAATTTTAGCGGAAAAATAAAACTTCAACGGAAAAACAGTAAAAAACTAGGAACCATGATTATTAAACATCAGTCATTATATTTTATCGCTGTTTTCATTTACTAAGAGTATCATTTTCCGGAAATTATATGGACATCGAAAATTTCAGGTACGTAACCCTTTTGTTCTCCACCAATGTACGAAGTTTGATTTGTATTGGTTTATTAATAAATTTTGTTCATCAACTTTGGGATTATAGTCGGGACTTGAAAGGGGATTATGAAATCACCTGTATGTAAGAATCATTCTTTAAGGTGAAAATTATAAATTTTTTGGAGTGACTATTTGGCTATAGTTGTAGAGAAAGCAGTCCAGCCAATCCTTAACGGCTAAAGAACCTTCTTATTGACAATTGATTAGATCTTAACATCTTCTTAATTATTTCTAAAAATTCAAGAATGCTCTTGCCCATAATGTGCAAAATTTTTTGGATTTTAATTTACAAAAGAATAAGGGACTGATGTGTAATTTTCCAGCGCTGTTTTAACCAACCGGTTGATTTTTGCTTTTAGTTAGTTAGGAGCGGCGGTTATTGCAAATGCAAATGAAACTTGACTGAAATTCATCAATATAAACGTTTTTACCCCACCCCTGCATCCTCTCTTCTCCGTCCGTCTTCCTCATCTTCTCTGTATCTTCTCCTTCCTAAGAACTATTCAGTAACTATATTCACTGGGGAAGCGAAATTTTGAACCGCCACATCAAAACTCACCAGAGGTACAAAGAAACCATTTGCTTTTCTTTCAAGAAAAATGGGTTATAAAAGAAATAAGAACAAGGCGGTGGGAGGAAACAAGAATCCCGAGAAGACCATTACCGAAGTAGCTTCAGGTTCATCTAGAGCATCGCAAGATTCATCTCACAGTTGCAACAATTCTCGTGCTCGTGACAAAAAGAAGAAGGGGAGCGCAAACCAGAAACCCACTGTAGCTGCAGGCTCGATGCCGGGATCGCAAGATTCAGGCCACAATCGCAATGATGCAGCAGCAGAAGCTCCTACTGATGATGCACATGATATCAAAGGTGCGAATGGTATTCCGGTTATTCCCGATGAGAATTCATTTCCGGGGAGTGGCAAGAACTCAAGAATCTCTACTCTTTGTTTTGAATAACTTTCTTCGCTTAATGTATTAGAAATTTGGTAGTTCAACTGCTCGATTTTTTTCCCATGTCGCCAAGAAATTGTTCTTCGGATTTTGAACGCCTTAATTTAATCCCGATAGATCATTTATTCAGTCTATTTTCGATTATGTTCCCAGATTTTTCTCTGTTCTTTGTGTTAATGTCTTTTGATTCTGGACGCTAACATGCAAGCTTTGAATCATGGCTAAGCATGATTACCGAGATTATCACTTGAGTATAGGACTTGATTTTGTTCACGGTTTTGAAGTGATTTAGATCAATAATACTTCTAATTTTTGGTGATCACAGAAACGAAGAAGCCTCATCCTGCTGGCGTTCAACTTGGTCAATCTTCTGTTCAGGAATCCCCTGTTTTCAAGAAAACAGGTATATCATCATTTCCATCATCTTCTTTTTTCCTATGTTTCCACGAGATTGTTCCTCGGATTCTCTAGTCTAAGAATTTCGATATCGGTTCATCCATTTTTCTTGCTTTCTTATTCGTCTTCCATCATCAATACTGTGCCAAAATTATGACTTAGTATTGAGCTCACTTTTGTTCACTGTTTTGTGGGTATAAGATCAATAAAACTTCCAATTTTTGATGATCAACAGGAACAAAGGATTCCCATCCTGCTGGTCATGAGCCTCTCCAATCTGCTTTTTCAAAACCCCCTGAACGGGAGAAAACAGGTAAAATCAACACTTTGATTGTTACGGTACCCCCTGCATCTCAAAGGGGATGAATTGAATACTTCATTAGTCAAAAACTGAAAGAATGTTTTGTTTTTATAATCTTCTCAGGTGTCTCCAGTAATTCTGATTGTCTGGCCGATGATAATGTTCATAAAGAAACCAAGTCCATTTCTGCTGATTGTGTAATCTGTCATGAAGTTAGGCTCATTAAAAACATGCAGAGATCCTTTATGTGCAGACATTATTTCTGCAAGGAGTGTATCAAGAGTTATGTTAATGCTGTGGTTAAGGATGAAACAAAGCAAGTGATTCCAGCTGATGTTCGTTGCCCTGAGACAAAGTATTGTACGGAAAGCTTGCCTGTAAAGATAGTCCTTGATAATCTTGATAGAGACGTCAAATATGTCTGGCTAGCGGTTCATACTTTCTGGAGTGAAGAAGATAGAGTTGCTGCTGGTGAATCTTCTGTTCTGAAATTCCATGATTCAAAGCAAAAAGGTATAACTCTTTTTGTTCATCAACTGCAGTACCCTGCTGTCGAATTTCGGTTTATGGCGTTATCAATCTGTTATTAATCTTAGGACAAGCAATGGTTTAGTTTCAATGTTTGCAGGAATCTCCATTTCTGATGATAATCTTCAGAAGAAAGGACAGAAGACCCTGACAGAAGAAGGGGCAATGCCAATTGTGACTAAATGCTTAATCTGTTATTCAGAGAAACCAACTGAAACATTGCTACGACCTTTTCGGTGCGAACATTATTTCTGCATGCGATGTCTCAGTGGTTATAGTGAGCTTATGGTTACTGGTATGGGGAAAAGATATGATCCGAAGGCTGTGGGTTGCCCAGTGGAAGGGTGTCCGAAAAACTTGTTTTCCCGAAGATATTGAAGAGAACTGTTTTCATTTTCATAGTTTCCACGGTGAAGATGCTAAATTGGTGAGAAATGTATGAAGCCCTCTTAAAAGTGGCGATCCTAGCTAGCTAAATATCTTCTGATGAGTTGGTTTCGGGGTTGATTTCCTTTGCAAAGTTCCAGTACCGCTGCAGTTTCAGAAACTTCAATTCAGGTGTGGAGTTCGTGCATTCTGAGCCCACAGTATCACTACTGGTTTGCTGCAGTTTATTCATTAAGAGTTTGTGGGATTTGTTAGTGCAATTTATTCATAGGTGTCAATGTGCAATCAGATTCTTTTATTTGGTTTCTCAGCATTCTGGATATATGATGCTGCATCGTAAAGATTTGTGGGGATACTTTTTTGCTGCTGCTATGTACTTTGATTTGATTGTTGCTTCAGATTCTCTAATTTTCTTGCTTTATTTCTCTCAATCAATGGATCCCTGTAGTGATGTTTCTCTTTAAGTTTGTCTTTTGCATGGTGTGAAATGTGTGAATATGTGGAAACAAAAAAAAAAAGAAGAATATACCTTGATTTCTTGTGTAATGACTAATGTGTTACAAATTACGGTTCTTAATCCATGCTCATGATTTGAAAGATCTTAGTTGATGTAGACGGTAACAGTTGGAAATTAGGAGCATATCAAACAATTCTTTGTGATGTAAAATTTAAAAGTTTGAGATCAATAGACAATCGTATTGTTATTCATTTCATTCATGAGGAACACAGATTTCATCTAGAGTTTTCGCCTATGAAGTGTACGTTAGTTTAGGACTTTAGGCGGTGGCCGTTTTCATTGTACCAAAGAAAGTTTTTCATATGGTAACCGTCAAATCCAAACTTTTTCGGTTAGAAATGTATGAGCTCAATGTACCAAGTAAGGACGGGCTACTTCTGATTATCATTAAGAACTGACTTAAATTTTCAGGACTCTTGGAACACTTTCACTTAGTTGGGTTTACCTTTGTGAGGATCTACAATTTGTATCCGAATAAGTCATCGTCTGAAACTGAATGATTGTTGTTGGAAAGATCAGTGGATCTATTGTTTTTTTTGCAATGCGTTCCGGGTTTATTTCTTTGATGTATTCATGTTGATCTTCAATCTTTCAGTTCCTTTTTCTGTCAATGAATGGATCCCTCACCTGATTTTACTTAGGGCAACCACAATAACCCATATAACATTATACAACACATCATTGACACGTCAGCATTCCACAACACTATCACTTTTTATACTTTTTTCTCCAACAATTTTACACTCCTTATTCATATAATTTGGGACCCACAACTACTCAACTATTATTACCCTACAACTATTTCACTATTAATACTTTATTATTTTTTAAAATAATTATATTTATATAAAATTTTATTATTTAAAAAATATGTGTAAAAATCATTATTAAAATAATATACGAAAACATTTATGAATAATAAAACATTAATTATCATTGACTAAACATCATATAAGAAAATAAAAAAAGACTAATTATTAGTGTATAGTATGAGATAAAAATTATTGATCCATTGTCAAAATGATAAAAGAAAAAGAAAAAAAAGAAGGCAAGTAGCGGTCACTACAAAAAAAAAAAGGAATAAATAACAATGAAAAAAAGGAGAAAAAAATGGAATTGGGGCTGGGCATGTGATGGCCCCACCCATTGCCCCAGCTTTTTGTCAGATTCACCGTGCCAAATATTTTATATCCCTGACAAAATTAAACTCCCTCTAACAATGGGATAAAATTTTATCCTAACATTATATAGCAATTATGTCATTGTTGTAGATGCTCTTAGTTCACCGCTTGCATTTGTTGAATACTCGGACAAGGCACATTTGGTTAGGTGTTCTATGGTAGAATCTAGCAATCAAAAGATCAAACCGCACAAAACGTTTGCACATTTGGACAAACTTACGTTCTTGTCTCAATCATTTCAAAATGTACATTTTCGTCCTGTTTTCTTCAAAAAAAATTGCAATTTTACAATTTTTTTATGTCTTAAGGCAACTTTCCGTCTAACTGACTATCAAAAGACAAGGCTATTGTTGGTACTTTGCCCCTCATTTGGATTTCCAGTAATTAAGAAATAAAAAAAAATAAATAAGAAATAATAAAATGCATAAAACATAATTTTAATTCAAAAAATCTATAAAAAAATATTAATTTTTCATACCCTTTAACGGGGGTCTCGGTAATTTAATTTTTTATTAATTTTGACAGTAAATATTAAATATTATAAAATAATAAACAAAAATTTACTGATTAAAAAAAAGTTGGCAAAAGCATATCCCTTTTATATTTAATATATTAAAAAGTTGTTTTCTTCCCAAAACCATGTCCCTTTTACATTATTAGACCTTGTCGACTGAAACTCCAATGGGTACTCTTTTTTTTTTTTTTGGGTCGTCTGAAAACCAGATGAGTTTCTTTTTTCTTTTGGTTTTGTCGATTAAAACCCAGATGTGGTTTTTTGTTTCTTTTGGTTTTGTCAACTGAAACCGAGATGAGTTTTTTTTTTTTTTTTCCCTTTTTTTTTGGTCATCTGAATCCTAGATGTTGGAAAAGGGGAAATTGATTTCTATAAATATTAAAATTTAAAAATGATCCTTTACATTAGGTCAAATACACATTTTAGTCTTTTATAAACATTTGGCTAAAATGATCATCTATATTTTAGAAGAAAAATAATGTGTACTCCCTATTTTGTTGCCACTTTGCCGTTGAAATTTTTTCTTTCCTTCTAAAATTATTATTTTACCCTTAATTACTATATACACATCAGTCACTGTGTATTTTCACTATCTTTTTCTCACTATCTGTATCATAACTGTTTTGGTCCTCTAACACTATTCATACACTTTGTCCAGAATTAGTATCAAGACAACAAGGGTATTTTCGGATTAATTTTTTAATTGTTTTTAAAAAATATTATATTGAATAAATTATTTGTATAAATATCGAAATAATTAAATTAATAAAAATTAAGATTTTAAATTAGATATTAAAATAATAAAAAAATTAAAATTAAATTTTTTAAATTAAAATGAAAAATAAAAAAAAACTTGTGCTTTTTTGCACAAATTTTATATTATGTTTGATTTGGAAAGCTTGGAATGAAGTAAAAAATATTACTCTTATGAAAATATATAACATAAAAAAATTAAGTGAAAATATAAGATTATCTTCAAATCTCATTTTCTATTTTGGATAAATTTTCACTTATGATTGCAGAGAACTAGATTTACATAAATTTTTTTTCCTGAAAATAAAAACAGTCAGTAAGTAAAGAGAATAAAGAATTTCTATATAGATTTTTTTTTTTTTTTTATGATTTTCACGCAGGCAAAATGAAAACTTCTACATGTCACCATTGTACTTAACAAATCATGCCTTCTTCACTGTGAATTTCACTTAAATTTAGATTCACGAAAGGATAGGATTGCGAGTTGCGACATACTGAAGTTTTTTTTTTTTTCCTTCTTCCTTTTCATATTATTGAGTCCACGATTATGCCATGGAATACATGAATCTGTTAAGAAGTAAAGAGGAAAATGCCAAATAAAGCCAAAAGGAATAGACTTTTATCAGTTTATCCTATAAATTTTTTTGTAAATTCTAAGGAGACCATTCTGCCTTACTGTCCCACATGGAGATGGATTGATTGAGATTTGTATGTCTAGAATAATACAAAATGCAAAAATTTCTATATGAATTTTTCAATATCTGACAGTGTGTGGTGATAGTCTACCATTGACTCAAAGCTTGTCCGATTGGTCCGCTGAACATGAAAGAAAATGCCACGTCACTTTTAGTTTTACCAGTAAATAATGACGGGGCCAAAAATATCCAACTTGTAATTGTAAACCACGTGCTAGGTCGTCGTCCCGCGCTTCACTTTTGCTCCCACGATCATCATTTTGACTTTTTTTCCCTCTCACCGACGTACGGTCATTCTTCGCGTTATCTACTATGTATTCATAGTTGTTCATATCCCAACGTATTTAGATCAGCTAATTTGGAATGCGAAATTGGTATGAACAGAATTGAAGCTAGCATCAATCCAGTATTGGGAATTTAAACATATCTCTGAATTTATCAACTTCATCGCGTTTTCCATTTAATAAGGATGACGATATTCGTATTAATTTCAAGCTGAATAGTTCGTATATGTTCAAATTGATATTATATATTGATATTTGGGGTTAAAATCCAAACTGTACAATATTCAGGATGGAGGAAGTATATTGATATTGTATTACTTCAAACTCATAATTATGTTGGACGTACTTTGGCGGGGCGGTTGCTAGATTACCATAATTTAGAATTATGAAGAGTAGTGCATTCGGCATAAAAGCATTTTGCCGTTCAGTATCCCTGGTACAGAAAAACCTCAAGCCAGATAGCTCTAAAATTGTACTCCCTCCATTTTAATTCAATAGACTCACTTCTGATTTTGGGATACTTCAAAACTTAGTCTCACTTCAGACAATTAATTAAGTTTTACTATAAACTCTTTAATATACCCTTTCTACTTTCACTGAAATCAAGAATAACATTTATTAATTTTAACAATTATTCTCTCACATCAACCAATAACTCACTAGTCATTAATAAGGGTGTAATAGTAATTTCATTTAAAATTAACCACATAAATTACATTACTCATTTTTTTCTTAATCTCCGTGTGTGTCTAAATGGGCCTATTGAATTGGAATGGAGGAAGTATGTAATCTGTTAGCTAGATTTTATTAATGGCGCATGTGGTGTGGTGTTACATGCCTAATAAAGTTACATAATTGACTTATTTAGACTCCAAAAGTGATCGATCAGTTCATTTCATTCATAGCCGTTTCAAAATTAATCAATGCATTCCTAAATCTTGCCCACAAAAAAAAAAAAAAGGTGGGCACAACACAAAACAAGATGTTAATTTCTAGCTGCGGCCAGCCGAGCAATTATAGAACTCTAATTCACAATTATAAGTCGATTATCTTGGTCTAGTTTTAGTGTCACATTATTATTGTTAGAGACCAAGGGTCCAAAAAATAATACTGAAGGGTCCAAAAAATAATAACTTCCAAGTTCCAACTAAGTTAGACTTAGGCGCCTCTTCTATTTTTTTGAAAAGTATATGTACATTTTGAGCTAAGACGTAGTAGTATAAGAATCAGTCCGTACGGCCATGGAGGAAACTTGGCAGCTTCTTCCATGGAGTTTTTGGGTATATACACAGCGTGTGGATAATTAACAAAGCGTGTGAACGTTTGAAATGCTTTCGTATTCCACTTTTTTAATTTATGAGACCAATATATATATTCACTTAATAAATCATCGAAGAGGCATTTTCAAATTATTAATATTCAAAAATTCATGGTGGTGGTTTCATCGCCCTTCCTTTATTATTATTATTATTTTTTTAATAAACTTGTTATCTATATGTACAATGATTCTTTTTAATAATGAAAGCAAGTAAATTGGGGAATTACACATATAAGATGCAACACTTAATACTCTTTCTATCTCAGAAAAATTTTTTTAAAAAAATTTATTTATTGAACTAATTAGAATAGAACTTTCTTTTGGACGAACTAGCGCAGTGAGTGATCAGATAATACTTGGAATTTATTTCATTGGTGGTGGTTTGGCTTTCCTTTGTCAATATTGGAGCAGGGTCGAAATCAAATGGATCAGCTGATGATGTATCATAGTCGGTGAAAAACATGCTCCATCAACCTTTCTTATTCTTACAAGTCATATATGATGATCAAAGAAGCTTAGCCATATATGGCGAAATGTTTATGTATATATTCATCCACAAGCTAGCTACGACCTACCTAAATAAAATTCTCTGATTTTGTCTCTCGGGGGAGTTCAACTTTTGTTACTTAAGAAATGAAGAGTTCTTGAATTCGAAGCAAGCCAAAAGGGACATTGCAACCTTCCTTCATTTTTAGTCTTGTTTCTTTTGGTTTCCCCATTTGATTAATTATTTTGTTCCTCATTGTGTCATCAAAACAAATATTGTGGCATTTTTAATGTTGTTGGGTGTCGCTAATCACCAATAATTTTGGTCAAAGAAAAGGGCTTACTTGATAAGTAGTACATCCACGAGCGAAAATTTATAAATGATGAAAAATATTATTCCTCCTAGTTCATATCTTCGCTAACCAAAAATTAATTAGACACCTCTTCTGCGTGCAAAATTTTTTTTTTAATGAAAATTATATTTCTGAATCCTCCAGCGATGAATTAATTCTAACCAAATAGCTGATGGATTCAATTAACAATAATGTTAAATGTTTCTTCCAGAAAATTTGAATAAAATGAGAGCAAAATTTTAAAGGTATAAATGATTGATCCCCACTTGCACACAGCCTCAAAAGGTAAAATCTTTAGAGTTGGTGCCAAAAAAGAAAGTTAAAAAGGAGAATTTGAAAATAATGCACCAACACTTTTTTGAGCTTTTTTACTCCCTAAACTTGTCAATAAAATTAACATGCAACGTCATACTACATTCTTGGAGACCCGAACTAATGATGAGAGAGACACTGCTTTAAGTAAGAAAAAAAATGAACTAAATTATTAAAGCGTCGCACCCCAAAAGCCAAAAAATAAAGCCTTATTTAATGAAGTCTTCGAACAAAAAACGATAAATTAGAAAAGTCATCGAACCTCAGTCTGAATAGTCTGAATCCAACAAAACCTTTTCTTCTCCCTTTTGACTTAGCCATTCTTCTTCCATGGTTCTGTTCCGCAGGCACTGCAGCCCGCCCGCCCTGCCATTCAGCCTGCATTACAGCTTGTTTCCGTACATTTTTGTAAGCACCAAAAGCGTGTATCTAAACTCTAATTAATTTAATTATCATATGTAATCCACCCATCGCAACTTAAAATGGTTAATTTCAAGTAAATCGACCTTTTGTCCTATTTACAGTTTATAATATGTATTGATATAGTTATACGAGTAATGTTATTTTACTATATAGTAGCAAAATATTACACTTAATTTGATCGTGTTGAATTTTTACACTTGAATTGTTACAATTATTTTACTATATAGTAGCAAAATATTACACTTAATTGTCATTATCAAAACGGAACTAAAGCACACCCCCCTCAAGTCATATTTTCGAAGGCCTTTGAACCCATCCTACTACCAACCAAATTAAACAATATCTTTTGTTTATATATATAATTTTTTTGCCAACCTTTTCTCTTAAAAAACCTATATTAATTGTTCCCTTATTGAACCATCCATTTTTCCCAAACAACCGAACTCCTCGAAATGAAGCCTCAACGAGTAATATTCCTTCTACTCTTTGTCTCCCTCCTAAGCTTCTCTTCAACAACCGAAACATCTTCTTCTTATTCAACAACTCCTCCGATTACACAGAGTTTTAGAGAAGCTCCCGAATTCTACAACTCGCCGAAATGCCCCTCTATATTCTCCAACGACGATCAAGATTCCGGCGCCGACGTCCCAGATGATACTACTACTACTAGCAATGACGGCGAAGAAGGGTTCAATATTGTGAATCAAGAAGATGAAGAACGTAATTTCATCTGCGCCGACAACGGCGTCCACGTGGCGATGACTCTAGATTTAGCTTACATCCGGGGATCAATGGCGGCGATTCTTTCCATCCTCCAACACACTTCTTGCCCGGAGAACCTCATCTTCCACTTCGTCACTTCCGCCTCCGCAAACGCGTCCCTCTTAAGCGACACCATCGCGACTTCTTTCCCTTACCTCAAGTTCCAAATCTACCCGTTCGCTGACACCGCCGTCGCCGGATTAATCTCCACCTCCATCCGCTCCGCCTTGGACTGCCCACTCAACTACGCCCGGAGCTACTTAGCCAATCTCCTGCCGATTTGTGTCCGGAAAATAGTTTACCTCGATTCCGACTTGGTCTTAGTCGACGACATTGTGAAGCTCGCCGCCACTCCGCTCGGCGACGACAAGGTCCTCGCCGCGCCGGAATATTGCAATGCCAACTTCACCACCTATTTCACTCCGACCTTCTGGTCAAACCCAGCTCTTTCTTTGACTTTCGCGAACCGGAAACCGTGTTACTTCAACACCGGAGTTATGGTCATCGATCTTGACCGGTGGAGGGCCGGAGATTACACGACGAAGATCGAGGAATGGATGGAGTTGCAGAAGAGGATGAGAATATACGAGCTGGGTTCTTTACCGCCTTTCTTGCTGGTATTCGCCGGGAACATAGCTCCGGTTGATCACCGGTGGAATCAGCATGGTCTCGGCGGGGACAATTTCCGGGGGCTTTGCCGGGATTTGCATCCGGGTCCGGTGAGTTTGTTGCATTGGAGCGGGAAAGGGAAACCTTGGGCAAGACTGGATGCTAATCGGCCATGTCCGCTTGATGCTTTGTGGGCACCTTATGATCTTCTCAAGACTCCATTTGTCTTCGATTCTTGATTCTTGATTCTCGACAGTTGGACACACGCAAGAAATTACACCAAATTGAATGGTTCTTCTGGGCAGGCTTTAGGAGAAAGAAAAAAAAAAAAAAAAGCGAAAAATAAACGGCGAAATTGTACAGGATTTTTGATCTTGATGATTGGCCGGTGATTCAGCGTCATCATCAGAAAAATATACAGTAGATACAAGAAAAAGGCTGTAGGATTTTCTTCCTTTTTTTTTTTTTTTTTCCGTTTACGTTTTGTGTAAATACTGCTCATCTTCTCATTAGTCACATACAGCAAAAACAAATTGAAATTTGTGTATCATATCATACCAGTACCACTCCCGTACAACAATAATAAAAATAAATAAATTCTTATTTTCACTGTGCAACTGCAAATTTATAAAATCATTTTTCTTATACAATTACGATTTACAAATGAATGCTCCAAATATGTTGTTATCACTTGTTAATTAATTTAGCATTATTTGTCCTTTCCTTCTTAAATTGTACGTGTTTGAGATTAGGAACACAGGAGTAAAAAAAAAAAAAAAAAAAAGAAGGTTTGTTTGCTGTAGAGAAAATCTTAACTGTAATCTTAGCCAGCTTAATGGCATACATCACAATCTTAAACAAATGTGTAGTTGAATATTCCCAAAAATCACCAAACATCCTTTATTCTAATTTCTAAATTCGGGAGATCGATGACTTCAGGACGAAGGATCGACACGCAACAGCTCATAGAATCGTCTCAACATGTCTCTCAACTCCAAAAAAGTTAAATTCAAAAGTCTCTTTTCATTTTCCATTTATTTTCACAACTTTTTTCTTTCCCATCATGATTTTGTAATTAATTTAATTAAAAAAAATCCATTTTCTGCAATTTTTAGTATATTCAATACCTTTAGTTAATCTTATGTCAATACTTTGCCAGATGAGAGACCCCGTCTTTGCAGCAAAATAAAAAAATGAAATTGAATTTCTTGGTTGTTTTCTCTTTGTTTACGTATAGATGATGATGATGATATGCGTGACGATGAATTATTAAAAGATTGACCAGGTTGTGCAAGTAATCTATATTTTACACTGTACTACTACTTTTTCTTAATTACCTTTTCTTCGTTCCTTTTGACTATGTATGATGAGTTCACTTGGAATGAAAGAGCTATACGTGTAACTAAGGTTTTATGCTCAATGGACAAAAAAAGTCCAATTAACCAGAATCCTAGATGCAAAGCATAGTAAATCACTCGAATACATTTGGATTCCAAAAGTGTCATTAGAGATCTTATTCAAAGAATTAAAGGTTTATATTGGTGTTACAAAAAAAATAAAATAAAACTAAGTGATGAATACAAAAGGTGATGTATATACAATAAATGTGTGCGATGCATATTTAATGATCTTCTCATAATGTGGAAATTATCATTCATTTATTCATGAATCATCAATGTACAATGTTTTCAAAGAAATAAATGTTGAATGCTGATGCATGGTCCATTCTTCCTTGTACAACTACTAGAACTAGTTCATTGAATTCATGGAAGAAATATGTTCTCCTAGTATGTATCCCCATTCTTCCCTCAGACGCTCCAACTAATTGGAGTTCTAGTCTAAATGCACTGTTAAAACTAGATTTCAAAACAAATTTCAATACCATACTAAGTAGGAAAAAAATCCTTTTTTTCTTTTTGAGGATCGAGGATCCATTCTTTAACCCAAAAGAAAAGAAAAGAAAAGAAAAACAAAACAAAAAAGATACGCCTTAAAAAAAAAAGAAAAAAAAGAAAAGATGAGTCTTCGAAAAATATCAAGAACGTTTTGTTCTCGTCTCTATACCTTACCCTTAGCGAAGTGCATATGCATATCCGTTGAGTGTCTTGGAAATGTAGACCTCCATACATTGGCGGAGACAGAAGGGGGCCAGCCGGTGCGGCCGCACCCCCTCGATTTTTGTTTATTTTTAATTATAATATAATTATTAGTGAAAAATTACAATTAGTTCAAATTCGCACTCTCTTCGAATAATTTTCAATAATGATTAGAAAAACTTGAGGTAATTTAGATTTGAAATTATTTGCAGCCATGTTTTGAATATGGTACTCAATAAGAAATTTTAGTTCCAAAAATTCAATAACAGACGTTATGAAAAGAGTTAATTACATTTCATATTTAGTAAATGTTATAATATAAAATCCAATAACAAAATACATATAAACTTTTACTATTTTTTTAGTTCTTTTTGTATATTCTATCAAACCGTTAGATCTTGGTCGTTCATGTGTATGCTCCAATAGCACGGAATGGCACACTTTCATTTCATGTTCTAATTGATTTTTCTGTAATAGTTTACTGTTGTAGAAGCAATAGGTTTGTTTTTCTCAAAATAAATTTGTCAAATTTGGATTTTTGTTTTTTACCATCCTATTAATGATTAAAATATGTGTCTACCCTTGAATAACGTATGTTTTTTTTTTTAAATTTCCAAATATTGTATAAACATCTACTTAATTGAAGGTGAACATTGAAAATTTAAAATATAATGTATTGTAATACAGTTTTCTTTGTGAGATTTGATTTTCTTTTATGAGATTAGATAAATACCTCTTCCAAATAAGACCCTTACAATGATATCAGTTCTTTTTTTTTTTTTTAATTTGAAAAAAGGTTAAACTAATTGTGAAACAATAAAAAATGTGTAAAATATTAATGAAGTAGTTTTGATTTGTTTGTTATATATCTTTTAGTATAGAAAAAGAGTTTTTTTAAGTAATAATTTTCTATTTACTTTTTTAGGTAAATAATATATTTATTCAATTGCTTTCATTTCACGCCCCCTAAATGAAATTTCTGGCTTCGCCACTGCCTCCATACATTGATCAACTAGCAATTTATTTCCTCATTTTTGCAAGCGGAGAATGTACAATACTAGTAAACAAAGACAGGGAACTACACAATTTAAAATAAAGAGTTGTTAATAGTGAAGCCAAAAGAATAAAAGAGTTGTAGCTATCACATCACACAATTTTTTTCTCTAGTTAATAAGATGTTGTTCCATCCTAGCTAACTACCAAAAGTCTTGGTAATTAGTTTCAGCTTTCAACGGTTATTTTTTCTTTAAAAAATAAAAAAAAAAAAGAGAATGAATCATTATTTATTAAACACCCAAAACAAAAGTTTTGGTCAAGCTCATCTCATATATTTAACTAGATGTTACCCGCGCGATGTGCGGGGTTAAATGACACAATGAGTAAAGTTATCGTCCTCATCATCACTGATCCAACATCCATCGAGATTGAAAGGATGTATTATAGGTGGTACATACTCCGCTTGTAATAGGTTTAACCACCTAATGACAATCTGCAAGTTTTATAAATTACAATTTCTAACATGAACCTATCAAGAGAATTTATATACAATTCATAGAAGTGAATAGTATATCTTCAATAACACCATTTTGACAAATCACATATGTCGACATTCCATAATAAATTTTTAGTGAGGAATACTTCTACACCATTACATGATCAAACTGAATGATCTAATAAATAATATAGTTGATGAAATATTCCTATAAAAAAATATTCCTATAGAAGTGAGAACAAAACAACCAATAAATAATTAAAAGATGAACGATAGTGTCAAAATATAAACAAAATCAAATCGTGGGAATAGTTGAAACACCATGACGAGGACTTAGGAAGATGAGATGTAATTCACAGTGATACTTCAAAGTTTCGTAAATCCAATTGAACCTAAAACAAAAATTATTATCATAAAAGAAACACTATTTGTTTTCCTATTCTAGTGTCTAAAAAAGTACAATTTTCTTTCATGGAATGGACGGAGATATATGTAAAGTGGTGATCATTTTTGAAAAGCACCAACAAATGTTTTTGAATTTTGAATGATATTATTGAGTTTTAATTTCAATTTATTTGGTAAAGATTCTTGGCCATAATCATGGTTGAAAATTTCTTTTATCAATATTGTATTTAATATAAATTAATTTCATTTCAAATTTGAATCCCATAATTCATGTAATCAGGATAAGATAGGAAGCAAACTTTTTGTATATCTCTAATCATTAATTTGATAGATTCCCGCATTATTATCTATATCATTATTATTTATCATATAAATTGGGATATGTGATTGGGTCTTTTTTATTATTTAATTTCTTTTTAGGGGGTTAAACTATAAATTTCAAAAAGTTACTTTTTATTTTTTTTTAAAAAGAATTTGCCACATAGAATTTTATCTTACGTGGCAATATAGAAATCATCTTTGATTTTTCTTTCTAGTTTCTCTCTTAATATATACTATAGATTTGGTAAAGATTCTTGGCCATAATCATGGTTGAAAATTTCTTTTATCAATATTGTATTTAATATAAATTAATTTCATTTCAAATTTGAATCCCATAATTCATGTAATCAGGATAAGATAGAAAGCAAACTTTTTGTATATCTCTAATCATTAATTTGATAGATTCCCGCATTATTATCTATATCATTATTATTTATCATATAAATTGGGATATGTGATTGGGTCTTTTTTATTATTTAATTTCTTTTTAGGGGGTTACACTATAAATTTCAAAAAGTTAATTTTTATTTTTTTAAAAAAAGAATTTGCCACATAGGATTTTATCTTACGCGGCAATATAGAAATCATCTTTGATTTTTCTCTCTAGTTTCTCTCTTAATATATACTATAAATAGACTATAGATATAGAAGATATAGGGGTGGCCGAAATTAAGCTGCTTCAGGAATTTTTTATTTTCATTTATTGAATGGATTTTTTTTTTTGAATTAATTGGGTTTGAATAAATCATGAATGTAGCCATGATTTGACCTTTAGTTCGTGCATTAAAGAAAAATATTGTTACCAAATTAAGGTGATTTTTTTAAAAAAATATGAGAGCATTTAACAATAAAATTAATTAATATGAATAATTATGATGATTGGGTTAATTGGTAGTTTATTAATATGCTTCAAGGATTATTATCATAAATTCAGAAATTATTTTTTCCCAAAATTTTGAGAAATTGACATGTAGGATTTTTGCTTACTTGGCACTCTAGAAACATGTTTTTGTATTCTCTCTCTGGTTTCTCTCTTAGTATAATACTATAGATTATTGAGTTTTGTTGATATGTTCAGAATTACAAATCAACATTATAACGTCATATAAAGTACTTGACGGGTAAATTAAGATCTAAATTTATTGGTTTAAATATCTTGGTTCACTTTGAGTTTTATTATAGTTGATGATCTTCGTATGAATTAGGTTATTGTCTTAAAAAAATATCAAGAACATTTTTGTTCTCGTCTCAACCTAACTCTAAGCGAAGTGCATATGCATATTTGTTGAGTGTATTGGAAATGTGAACCTCCATATATTGATCAACTAGCAATTTATTTCCTCACTTCCTCAAGCGGAGAATTAATGTGCATTACCAGTAAGAAAGACAGCGTTTTATTCAAAAAAAAAAAAAAGAAAGAAAGAAAGAAACAAAAAAGAAAAAAAATTGAATTACACACAATTAAAAATAACGAGTTGTTGATAGTTAAGTTCGTGTGCCTTGTTGAGTATTACCTTCTCACTAAAAAAAATATTACCTTCTCACTCTGGTCCTTATTATAACACATTTTGATTTGTTCAAAATTTTATTTAATATATTTTTAATTAAAAATAAAGTCTTAAAAATATTTTACAATAATTGAAAGAACACAATAAATATTTAGGCCTAAATCTACCAAAATTATTGGGCATGTCAAAAGGAAATGGTGAGGAAAAAAACAATGAAAAAAAAATGGTAAAAGTGGACATGTTGGAATGGAAGTGGAACTTGGGTGGTTTAAATATCTGTATAGGGATGAGCTCAAAAGCTTATTCTATATCGGGTAAAAGAAGGGGCCTATAAATTATTCGATATTTTAGGCAAAAAGTATCCTCATTTCCGGTGTCAGCCAACCGGAGAAACAGTTAACAATCGCCGCTCAGATGCTAAGGGGAAGGTAATGATGTGATATTTCGTTATATTTATAGATGTGTCTAATAATTATATTGAAAGTTTCAGAAATCAAAAATCAGATCTAAACTGTGGGCCTAATTCTTTTATTCAATATTGTCCCTTTCATGACTTCACAAGTGACGAAACCGGAGAAACCACACGACTGCAACTTCATGAAAAACAAGCAGAAATTCTTTTGTAAAAGAACATTTGCAATCTTTTGAACAAGGATATAAACTAAAAGATGATATTGTAACAAAATGACCAAAAAAAAAAAAAAACAAAACTAGTTTAGTAAGAAATATCATTTAGTTCATTTTGTTATGTCTACCTTCATATAGGACGAAACAAATTAGTAAATCCGTTCTATAATTTGTTGTTTCTAAAATGCATTATTTTGACTTTCAACTTTCAATACGGTATCCAAGATTTTGGCCAAAAAAATTTATTTAACTGATTATTATTAAAGCTTGTTTTTTTTCTTTTCTAATTTATTATTAAAATAATTTACATTAAAAAAGCTATAGATCATAAGTATATACTCTTTACGCCCCATTACATCAATCGAGCTCATTAGAAAAACATAAAAAATAAAATATGGAGAAAGAGTATGGTGTAATTGAGTGGTACACCAAACAAAATATAATATTCATATGAAAGATTGCTATACTAAACATATAAGACCAATTTTGATGTTTGTATAATCCTAATTGTAAAAGAGGGTTAAAAACATTATAATCTTGAACCTAATTACAAAAGGGCTTAAAAGATATACTATGTTATTGCAGTGGTGTATCTGTCGATGTATGACTACTACTTGTACACAAAGTCTATACTATTTTAAACCTGTATATCTACATAATATAAGAAGGGGATGTCCCTTTTTGGCACGGTTAACTGCCCGTTGCCAGTTCTTTTCGCTGACGTGCCGACCATTTATTGGCTTTTTTGCAATTTTTGTCGTGTTCCTCCCTTTTAAGTTCTGTGCTTTCCATCTGGTTGCCAATCGGCCGTCGTATACTTCCTTCTCCTCTCTTTAAAGTTGTTACCGAAATGCCTTCTCATCCATGGATTTGGAGTCGACTCCGTTTGGCAGTGGTCGGAGACGGTCAAAATCCTGGTGCTCCATTTCAACATCTATGTGCCGGACCTGGTTTTCTTCGGCGAATCGTACACGACCTGACCTGAAAGGTCCGAATCGTTCCAGGCCCAGTGCGTGAAGCGGGTCATGGAGGCGAATTCAGTTTGAAAATGAGCCTCGTCAGGATGAGTTACGGCGGGTTCGTGGCGTACAGTATGGCGGCGCAGTTCAAGGAATGCGTGGAAAGGGTGGTGATTTGCTGCGCCGGGGTTTGTTTGGAGGAGAAAGACATTAAAAATAGGCTGTTTCCGGTGAATGACGTGGATGTAGCCGCCGCCATCCTTCTGCCAGAGACGGCGGAGACGATGAGGGAGTTGTTGCTTTATGCTTTTGTAAAGCCGCCCAAAGCGTTGCCTTCTTGCTTGCTCAACGACTTTATCGACGTAAGTCTTCTTTATATTTTGTTGTAAATGAATTTTTGTTCGGTAAAAATAAAATAGAGGGGAAAAGATCACTTTATTCAAGCTATATAAGTTGTAAAAATGCTGGCTTTCATATTTCGATTTTGATTGATTAATGGAAGGAAATGGAGATTAATGGGATATCAGGGGAGTGAAAACCAGTGAGGCTTCCCAGAAAGAGTGCTATTTATGTATGGGGGATCTAATCAATCAAGCCAAACGAGTCGGAACGGTAAGAGAAGAGTGTGAGGATTCGGCATGGCTGCCGCCAATGGTTCAAGGATCAATGAAATCAACGTCAGACAAATGTAACCACCAAGATTTCCCTACCATATGAATGTTCAGATTTATAAGGAGCCAGCAAGCTTCAACTAGAGCAGCGTATGCCTTCATGAAATTTTTGGTTTCGGCTGAACCACAAAATATTGCAGACCACTGCAACCAATTCAACCACATCCCTCAGCAGTTGGTCGATGGATAATGATATCTACCAACCAGAGCTTCCAATTCCAAAGGCTTCTGCAGTTGATTGATGTCTCAGATTCCTGCTAGCCTCCAAACTTTAGATGAGAATGAACGTGTACAAAAACGGTGAGCAGTAGAGACGTTAGCTGAATTCCAGAAGTTGCAGGACCATTCTTGCATTAAGCCACACTTAATTAGGTTCTCTGGACCTCGCAGGGAGCTTGTACAACAAAACCTCCATATGAAATGCTTAATGCGAGGAGGGTTTCGAAGTTTCCAAATATGCTTCCAAATATAATCTCTCCCTTAGGGAGCCAAAAATTTTTAAACATGATCTGTTGCCATGATTTTGGGTGGACTTGCTTGAAAATTGTTGAATGGAGCAGAGACAAGGAAGAAAGTGCAGTTTGGTTTTGTCAGATTGTTATGCTATTTATTCTCCTTATGTTGTACTCATACAGGTAAAGACCGAATAGTATATTTGATTCAATTTGATCATAGATGTATTTGTTGTACATAAATTTAGATCGGTCTCGATTTGGAAAAGCTGAATGGTGGTAAGGGTGAACTTGGAAGTATAGTTAATAACTTAATATTAGAGTTTTATAAGCTAAAAATACCGAGTTTTTACATTTGACTCGAGTTTACACAAAAATAATATTTTCAAAGATAGTCAATTACTTCACACTTCACAGTGTCACTCCTTCCTTGAAACAACAACTCTGGGTCACTGCTCCCCGGAAGACCGCACCTCGTGCGGTCCACCTTATCTAGTATAAAGAGAGTTTGGCCACTTCTCACGCTTCAAAATCGGTTATGTTTTTTTTTTCTTTTTTTTTTTTGCGTTTGTGAACTTAAAAACTGGATATCTTTTTATTTTCTTTAATCATTTTCAAGGTAAATATTTCAGTTTTCGCTCTCTTCTATCCTCCTTCTTCTCCGCCATTAAGTTCACTATTATAATTACATAATGAACTAAAAAAGTTATTTTTTTTCATTATTTTCATTTTAAAAAGAATTTTTTTTTTCAATCTTCTATCTTCTCATATTTTCCATCATTAATTTTAATAAAACATTTTCATTATATCATACCGTTTCATTACTGTCACATAAGTTTAAAGGTGCGAGAGTATATTTAGAAATTTTTCTTCCCTTTTCTCTTAAAACATTTACCGATGAAATTCTATAAACATGAGTGTGATGCATAAGAGGATCGGATTGCTGTTTAGTGGCATTGAATTCTTGTGATTCAGATTTTTCTTCCATATATTATATTGTTTTTTTTTCTTCTTTCAACTTTCAGAAATAATTTTGCATCCAAAATATCCAATCCAACGTATTTATGAGCGTTTACAAGTCAAGTATAATGGTGATTCCCACAAAATAACCACAGCCCAACCAAGGGGAGCAAATGAAAATAGAAGAAAATTAAAACTAGTAGTAATGGAGTACTAGTGATTCCCAAAATGCATCACCCAAAACCAGCCAAGTATCAAAAGAATACTGCTATGAGATACAAACAGTACATGTTAAATGTATACATGAAAGCACCACTAGATTTGGTCCAATGCAAGGTTACCTTAATTTAAGCATAGTAAGCTATGAAGAAGATGACTAAATTGCTAAACTCATGGAAGAATACATGTAAATAGAGTTTGATTTGTCTTCTTAAGACAATACAATATATCTTTTCTGGAGTGGATTAACAAGATTACGCGACAATCAGGGTCCTGATCGCTATTCATATACATCCCATCTAAGCCATACTTAGTTTCTCGCGACAAACATAGTCAGCAACAAGCAAAACTTTTTCGTCGTCGTCACTTGAATCGATAAAGTAATTCTGGTATGCATGGTTAACAGAAGACAAAAGATTGCTGATTTGGAATGGGAAATTATCCTTGAGCAATGGCTTGGGGTTCCAAGCTTGAACCTGTTACATCCCACCTGACAAAAGTATAATCTGTCATCAAACTCATACTCCTTCCGTCCCAAAATTATTGTCCAGTTTAAAATTTCACTTTTAGTATAATTTGAACTAAAAATGAAAACCCAAACTGAATAATAATTTTGGGACGGAGGGATTATATCTTTTCTTTAAAAGCTAAAACTTCATCGAGAGTCTCGTGTCCGGATGTTATTCTAACGAAATTCTTGTCGCCGATTATAATCTTCTAATTCTTTAGGCCGATCATATTCTCGCAATTCTATCCTTTCCAATGCCATTGTACCCAATCAAGAGAGATCTTGTTGGAAGGGGAAAACGTATAGGATACCCCATCTATATTTATACAAATCCATCAAATACCTAATCCTAACTAGAAGTGATATGATCTTAATCTTTAGGAATAGGTGGAAGGTTATTTCCGATTCTCACGTGTAGGAACTATTTCCGATTCTTAAATAAAACGGATCCGAAATTACTGCGTATGATTTTGAGAGCGCATCCTTATGGAAGAATTTCGCTGGTTTCCTTGGAAACATTGTATTTTAACTTCATTGAATTCAATATACTATACTGTATATGTTTTCGGTTTTTACTTTCCTTTTGTCAATAAGTTCCATATATTATAACATAGATTTTTATGGAGTGAATCATAAAATCTTGGAAATTACCAGATTTTGTGTGAACTGAGTCATAGATTTTACTATATAAACGTATACTTTTTTACAATGTAGAAATAAAAGTCATTACTCCCTCTGTCTCAAAATTATTGTCCAGTTTTGATTTTCATTTTTAGTTCTAACTTGTCCAGTTTAGATTTTCATTTTTAGTACAATTTGAGCTAAAAATGAAAATCCAAACCGGACAATAATTATGGCACGGAGGGAATATTATTCATCATACATATTTCTATTTGAAATGTAGACTTTTTTTCAAGATTTCAAAAAAAAAAAAAAAAAAAATTGGACGGAGGGAGTTTAAACCTTCTGTGCAATTGCATAACGCAAAAAGATAACAGTGTCAAAAATCCTTGAAATTTTCCGTTCATAGGGTTGGACTCGCCATCATCAATTTGTATTACAAAACTGGAGTCCCAAATCACTTTTTCCACGTTATCTAAAGCTACTACATACTTCCTGTGTCGCAAAACAATAGCCAACGTCCATGAACATGGATAACAGCCAATTAATCCCACTCCCAACAAGACGTTGTGCTTCCCAGTTACATCATATGCAATCTTTGTTGGCAAAGCCAAAGCTTGCCACTCCCAACAAGCTGTATTATCAGTTGCAAGGTTAACAGCTGAATTGATATCAAGAATCAGAAAGGCATGTTAGCAGCTACAAAACTGAAGTTAATGACTCGGTACAGCTTAAAGAAATGCGCTACTCCATCTCTTGTTTCAAGGGAAACGAGAAACATGACATGGAATTCCATATTAACTAGAAAGGGTGAGCTTGAACAAAGGAAGACCCCCCATAAAAGTACGTTATGAAAAATTTTCGGTAAAACCAAGAAAACATTATATAGGTTCAGAAAAGCAAGTGCAGCAAGAAAGCAGAAAAAGTTTACCCAACAGTGAATAAGTTGAATGGATCAAATTACCTGACAAACTCAGATACTGGCGAGACATGCAGCCGAAGTTCATGACCTTATGGCGGCAATCTATTTAACAACCAGAGGAGAAGAAGAGTGTCACCAGAAAGTAAAATGATGACAGAAACCAGTGCATTCAGGAGCGATTTCAACTACTTACCAGTGATTAATGGGTTTGACACTTATCCACCAAAACTGAAGAGCAAGAGCAGGTTTCCAGCTCAGTTGCTTCCCTGCAGGAGCATAATGTGGCAGACATTGAACTGCATTTTCATCCAACTCTATCCACATGAAGCAACTGTTGCTGCAAATACATATACACTAACATAAAATGCTAAGGGAATTCAACAAATTGAGGAATGAAGGACGAACCTAAAGCCAACAGTATGCCAGCCAATCAAAGGAATTGGTTCAAGAAATGCCATCTCATTACTTTAACCAAGAGTTGAAAGATTCTTTAAGTACTACCTTGGACCAATCTGTCATGTCTGCCGGAATTCGACCCCATACCTGCCTTCAACATCTGATCTAGGAGCTTTGCAGACTTTTCTTCATCACCTTGTTTTTGAAGAGCATAGATCAAAGTAGAGTAGGTGATCTCTGAAAGAGTAATCCCATCTTCTGTCATTATATCTTTAAGTTTTAAGGCTTGGGAAATATTCCCAGCTTTACAATGACCAGCGATCAAAGTATTATACGTGATAAGATTCGGAGCTGGACCCTTCAAGCGAATTTTGTAAAAGAGTCTCATGGCTCGTTCAAGGTTTCCAGATTTACAGAGCCCATTTATAAGAGCATTATATGTAGTAATATTAGGGAGAAGACCCTTCTGGAGCATCTCATCTCGTAAATCAAATGCTCTATTCACATCACCAGATACCGCTGCACCATGTATCAAAGAACTGTATGTGAACACATCAGGAACAAAACCTCTGGATGACAAATCTGCTATTAATGCAGTAGCATCATCTACCCTGCCAAATTTACATAAGCCAGCAATAGCTACGTTATAAAGAATATTGTTCGGAGTAAGGGAACTGCCGGTGCTTTTGCCAATAGAGTTTATGATTCTCTGTGCATCTAGTGGTCCTTCAGCAGAGTTCACATGATCAAACAAATGTTTGAGACTTGGAGAAATATCCAATTCCATCATATCCAGCAGTAGCATATTAGCATCAACTCTTTTACCAAGCCTGTATAGTCCACTAATAATTGTGGTACAAATTACAGTGTTTGGAGCTATTTCATTTTTTCTCATCTCAAAATATACATCCAAAGCTATCTTCAGCTTTTGCTCTTTAAACCAGCCAGCAATCAGGGTCCCATACGTAACAACATTTGGCTCTAATCCTCTTTGCTGCATCTCAAAGAGTACATCTGCTACTTGCCCAGATTTATGTCCCTTAAACAACCCACATATGATGGAATTGTACATTTCAATGGTAGCACTGATTCCTTCCTTTTCCATCACATCTTTAAATTGAAAAGCTTTTTCGATATATCCAATTTTAGCATAACCATCGATTAAGGTCCTATAAGTTACTTCATCAGGTGAACATCCTAGTTCTGTCATCTTGCTAAACACCTGCTCAGCTCCAACAAGATCCCCCATCTTACACAGTCCACTGATCATGATATTGAACAGAACTGTACTTCTGCAGAAACCTTTTGCTAAAACATGTTTCCACAATGCCAAAGCCTTTTCAGGTTTTTCCTTCTTGAAAAGACAATCCAAAAGAGTCCCATATCCTATCTCATTAGGGGTTACACCTCTTTTAAGCATTATAACCCATAGATGCAAAGCATCGTCAAAGGCTCCAGTTTGACCCAATCCTTTCAAAAGAACATTGTAGGTTACAACAGTAGGTTCTATGCCATCTTGTACCATCATATCACAGAATGTGAGCGCCTTTTGTATTTGACCTGACTGGCAATAGGCATTTAGTAGAATGGTATAAGTAAAAGAATCAGGCTTTAAATTTGACCTACTCATACTGTCTATAAATTGCTCAAGTTCAATAAGCTGACCAAGTTCACAATACCCTTTTATGATAGAATTGCAAATAAACATGTTCATCCTCAATCCCAAACCCAACATTTCATTCTTGATCCGAATAGCATCATCCAATTTTCCAATTTGACAAAACCCATCAATTAAAACACTAAATGCCCGTTCATCCAGAACAATTGAGTCCCGAGGATCATCCTTCATCTCTCGGAATAACTTCTCCGCTTCCTTCAGTTTCCCTTGCTTGCAGTAACCCTTGATTAGCAATGTGTATGTAACCACATTCTTCAAAATGCAACGTTTATTCATTCCGCTCAACACTTCTTCTACCTTCTCCATCTCCCCTTTCTCAATGTACCCATTGATCAAACAATGATAAGTAACTAGATTCAACTCCAAGCCCATCTTGCTTTCCATTTCATCAGCAAACTCAGCCGCTTTACTAACCTTACCATCTTTACAGTATGCGTTCACCATTATACTACAAGTATATACATCTGGGATGATCCCCATTCTCATCATCTGATCATAAACACAAAAAACAGACTGAAAGTCTCGAGTTTTCACCAAACTACTCAACAAACTATTGCAAGAAAGCATGCTTGGAAAACATCCCAGCTTGGGCATATTATCAAACACGTGCAATGCATTTTTCACCAACCCTTTCTGCGCATAGACTTTCAAAAGCATATCAAAAACTGTCGGAGAGAACTTAAATTCCTTATACACGCAAGCTAATTCATGGTAAACAAGTGAAAAAGAGCCTTTATTGCGAGTTATTTCAATCAATACATCTAAATAGGACCTCGTCTCCTCAAAAAGTCGGGCCTTGGACAAAATATGGATGATTTTACAGTAAGAATGTAAGCTGGGTTGGTACCTTTTCTGCTTGGAAGCTAAACTGAAGAAATGAAGAGAGGCTTTTGGGTGAAGCTTAAGTTTCCGAAGGACAGCATCAAGGAGGTCGTCGGAGAAATGGAAAGAGAGGCTGTGGAGGGCAGTGAAGCGTTCGAGTATTAAAATGCGGCAGATTCGCTCCGTAAGTTCGTGCTTGTCCGGGTCGAATGAATCCGATGACCCGGGAATCCATCGTCGGGGGGCGGTGGTGGAGGAGCGGAAGCAGTGGCGGTGGAAGCAACAATGGAGTCGGCGGGTGACTCTGGGAATTGAGCGGGAACGAATCATGGACGTTTTTTTGCCCTCGTGTTCTGTTGTGTGTGACCCGGCTTTCTCTTTTCTCCCAATATTAGCTTGAGCCACATTGTTACAATTAAATAAAAAATAAAAAAAAATCTATATTACGGAGTACTATAAAATTAGATAAGAAAAACGTGGTTCTTTAATCTTAAATATATTTTGCTTCATGTTTTGTCACTGAGACTGGAGTCGTGGTTTATGTGGATAAGGCGTGAAATAAGAGTTGATTAATTCCTCCAACTATGTAAACGGAACATAGCTACTTCATGTGTTTCTGTTTAGTTTTATCACAATATCCGAATTGCTGGACTCTGATTATCCCTAGAGCTCGCCTATTAGTATTAGTGGCAGGGGTTGTTGGAACTTTTTCTTGGCTATATATTTTGGAGTTTGACACTATGGCTATATTGAGGGAGAACTTGTGGAAGGTAACCATCAGCTTAGGAGACACAACAGTTTGTATCTTTGTACTCCACAAGTGCAACAGAACTTGTAACCTTTACTGTTTGGACTAGTTTAGTAATGATTCTGTTCTTTGGTAAATATGCGGTTTGGATTAATAAAATTCACCTCAAATGACTTCATATCATTTTGACATTTCCTGTGTACACTGTTTCACATCCTCCTCTAATATTGATTTGATTTGTGTCCAATTTCAGACAACCTTATCAGATTTTGAGGCTCCCAAAATTTGACCTCTTAATTTTCATTTTTTATTGGATATATATATGATCATAATTATTATCATCAAATTGATACAAACACATGTTTACTGCGACATTCTAGAAAATCCAATATCTAGCCTAGGAAAACAAAATTGTTACAGGAAGCAAATGGAGATAGTATTAAGGGACCAATATGTATCATCAATCACAAATTAATTAGAGGTTTTATAGTGTGTGCTTCGCCGTGACCTTGGTTGTATTCTTCGAATCTCTCTGCCTGCACTTACGCCGCTTAATGTAACGGTAGAAGATATATTGAAGTATAATCTAACAAAACTTAGGTCAAGGTATATCCGATGAATAATTCTTGTGATCAATAAAAAAGAGGATAACTCAAAAGAAAGAAATTAGAAGTACCCAATATATAGTAAAGAAATTGAGGATACAAAAAGATCGAGGACCACGCAGACTAGGGCATCCAGCAACCAAGGCATATTAGCTTTTATCTTCTCCCGTTCTGTGCTTCTCACCAGAATACTGCATTCGTATTGAAAACATTGACTCTCTTTTAATACACAGTCTCCTTTTTCAATTCAATTAAGAAGAATATATTTATTATTCTTTTATTATAAAAGAGATCATAATTTTGAGACGTTTGAAATAAGAAAAAAAATAAATAAACATTGGTGTCCGGAGCAACCTCTCCCGGGAATAGGGATTAATTACCTTCCAACATAAGTGGCATTAGCAATGAGCGCAAAAATGAACATCAAAGGGCTCAGTCCCTGACGATTATGAGAAGAACAAAATATGAATACAATTATGTACTCCCTCTGTCCCATAATTATTGTCCAGTTTAAGTTTTCATTTTTAGTTCAAATTGTATTAAAAGTAAAATCTCAAAGTGGACAATAATTTTGAGACAGAGGGAGTATGTCATAATGACCGAATTTGTTTAAAAATGAAATTTTATAACTTCATTGAATTTTGTAATTTACCTCCACGCTTCCTCTTTTAATCTGGCCCCCCCAAAAAAAAAAAAACCTTTTGAGAAGCATGTTAAAAAACAAAAAACAAAAAATTAAATGTAGGAAAGAAAATCTGAGGTTAAAGATCTAGAAAGACTTTTATTACAGACATTGAGCCAAATCTGGGGTAATCGTCCTCCCATGTAAATGGCAGCCATTAACCATCCAAGCCATTGTCCATATGCCTCATTGCTGCTATGCAAGTCTTGTTCCTGCATGTGTTTATATGTCCTTGATAAATCAATGATGTTAATTTTTTTTTAAGCTTTATGTTAAATCAATTTAATTTCTTTCTTCAAAAAAAAAAAAAAAACTTAAAAACATGTTTACTAATTAATTAATCAACAACTAAACCTGCAAAAGTAGCTTCCTTCCCATGTACATCAATGGAATATCATAACCCTTAGTTACCCGAGGAATATAGGCCGATACAGCAAGAAAGGTCCCATATCCCGCCTGACAGAATGAAAATAATTTATCAAAATTTTTATTTCAAATTTCTTTTAGAAAAGTGACTATTATTCTGAAACATAAGGAGAGTGGAATATTTATTATTACTACAATTTTTTTGGTGTATTATTTTTTTGAAATGTTGATAACTCACCGGACGTGGAATTGGACGAGGCTGACTCAGTGGTTTAGGGTAGGATAACACCGCTGGTAAGGCAGCGGCGGTGTCGTTTTCATCGTCGGAAGATGACTCACTTAAGTGGTCAAGGACAGGAGGACCGCTCTTTGGCTTCATGTAAGACGATTGATATGGAGAATTATCACTTCCAGCCAATGATCTTGCTGATCTGTATTGTACAATTTTACATATATAAATATAAGGAATTCATAATTATAATAATTTGGTTATAATTATATACATACATTTTTTTTCTAAAAAATAAAATGAAAATGGCACTTTCACCGGTCTTTAATATAAGGTATTTTGATTTATCCTAGTTTCACATAGTACGCATTTCTAATTGACAAAAAAATCTTAAAATTATTTCCTAACAATCAAAAGAACACAAGGAATGTGAAAATATATTTTTAAGATTTATTGTTCAATTAATGAAATTTATGATAAATCAAAATACCTTATATCAAGGACCGGGGGAGTTAAAGGGTTTATTAAGCTACTGAATTAGCTTACATGAAGTGGAATTCTTTCCGACGAGGTACCTCAATCGGGACATTTAATTTTGATCCATTTCCATTCAATTTTTTTGTCAAAGTAGTCCTCTCATCATTCTCCTGGAAAAAGGATAGAAATAATAAATAAAAATTTCAAGCCAAACAATATAACATTAAAAGAAAGAAAAATCAATTTGGGATGCTAGTTTATATTACTAAAAAATAAAAATAAAAAGTAAGAAGAAGAAGAAAAAAACAAGAACAGCATTAACGTCATCATCAGTTGAATTTGTTTTACGCTAACAATTTCGACTCTAGTAGATTCTTGATAAGGCCATGCGTATCGAGAAAGGAGAAAAGCGCCCTGAAACTAATTAAATTGTATCAATCGGATTCTGCCATCACCTTAATCGTTTCGGAGTCGTTGCGATTCCATAATGGAAGAAAATGATCGTAGTATAAGCATTGGAGTGCCAGTACTATTGTGGTGGTAGTGTATAACTGCACAATTATAATCATAATAATAAAATTATTTCACCATTTCAAAATATTATCAGATTTTGTATTAAAATAGTATGACCAAAAGATGTTCATTTCAGAAGAATGGAGTACTATTTAATTTACTTGAAAAAGGAAAGGTGAACATTAATTAACATGAAAATGTGTATACAAGGGGTTTAATTAAGTCTTTAAGATGAGATTTACCAGTGCAGTATAATACTGAGTGGGTAACTGCCAAAACAGAAAACCACATTGTCAGAAAATTACAGCCCATGACCATAAACAAAATAAATATTGATCCAACGTACGTAACATAATGTTTGTTTTGTTTTTTTAGTGCGTTTTTAGGTGTTTTTTGTATTGAGAATGTAAATAAATATATTGAAAATATAAAAAGATATGCTGGGATGGGATAGTTAATAATAAATTAATTTTAAAAAACCATCAAGAAAACCAAACAAACATAAGTAAGCCATATTTTCTGTCAATTACCGAGCGAGTTTTCATTTAGTCAAGTTGAAATGCTAGCTTATCTGAAGCAGTGGAATTTTATTTGTTGTTTGATGATCTTTTATTTTTCAGATAATAATGTTATGAAAGATATGACAATTAATCCAGAAACTATTGAGGATTACCATGACCAGAAGAGAACATATAAAGGAGCAAATGAGAAAATTAACAGCGTACCGTAGCTGGCTCCAGAATACAACCAATGAGATTGAATATGTCACTGCAATGGATTAATACATCAACCAATTAATGGTAATCAAATTGAAACTCTTGTACAAAACTTCTCCAATGAATACTGCTATCAAAATTACATATAACTTATTCCCTCCGTCCCATAATTATTGTCCAATTTATATTTTCATTTTTAGTTCAAATTGTACTAAAAGTGAAATTTCAAACTAGATAATAATTTTAGGACAGAGGAAGTACTATAAACCAATTTCATACTATATGAAAATTACCATAATATACATGTCGATATCGGTGATATATTCAAAATCCCGTTTTAGGAATAATCCGGCCTAGTTGATCGTTAAGGATAAATTCATAGGGATAGTTCTTGTGTCTACTAAAAGGAGAGGTTCAAATATATTCTCAATGGCCATCAATGTGCATGGAATAAACACTAGCTTAATTAATTATGATATTATTTTCTTCGTTGCACTTGAATAATTCATTAAAAATACTTTCTTTGTCTCAAAAAAAATAGGCTATACATTTTGTAGTACTGAATTAGTTTAGTAAATTGAATTGTCTCCATGACGAGAAGAATATAACATAGTAGACTATTAAAGCAGGACGAAGGAAAGAAGTATTATACTTACCCAACAATCCAAGTGGAGATGAAGGCGAGAGAGACGCCATCAGCGGATTTGTTGTTGAAGTTGGTAATGATCTGAGGGATTTCAGCCACACCCCAACAAATAAGACTTGCTATTCCGAAACCAAATGATATTTCATCTCTGAGGCTGCAGAGACAGTCCTTGAAGTACTCCATAACCCATCCCACACAAGCTTTTTCTTTCTCCAATCCGCATGACTCTGCAGACATTTCTAAAGGCTTCATTTTCTTCTTCTTCTTCTTCTTCTTCTTTTAACCTTTGTGTGTGTGTGTGTGTGTTCTTTTTTTTTTTGCTGGATTTGTGTTGAGATAAATTAAAAAGGAAAGAAAAAGGCTTCATTTCTGCGCATTTTATAGTAGAGATATGGACCGGCAAGAATGACAACGACAACTATATCCTCGAGTGAAACCTAGAACTACAAATATGACCTTCCCAATCTCCAAACACAAACAAGGGTAATCAATTAAGAAAATTTCTTGGCCGTTCATAATGTAATACTTTTTATGATGATTGAAGGGGATTATTCCAGGTTATTTTTGCGATGCCATTTTGGATTCTATTTCATAATAATAACATCTTTTTTTTTTCCTTGCGAACCCTCAATTAATTGGGTCTATATTTTCATCATTGTGCAATTAGAAATATATATTTAATTGTACCAAAAAAATAGATATATAAATTAATTTACAAGATTAATAAATACAACGATGTATATCAATCATAATTGTGATTAAGTACATTGTGAGCTGAAATAGTAAAAGAGGGGCCCTGGAATTTCTTTGTTCTTATAGTGTTTGAGTGATGATGTAATTATTGCCACTTGTAAAACTTGCATGGGGAAATGTCGACAATCAATATGTAAAACGATAAACTTGAGAAGAAAAGGTCTAATTTTGACCAAAATATACAACTTTTCTTTTGGGTTTGATGTTTACAAGTTATACAAATGATTCATCGTACTTACGAGGTCAAGTTGAGTCAGAGCATAATTTTAAAATCCGAATATTTAGTATCATAGTGGATATTCGAATCACACAAATTTGAGATGAGTTTATTCCTATGACATAATTAACTGGAGACATTTGAGTAGTGGCATTATTGAAGGCACTTTAAGCAATTAATGTATAAGTCGAGAAAATCTCATCACATCTATACATATATGCCACATCCCCTTACGTTTTATCTTTCTATTAAGGAGAAAAAAAAAAACAGGGAAATTTTACTGAAGCACATTGGAATATATACAGCCATGCAGGACAGTAGAGCAGCTCCTATAGCATATTCTAAGTCTTATGCTTTCCTTCATTTCGTGGTAGGGCAAATTATCTGGTACACTCGGGGGCACCGTTTACCCCCTGCGCGTGTACTTTACTCTCTTAGAATAATGTGAGCTTGCTAGATAATTCAGTTTTTTTTTTTTTTTAAACCTTCTGTGGATAACCAGAGTGTGTTATGAAAGTGTTCGGCAGGGGGGCGGCGCAGCCGCGGGCACCGGCGCAGCCGGGTCGTTTAGTTTATCATGGGGAGATTTATACAAGTAATTTGTGTTCCCTCTTAACGCAATAACACACTCATCTTACACACATACGAAAAAAGAATTACCTTAGCTAAATTGGCGTGTTCGGCGGGGCGACGCAGCCGGGGCAGGTTGGTGATCTGTGATTCCGGTAGCCGCGGGAGTCGTTTAATTTATCATGGGGGGTGAAGCCCTCCAAGTAACATGTCGTTTGCTTCTTTACCTCTGGATAACCAGTTTACAAGTTGTGGATAACCAGTTTACAACTTGTGGATAAATTATGGATAACTAGCAATTGTGTGTGTTTGTGCGTGAGGATGAAAATAGTAAAATGTAGAAAACAATTTTGTTTGTGCATTTAATGTAAAGGTGAAAAATGTTGAACGCGTGTAGTACGTGTGTTGGTGGGAGTATATGGTATACCTGGGTGCACTAGATACGGACTCTGGAGGGAGTACAATTATTGGCAGTGTACTTTGCACGATCAAGTGTTGTACATCTTTCATGTGATCAATGGCAATTAAGCGGAAAATGAGACAACAAATCAATGCATGATAGCATTATGACGACATTCTAAAGATCGATTACTACTTACTTCTCAAATATGATGACATAAGTCATTTTCTCGTCCTAGAAAATACTGTCTAAGAGAGTGAACTATTAAGATAACTTGAAGATAACTTGAAATTGTGGATATATATATATATATATATATATATATATAAGTTTTGAAGATTCGAGGGAAAAAAAAAAGAGAGGAGAGTAAACAGTAACTTACTTAATGATTAAAAGCTAGTTCAGTAAGTTTAGTTACTTATTATGAATTCAATGACTTAATTAAAAGTTAGATTAAAGAGTTATAAAAGTATCGAAAGGATGACATAAGTCTATTGTTTATCTATTTGATATGTATTCACGGAAGATAACATGGCCTGTTGTCATGCAACTGCAGGATGACGTTGACTGCTGATATGTTTGCCAAAGGTTGGAGATAAATAAATTTAGAAAAAAAAATGACGTGAAAATAGAGAGAACGCTATCGAATAGCAGCATATATACAAAGACCACCCGCGCGTCCAAGCTAATTGTTTGTTGAAAATTGAAATGATCATTTATCAAGTGTTATTTCATTCGTCTCATTTTAATAATTAATTAATTATACTGATTTTATTCAATAAATTGAATTATTAAAATGAAATGAGTATCATGTAATATTGTTCTGATACCACTTGTAAGTGTAGTTGAATTTACACAAGCTACAATATTCAATCGACATGATAATATAACGCGCTTAATTAATAGCCTAGGATTCTCATGTTACATGTTTTCCTTTATCATACAAACCATTGTAAATCCGAAAATAGAAATAATAACCAAATGCCAAACTAATTTTTCTTTTTTAAAAAATCAAAATAATAATTGTTCGTTGACGCGAAATGACTAGTTGCGACCTACGAAAGTGACCAGGTACAATGAACGCTGCTGCTACATTGCTTGGGTTCTGTGTACTTACTGAAGTCTGAAAGAACAAGTGAACAACAATGGAGGAATAAAAACGAAAATTAATTTGATTGTGTCTAGGTGCAATGAATCTCATTCACCATTGAATCAGACCAAAAAAAAAGGAAAAAAAAAAAACAAAACAAAAAAAAGGAGGTAGATCCCGATAAATCATCCTGAAATGGTAATGCTGGGGAGGATATATACTCGATGAAATGCGAAGTCTACATAATATACTCTCTCTATAATATAGTGTAGTTGTACATTTTAATATATAGTATTTACTAAATATAAAAAAGAATATAATATAGTATTTACTTATAAAAAGAATAATAAAATAAAGTTGAACATTAAAACTAGAGGGAGATTGTGAATTTTTTTGTATCAAAGCTCATAAATGTTTATCAACATTCAGATTAGTACCGATAGTTATGAACTCGTTAATGTAATAAATTGGAGTTTCTATTTTCTTTGCGTATGATTTTTGAAGTACTTCATCCCATTGTGGGCAGCTTACGCTTGAAAATGCATTTCATACTAACTTGAAGGGCACGTAAATAAGTGCCGTGCGGTATCGTAAAAATACTTATCTAGCTAGAAATGAAATCATTAATCTTTGTTAACGTAAAAATAAAAGTTATTTGTTTCTTTATAATCAGTAGATATTAATCTTAAAATTCAATGTACGATTTTTGTTTTGGAAGTAGTACTACCTAGTATATGAATAATTTGGACACATTTAAAGAGGGACACTACCCTAGGATAATTAGTCTGATGTTTTTTTAAGGTTTGTAGTTAAGATTAATTTATGATCCCATCCCACGGCACAGTTTTCTCATTTTATCCATCTCGGTTAACCAATCAAATGGAACCAAATTCTAAAACAAACACAAAACCTATAGGCTACACATATCCATCCGTGCAGGAATTGAAAAATTGAACCCATTTGACTACACCTTGAAAGAGCCACAGAAAAAATGACAAATATAATTAAGAGGGTCAAGATCATATATTATGAGGCTGTTAATTGTTTGATGTGCTTAATTGGTGTGTCCCACAAAACAAACTTGGTTGGATCCGGTAACTATTTCTTTTTCTGCCAAATTAAGGAACCATAAAATAAGAGCTTATACTAGTACTACCATTTTTATGATTGCAGGATGAAGTTGTATTCAAATATTCCTGGATAACTAGATTAGATGGATATATACGGCGGCCTAGTTAATGAGGATGAGCACTGTGTGTGTGTGTGTGTGTGAGGACGTGTAAAATGGGCATCCCGGATGAGCACAAGTTAGCCGCCACTTGTACTTTGCGTTTCGCTCTGGCCGTTTCATCGGGAGATCGACTCAATTCATCCTCTCTTTTTAAGTGTTTGTCGAGATCGGTTTAATTAGTAGTCGACAAATTTTATTGGGGACAGTTGTAGATGATTATATAATTGCATCAAATTTTCTGGAACCATCTTTTATTCATACACATTTTGAAAGTTGAGAGTACTTTTTATGGCTGTTAAATTTGTTTCTGCTCATTACTTGATCTATTTATTTAGTACTTATTTCTTGGCCTTGAAAGGATGATCTCGAGAGGCAAATTCAGGTAAAAGAATAAGTAATTCGTGGGTGATTTATATATGCTCTCATTCACAAAACTTAGTGTATTATTAGAAAAATGAAACAAATGACGTTATCATGTCACATTTCTAGTCATTCTATTACATCATTCAGGGAAATCTCGACAACGTTGTTAGTTAGAAGAAGATTGAACTTTATCATCAGTATTTTCTCTGGGAAGAAAATTACCTTGATAATCACCAACATCGATCTTTTGTAGTCATGCACATTTCCTACCCATTTTCCCTCATTCTTCTCCCCCAAAAAGAATACTAATTGACTTTATAATCATGCACTTACAACTACTCAATCCAAATTTGGTGTAATTCTATCCATGTGCCCCGTACATGGTCAACGTTAGTTACACTTATTTGACATTATTTTTCAAACTCAATCAATCGAATTCTAGCTAGCAACCTTCATAAACTAATTCTCCCGTCCGTCGCACCAAAACATTTTACTTTGTTAATCAAATGAAATAGTAGTATTTTTGAACAAATTAAGTAGACTATTTTTTTATTTTTTTTTTTGGATAGAATATTAGGGTCAAATGCAAGTTATTTTAAGGATTGAAAATCATAACCGCATAGAATGAGAGATTTCAACGGAAGTACAATCAGCATTATTCTGATCAATGATCACATTACACAGATTACAGGTAGATTAGAAGACGAGATCCATATGCGTATGTACTGGCCAAAATCAATTTGAAACATCAATTTCCATACCTTGTTCAAGTTTACACGTTTGTCCATATATACCCCTTGTTCAAGTTTTTGTTTAATTTTTAGTACCACATGTTAATTTTGGTTTACTTGCTCAAAATGATACGAAAACAAAAGTAAACAAAATCCTGCTATTTCTATATACACTATTAATTTCCTTGAAATTAAGTTGCTTAACTAATTAGAGGAACCGTTTGAAAATGGCGTGGGATTTTTATCTTTTGAGAAGAACCGCGTATTCCTACCTGGAAATGGTAATGCAACTCCTGAAAACAATGATCATCCCATCTCTTAAAGTACTACATGGGACACGGTTTTGATGCTGGATTAGTAGTGCTAAACTAAATCATTTTGATTAAAAAATTGGCACAATTACCAGATCCTTTCAACGAAGACGTAAGTGAATTTACACAAACCCCAAAAAAATTAATAAGACTACTGAAAGTTCAAAAAAGGGACTTTAAACACTTACGAAAATTTCCCAATAATTTCCAATACTAATAAACTTATACTCCCTCTGTCCCAACATTATTGTCCAGTTAGAGATATCACTTTTGGTATAATTTTAACTAGAAATAAAATTCAAACTGGACAATAATTATGAGACGTAGGGAGTATAAAAAGCATATTCTTAGTTTTTTTTTTCTCCTATAATATACTAAGTTCCTTTATCGTGAAGTCAACTTCAATTAGAAAAATTCCATCAAAGGAACCGCGAAATTGCCATGCAATTTCCAATACAAATTAACAAATGCTGCTGCCGCCAATTACCTGTAGCTTCTTTGCAATTCTCATTGGCCATTTCCACTTTGATTTAATGTTCAAACCCACCAACAACCAATTTGCATCATAATTTCCTTCCTATGCAATCAATCCCTATATATATTTATATAGTACAAGGTTTTTTGTTTGTTCTATCCGAGAATTTCTTCATAGTTATCAATGGCTTTGAGTAGTATTGCTAGCAAGTCACTGAAGAAATGGTTCACAAACAAGAACACTCTAAGGCAAATTAGCCTTCCTCTCTTTCGACACTTGAAATCGAAATCTTCATCTCAATCTGATCAAATCACCCTTTTCGCCAACAATTCATGGCCTAGAAAGAGCATAATCAGCCCGAGCAAAGAAGACGAACTTCGACAAGTTTTTCGCTTCTTCGACGAGAACAAAGACGGGAAGATCTCAGTGGACGAGCTCAGGTCGTATTTCGTGTCTGTAGGGGACTCGATGTCTCGCGAAGAGGCGGCAAAGGTGATAAACGAGTTCGATAAAGATGGGGACAGCTTGTTAGAGTTTGGGGAGTTTGTCGAATTAATCGAGCAAGACGAGGAGCAAGGTGATCATGTGAAGAAAGCTTTCGAGATGTTTGTTGAGGTTGACAAAGGATCATCATCATCATCATCTTCATCATCTGGATGCATCACTCCAAGAGGGCTACAACAAGTTTTGAAACGACTTGGAAATGTGAAATCGTTTGACGAGTGTAAAGCCATGATAGGAGTTTATGATCTTGATGGAAATGGCGTGCTGGACTTCAACGAATTTCAAAGGATGATGTCCTGAAAAACATTTGATATTTGGGGGGGGGGGAAGAGGAACAAAAATATCGTAAATATTCGCACACAAACAAAGCCTAATTAAATGGCAAGTCGAGTTGTGCGATTAATTGTTTTTTTTTCCCTTTTCTTTATAAGTGTATGTGTGGGTGGAAGGTTTTTGGCTCTATTTTTCTTCGATGAGCTTTAGTTATGGTTGGGCTTTGTTTGTATTAATGTTTTGCCGAGGTTTTAGAAAATTTTGTTAAGAGCATGTTATGTGTTTGTTTCTTTTGTTGTTGACTCTATGAGTTTGCTGCTTTTGGTAAATTAGTAATACGAAGAAAGAACAAAGAGAGGGTAATTGGGCCGGGCTCCTTTTACATATTTGCATAGTTATCCATCGTCCACAATAATAATTATTTCAATTTTATTATTCTGATTCATTGTAGATATCTGTATGTTTACGGGTGATTACTTTTTTCCATTGGGGTTCTTCATGATTATTCCGAGACGTGGCTTATATCCTCAAGAGACTCGAACTCTCATAGCTAACAGAGCCACTGTTAAAGAGTGATAGCCAAAAGAAATGAAATCATGCAATGTGTTAGTTCAAACATGCAATGAACTTCGAGGCAGAATGATAACCTCATAAAATTCGAGATAAATTCTCACTTCGAAGATAGTTAGAAATGCAGTTATATAGAACAAATTGTCAATGACACGTCCAAAATTTTTCCACTTGAAAAATAATAATACTCTTTTTCGTCCCGTCTCAAAATAATTATCTGTTTATGGTGACTGGTGAGGAAGTAAAATTTAAAGGACAAAAATAAACATGCGAATGAGCAGAACGAGACACGGCGGTAAAAAGAAACTAGCAACTTTGATATTGAAGATCAATAATAATAACATATCATTACTTCCTCCGTTCCAGTTCCAGAAAATATAGAGTATGCAGCCGAAAGGAAGGTCAATTATGTATATTGATGGTTGACCGATCAAAGTCTAGTAAAATTTCGCATTCATATATCATATCTCCAAGGCCCAGTAATTATCTTTGGTAGCAGAACTGAGCCTCCAAGCCCAATACAAATAGTATTAAAGCTCCTGTCAGGGCCCCATGACCGTCAAGGCCCACTCGGTTTACTACCGCAAGTGATATGCAACTACATAACCAAGGTTGGAAGAAAATTTTCTTTTGCTATTGATCTTTCTATTGCTCATGTACATCAAATTGATAGTATCTACAAGGTATGAAAGCGAATCGAATCTATACATACAAGAACAACGTCAAGCCTTTTCAATGAGAACCGAATCTATATTGTTCAAAAACACTGTCAAGATAAAAATTTCCTAGGTAATCAAGCTCTACCTGACAAAAATCTGTACTAATCTCAATGACAGCGAGTCCTTTAATATGGTAAGCTCCCGGTCATCCGGATATGATCCAAAGTCCTCTCCAGACCATATTTGAGAACCGCTTGATTAGCAGCTCTGAAACCATTTCCATAGATGGGAGATGTGTCTGATTCTATTTGGTGTTTGAAAAATTCACCTAGTTTCCTCTCGTATGGAGACCTTGTCCTTTGCTTTGAAGATGTAGAAGTATATGATGACATGGAAGAGGTTGACGCACCATTGTCGCCTGATGATGTGTGTTGAAGCTGTGACTGCAGCCACATATGAGCTAGAACTTGGCAGATACCTTCTTCAATGTCCTGACTGAGAGTTCGATATCCTGTATCAAAGGCAAACATATAAGAATTTTCCTTGTTCCACCATGTATGTTTCGAAGACAAGGAGTACACATGCGAAATGGTCCAACTTAAGTGCATGATTTTCTCAGCATAATAATCAATGGGCTAGGCTATCCCGTGAACAGTGCAAGGTACTATTCTGTATCGCAAAAAACAAGACATTTTATCACGTGTGTATCTGAAGCAATGCAATTTTAAATTGAACCTCTCAGTCGCAACCATGCATGCATCATCTCATGGGCTAAGATTGATCCAGTGAGCAACCTGCAGGAAACAAATTGTACATGCATCAGACAATGGGGAGTTTATTGAAATCAGGTTGCAGAAAGAGAGTTGAATTATTGACCTGGGAAGACCATATAGTATGAGAATTGCTGTCACTTCACATCGACGAGTCAGCTTAAAAGGCTCTTTTCTCACATCCATAACTCGATTTCCATTTCCCGTCCTTGGTCGCCTCAGAACCTTGTAATTCCATTAAGACAATCAAATGCCAATCTTATGGGACATGCTATGATGAAGGAGATATTTTAACATTCTTACTGTGCTAATAGTTTGCTCCTCAGATAGACAAAGTCCTCGCGTCTCAGGCATATGGTGATGTCCCTGATCAAAATGAAGCACCCAAAATTAAGTCTTATTTCAGCTTTTGGTAAAGAAAATGTAAGACAAGCAAATCAAAGGAGAGTATATTTGCTTGTTTCGTGGTTCATTATTACACGTGTTTATTACATGTTTCTCTCCGTCCATGGCTTCATTTAGTGCTTGTCTCTCAACCAAAAGTAATGGTACTTGCTGCTCCACTTTCATATCTAATCCCTCATAAAATTCTTGGATATCAAGATAAAGCGGTTGACACTCGCTTGTGTCCATTATTACAGAGTCCAGGCACTCCAGGCAAAGCTTCCGACCATCACCAAGGGCAACATATTTTGTATCTCTTGGCTGCTTGGAAGAAATAAATAAATTATGAGGCATAATACTTGCACATTACATCTACGTAAACTACATATTAACATAAAATGATAGAAAAACATTTTAAAAAAAAATCCTTTGCTATTGGCTGTCAAGTTTCTCTGATTAATTGAAAAGAGTTAAATCAGACTAACCTCCATTCTCTCACAGCTGCAACAGCGAGGAGTGCCATCAAGCTCATGGTAAGGGCAGTACTTCTGGGACCAGAAAGGATGCGCCCGGTATTCAATAAGGCCGGCAGCATTTGTTGGAATCTGAAGCAACAAAACCATAAGAAACATATTGGAATCCAGAAGATGTATCTAGAGATCTAGATTATTTAAAGTTAACTATAATATTAAGCAATATAAAACAAAGAGGTACCGGGCGTATAAATATATAAAAGAGCCTAACCCCCCACCCAGTAATTCCTAATGAAAAGAAAACCATAAATAAAATTCAGTCTAGAGCTTTAAAATATATAAAATAAAATAAAATAAACCCAGAAATGGGCTGAACTGTTTGACCTTAAAGCCCCCACCCAAACCACACCAAAAAAAAAAAAAAAGAGACAAGAAAAGGGCTAACTGCTTATCCTTCCATCGGACAGCCTTATCTGCCCACTTATGAACATTGATGCTTAATTTTTTTTAAAAAATAAAAATAAATAAAAAAGACTATTTATGCATCCTTCTTGCCTTGAAGATTGGCCTTTTAGGGACAAAACAATGATTTTGAAACTTATACTTGCAAAGGTTAATGATATAGTGTCACAGTTTCACTGATTACTGGAGCCCCATTGAAAACATAACAGATAGTGTTGCTACAAATTGAAGTAGAAAACGAATGAATCAAGTGTTAAATTAAGGTTCTCTTCTCCTAATCCATAACAGTTAACATCAACAGAGAGAAAGAGGGGGGGTAACCCTGCAATGCCCAATAGAGCAACTTTATATTGATTTCAGAAGGGAATCATCAATAGTTAGCTAGTTATATCCTCGTGGCACATATGCCATATCATTCTCCAAAACCAAGGAGGCTATTTACAAACTACCAAATTCAGTATTCCATTATAGTAGTATGACATAATAGTGAAAGAATCAACAGCACTTCGCACACGAAAATATTGAGAATATTACATGTTCCATACTAGTGCATGCGTGTAAGTTGGATAAGCAGGAATTACAAGTGACTAATGCCAAAATGCTTTGTCAATCAAATATACTTACAAAATGTTTGCAGACGTCGCATTTAGGATGATAGTGCTCTTTGTAGCAAGCTTTGTGATAAGGATAGCTCCCATACATAGAAAACTACATTTCATCGTAACATAAGAAAACAAAAATATGATCACTATATGAATTTTAGAGGGAAAATAATGAGTTTACTTAAACAAACATTACATATATAGACGCATTGCATCACATCTACACGCCTATTTACATTACAATTGATGAATCATTTGTGAATAGTCCACATACTTCAAACAGTTTATCCAGACACTGTGAGAATAAGGCCTTGCCCCAAGAGAAACACACACATTTAAAGCAACTTTCCCCAGAAATATGACCTTCAAGAGACATTTAGCTCCTATTTCAGCACTAATATGAGGAAATCATACAGATAAAGGAGTGAACTTGCCAAAAGTCTGTCTGTGTTTACTTTATACCCGAACAAGTCATTTTCTTTTATTTCCTTTACCATTTTGAAGACCAAAAAGTGGACATGATGCAGAAGAACTACTTTAACGATTAAACAGTTGCATATGATGCAGAAGCCATCTATTACAATGTAAAGATATTGTGCACTAGAACAATGACATTGGCCTGAAAATGAAATATAGTGAACTAAATCTTTCACAATTATATGGAAAATAAATAGTTACTTATTTTCTCCTTTGAAGAGAAAAAACAATCAGCACATAGAAAGGAGCTAAAGTGTGGTAGAAACTGTAGAAATAGCATGAAGATTGTCGTACCTCATAATCCGATATTGGTTGGTTACAGGCATGGCAACGGAAACACTCTGGATGCCAGACTGCTCCCATGCAATTTAAAAACCTTCCATGTCCAATCTCAGTATAGCAACCAGCACATATCCTGCTGTAACAAGCAGATAACCTAGTGAGAATGGACGATAAATGCAACAAGTTTACCCCAACATTACACTGGATACACACACAACATATTAAGTCACAAGGGCCACCCACAGAGGTGATGTGTTTCCATGAAACAAAGGGAGGCAGATTATAAGAGGTTAAATTCCAACCAGATTTTCCGAATGATGCTCCTCATACATGGATAAGGGAAAAAAAAGTCCAGGCAAAGGCGGTACCAGAACTCTACCAAGTGATGTGTCTAGAATATTGCATTGCAAAATTAAGGGTACAGCTTAATCTGTCTAACTGAAAGCAAAAAAATGAAAGTACGCAGCCAGAACAAGAAAATTACCTGAAACCTATCGAATATGGGTAATGCATGGGTTGATAAAGGTTTCCCATTCCACGTGCACTTTCATTTGCACTGCTTCCTCTGTTTCCACGTTTAGGTGGAGACTCATCAGTCAAGCTCTCCTGTAGAGCTCTGGCGAGTTGTTCATCTTCTTTCAGTTGAGTCTCAGAGTCTGGAAAAAGATGAAGATTATTGCATAAGGAAATCATTCGATGGCACACAACCACAAACTACAACCATCTCTCATTATGAGTAGTAACAGAATAACAGTTTTGAACTAAGGGAACAGCTGCATTGGACTTAGTTCATCATAACCTTATCAAATCATCACAGTAACGTATTAAAAGGTTGGCGAGGAAAACTTGAGGAGAACCTGGGAAATTAAAATGACAACTTATATCGTGAATGGAAAACTGAAACAGACGACCACTTTTTCAATTTCACAGAAGAAACGAAGCACGAATATCAACCATTACAAAAAACGTGTAAAGTTTGTATACAAAATTTCAAACACGTAGAACCATAGATATTCCCAAATCAACTCCTAAAACTATCAACTCTTAAAGTATTAACATATTCCGCACACATAAGATATCTTTGCAACAAAGTATGGCCTGGTTAAAACCAATACTGAAACTAGGTTATATAAACTCACCAACTACATGTTTCCCTTTCTGGTCCTCTTCTGCAAGAGATAATGCAATAGCACGGTCAATATCTTCAGTCTCTGACGTTGTATCCTACATAAAAGGTTCAAGGATAGTAAGAGAGCGGTGCTGACAAACTGCCAAAGCATTAACTAGCAGTTAAAAGGTGCATTAATAAGAAGCAGTTAAGCATGCGGAGGAACTTGGCAAAGATGCTTACCCAGGAACTGGAAGGATAGTTTCCCAAGTAATCAACATCATATCTGCGGTCATACTTCCCTTCTGAAAGTTTATGGCTCGACCCTTTGAATATTTTACTCAGCCAACCCATTATGGGTTCAGAAGTAACTCTTCCGTGGCTTTTCGAAAAGATCTTGATAATTAATGTAAATAATTTAGCTGCAAGAATTATATGAAAAAAGAATAAGCCAGACCAATGACTGCGAAAGAAAGTATCTATATCAAGTAAATGTACAGCAGTTTGCATTATGAGAAAAGAATGTTAGGAATGGCAGGAGATCAATTAAATCCTCGATCAATAGATTCTTTCACCACCAAAGTGCCAATTTTTATCATCAAAGGGACTTCACTAACTCGGTTGCCAATTCAGCAGCTTCATCATTTAGGAATTAATCCAACATTCAAACATATAATGATCATAATGTGTCAAAATGAAAAATCTTGCTTCAAAGTTCACGTCTTTCCCAAGATAACCTATCCATACCTTATCAAAAACTTTATCCAGCAAAAGATCTTAGTACAGAACTCACTCACTATGTTTCTAGGAGAAGGAAACCAATCAATCATAAAGAAAGTGCATCCATATCCAGGTTCATTTGGGATCCAAAGATTCCATCTTGTTTGAGGATAAATATACAGAGCTAAGCGTAAAAGTAATGATCAAAGCAATGCAAATTAACTCTGAGACCAATGGAAACAACAAAACAACAATGCAGCAATTAGACATCCAATTCGACAATTAGGACACCGTACAGGTTCACTTAACTAGTATAATGATGCAACTAAAGCATATGGAAAACCAACATAACAGAAGACGAGATAAGAGACAAAAGTGAAGAGCCTACACATGTTTTTCCAAAATAGAAACAATGCCTTGATCCCATAAAAGACGAAACACAAGGTTCCATTCAAAAAATAAAAAATTTGCAGTACATGGCCACAAAATGTATCAGAGAAGAAGATTCTTTCCAGCTCAACTCTGTCGATCATATTGATGAAGAAAACCAGGCGACACTCTCAACAACAAAAGCACCGCCAAACAACAACAACAACAGATAAAAAAAATAAATAACTGGACATACGACTCACCTCAAATCACAACTAGGAATCAGCATCAATGAATGAAAGGGGGAAAAAAAGGACCCCAGATCACAAAAACCCGATTAATCCAAAAGCAAAAATCTCTCAATGGCAATCTTCATCTTCCACACAATCACGTCCTTCCTAACTAAACTATAAGAACCCTTCAACGCCCAAAATCTTGGAAATCCCAATCTTTTAACAGAATTGAAAATGGGAAAAATCCCCTCTAGAGTGATTCAATGAGGGTATAAAACAATGAGAACGCAGAAAAAACGAGACTTCAATCATAAGGAAATAAAATAAATTTTTGATTTTTCAAAGGTCAAAGAAAGACAACCGTGTGGAACTAACCATGACGATCGTGTTACTTTCTGGTGAAATCTAAACCCAGAAGGGTTTGACAAAATTAAAATTTATCAAACCCTGCTGGGGCGGGGGGCGGGGGGCGGGGGGCGGGGTGAGGATTAAAAGTAAAGTTTTTTAGCAATGTCGTAATGGGAACTGTTAGACCTCTTTTGGAGAGATTAATGTTGTCACCAAAGTGGGTCCCCCCCTAACCTTTACTGTTGGCGGAAATGAAGGGTTAATAGAAACAATACTATTTAATGTCTAATGATTAACTTTCTAAAACTTACTATTACCATAAACTTATGTGGATTTTGTTTCCGTAAATTAAAAAGGATGTCTGTACTACTAACTGTAATCATATCCATCCATATATTCAAATAAGGAAACTTGCACCCATTACAGTTTAGTCTCTAAGTTTGGAAAAATCCAATAGATTAATCCTATTCAATTTTAATCTCAAAATTTCGAACAAGTATTTGGGTTTCTAGTTTTTTTTTTTTTTTTGGTACAATAGAGGAGGCAAATGCCTAGCGAAACTATAAAAATAAAAAGCATTGATATGATATACCAACTAGATCATGTTGCAACCATGGTCTTACAGTCGCTGGTGGCTCTTTCAGTCTCAGCAGTCCTCCAACATTCGACGCTGCTAAAGATGCTAACGAGTCAACAGCAAAATTCCGTGCCCAATAAATGTGTTTCAACTCAACGGACCACGGTCTTTGTAGTAAATCACGAATGGCCATGATCAAAACCCGATGCAAACCAACCATTGCTTCCTCATTCTCGGCCAATTTTATCACGCTAAGATTGTCGACCTCAGCTAATATATTTTGCATCCCGAGCTCCCAAACAAGGTGCAACCCCTGGAACAAACCCCAAAGCTCCCCTCTAATTATAGAGCATGGTTTTCTAGTTCTAATGTGTCGCTAAAATATATTTGTAAATAATTGAAGTTTTTTATTCAATCCTTCCACTTATAATTTGTTTTTGTTAACTAAGATTTTTGAATATGTAATAAAAAATAAAAAGGGTTATTTCATAATAAAAGTAATTATGTAACAAAGTACTAGTATTATTTTGCAATGGAAAATGCACACAAATGGTAATGTAAACATTTTTGGAGGCGAAACATACAGATTATTAAAATATAACAAAAATTACATTGATGACACAACCTAAACTTGAGATATCTAACTTAATCCCTTTTATATCTAGACTTAATACGACCATATTAGCTAGTGTTTTTCCTTCCCTCGCAAAAATGGTTGTACATCAATCCGTTCAGCCGTAATTTTTTTAATAGTTCCAATGGTTATACTTTTTGTCTGATCATATTCTTAACACTTTTTATTCGTCTGCGTCGTACATTATTTTCAATCTCTTAATACTAACTGTGATCCTTTCTCACTTAATCCATCCATCGTTCTTCTTGGTACCAGTTCCCGCATCTTCTCTTCCTCTGATTTTGATTGCTGGGCTCTAATTTGGTTTAGTGGGTTGATTTAATTTTGGCAATAGAATAAATGGTGAAGGAAACTGATTCAATCTAGATAATAATGGGATGAAAAACCAATATGATTGTCGCAAACTCGATTGCTTCGTGGAAGTCTTCCGGTGATCGGGTGATTTCTGACCAATTTTAATTTATTTTCTCTGGACGTTTTTCCTGTTTGAGGCGTCAATATATTCGCATGCTTCAAGATTTCTCGTTAATGTTAATGTACATATTCCCTTCGTCCCGAAATTATTGTCCAGTTTGAATTTTTTTTTCAGTTTGGATTTTTATTTTTATTAGTACAACTTAAACTAAAAATCAAAATCTAAATAGAATAATAATTTTGGAACAGAGAAAATAGTTATTATCTTCTCACTTCTCCTTTTACTTTTGACTTAGAGCATGCTTCCTAATTAATGTTCCATTATTACATGGGTTCTGAGTTTCTTTGGCTTCATTTGGCTAAGCAGAAAGAAATTTTAATAAGATGAACTATAAGATGAAACATGAAGGAGAAGAAGGATTGTAGTTTATTGACTTTGCTCTAAAGGTAAAAAAAACATTCACTCTTAGAGCACTTGAGGTTTCAAATTATTTACTAATTTTGTGGGGGATTGGATTAATCTTGGCAAATTTTTAGCAATTTTATTTTCAAGTGTTTTACCCTTAAATGATGATTTGCTTTGTTGTACATTTCTTTAATAAATAATATACAGATTTTGCTCAAAATGTAAAAAGTAAAAGCGATGAAATTGAAAATTTCTTACGTTAGACTAAATTTCTCCTGTAAAATCTAATTGAATACGAAGACACAAACTCGACAAGTTGAGTTCGGGTGTTACAATTTTCTATTTGAGTACTCATGTAAAGGACTAATTAACAAATTAGTCGTATTCCTCATTCAATTACAACATCTACATGTCTTAAACCCCACAATAACCAATTACGTATCAGTAGTTCCTCAAATAATTATGCTGACTAAATTTCTTCCGTGGACATAGTTATTTGGAAAAAATTTTTTTAATGAATTCGCTGAAGTTAAGCGTGCTTGGGTGAGAATAGAACTAAGATGGGTGACCCCTGGGAAGTTTTCGTGTTGTACCCCTCTCTCCTTTTTTTTATTTTATTTAATATAATGATTTTCGTTTGGTAAAAAAAAAAAATCGCTGCAGTAACTTATGTATCCATTGTTGTCACTACACCCTACTGTTGAATTCATGATGAGACTGTGAATAGACCGTAAATGTGTAGAACAAGTGAGTAAAAAAGAATATCATAGAAGAAAATGAAACTGTTTACCAATTAGATGTTCATTGTTGTTTGGATCGCAATGCAACTTATTTCTCTCAAAACCAAGCCCAATTGATAAAAACGGGGTGTTAACAAGCTAGGTTGATTAAAGCACATGATACTCTTTCTCTTCAAATTAATGTATTTCATTGATATAGGCTATAACCAAAGATAAGATTGTTTATGATTGTATCCCTTGATCACCTTGAAAAGATTTAAGCAAAGTAAATAGTCACGCTTTTGAATTGAATGAAGGGACAAGTTTTTGGACAACCAAATTTCAATTTTTGGGCAACTTGTGTCTTCAATTGGACAGAAAAAAGATAATACTACAATAATAGAGCAAAAGGGGTTTTCAAGAATCTACCATGAATCATAAAACGCACGAAGTGTCACAACTAAATATTCATACATGCATATTATTGAACTAAATCTTCTTAAAAATATGAGGAAAAAAAAGTTGAAATAAGTGAGGGGGACACATATATTATACTTGCGGGTCGGTGCTGTATTTAATAGTAAAATTCTTCGTTAATTTAATTGCAACTTGCAGTTTTGGCATATATTGAAAAATTAGAGGTAATTAAAGTTAGTAGGTCCAAGCAATAGGGAAGGTAGGCACAGTTGAAGAAGTATTGAGCTGAAGAATTGACAATTCCACGTACAATGAAAGATTTTACAAGGAATTGTCAATCCTCTCCCAATGAATTGGTGACTACTACACCCTTGGCATTTCTTCTATGAAAAATACAAACGTAAATGCCAAAAATGACGTGTCATGACCAACACCTGCTTGTATTTCTATCCCCTTATTAATTATGTATAGGCAAGTTTTGTAAATAATATTACTCCCTCCGTCCCAAAATTAATGTCTTATTCGTTACAGTGTATAAAACATTGGTAAGCTAGTGACGACCTTGCTTCATATATATGTACAATCATGTTAAGTTTCAATCATGTTAAGTTTCGTTTGTGTGCCAAGTAGTGAGACAATATTGTGCCATGCACCGATGCTTTCACTTGTAAAAATTTTTGTTAGGCTAGGCTCCCCTTCGGTATTTTGCATTATTCACGACAAGGTAATGAAATGCACATTTCCTTACAATAAAAACAGCCACTGATGACATTATATAAGACTATCAAGTTAGGAGACGAGAAATACTGAACATTAGAAATGATTTTTTTTTTATTTTTATTTTTTTTGCATGAAATGGATTATTTGTGAGTATATTTCTCTATTTGTAAATGAACTGGTCTCTTTCTTTCTTATTTGGGGCCTTTGGCAAAATTCCACATTAGATGATGATGATGATGAGGAGGAGGTAGTAGATGTAGGCGAGGGAGATAATGGTGGTTGTCACCATCTATGGCACCTCCTCTTTTGGGGTAGTCCCCCACACTCACACAAAAACACACACTCACACACTTCATTATTTATCAGTCTGCTGGGAAAGGGAAGGCCGTTTGTATTCTGATGAGTCACAAAGGGCACCTCACAAACGCCCTCCGACAATCGATATGTGGTCCCTTTTCAATTTTCTGCTAAAGTGTTACCCACACAAAATCCCTTCGCCATTTGATCCCCCCGCCCCAACTTGCTTCTTCATCATCGATCGATCAAACTCTTTTTTCTAAATACCCTCTTCTTCTTTTTTCTTGGTGTGTGTGTGTTTTTATTTTTTGTTCGGAGGTTGATATAATAACTACTCCCTCTGTCCCAAAATTATTGTTCAGTTTGAAATTTCACTTTTAGTACAATTTGAACTAAAAATGAAAACCTAAACTGGACAATAATTATGGGACGGAAGGAGTAGTACTAATATATATGTATAAACCAGCTTTCATTAAGCAATCATGTCCGTCAAATTAACAAATTAAACACCTTTTTCCATAGACTTTTCGTTTCATGCTTTGTGATTAATTAAAAAGGTGACGGTACATTAACTCTTTGATTTGTTCTACCTTTTTAGCATTATGGATGTTGTGGGAAAACGTTAATTTATTGATGTGAATTGAACCATATTATGTGATAAAATGTCTCTAAAAGTCTCCATTAATTAATACCCATGTTGATCAGACGTTCGTCACTTGATGATCAAATTATGACCTTACCAATTTGCAAACTGCTGAAGAGGCCTGATCTCCAAATTAAACCCCTTACATGTATCGTTATGATCAAGCTAGTTAGTAATTATGCGATGAAAATTCGGAGGGGGGAATCAGAAAAGCGACAAAACATCCGAAAGGTTTATGCTAATCTCTCGAAAGACTAAAAGAAAACACTTGATGTTAGACTTGTTTATGGCAAAATTAATCGAATTACATTGCAACGGTATCCTGTTTGAATCTGTTAGCTTCTTCGAGATGAACAAAGGCATGTTTCTTACTCGATTAGTTGGAGCTGCCCGTAAATCTAAGTTTAGTAAGCTTTCCCACCCCCAATTTTTGTAATTTTTTAATAAATTATATAAAAGAAACCAAATAATAATTTGTTGGCACTTTGTACAAACATATTGATCGATCGTGATTGAAATGACATTCTTTTTTTCCGTTCATGAAGCATGAGCTACACCTAAGTAAATACATATAACCCTCATACTAATCATCATTGAAATGAGGTATATTCAAGTCTATCTTACTCAGCCTTTAGTTCTTACTTCTTTTTTAGCAAAATGAGGGAAACCTAGCTAGCTAGTATGAAAAATTGAAAATTGCATATGAATATTCCTCTTTATGTTCTTATGATTATTATTATTAATCACAAAAAACGGCCAGAGCCTTGGAGTTATACGTTTGACACAATAAGAGGGACACACTTCATGAGTTTTGTAAACGATTTAGTTCATTTCCTAAATTGAGAGAAAATGATCAACATTAATCGTGGACAAGGACATATATTCTGTAAAAATAGATTTTAGGGTTTTATTATAATTGCTTATCCAACTAAATAAATTCGGTTAATTTGGCAACATATACAACACCCAATCATGAGATCCAGCTTGCTCACTTGAGTTAATTAATATAGTATAAAAAATACACATATTTGGTGGAAGTTAATAGTAGCAGTAGTATATATAGTACTACTGGAGATTGAAAATGCCAATTGCTGCACCGGTAGTACGGATACAAACTACAAACTGAATCACTAAGTAATTGTCAAACAGTAGTTTTCCTTGAAAGAGATAGAATCATAGGTAACCCCTTTAAAAAATTGAATTTGTTAGTATGTTACCATTTTTTGTAGGTCATACTAAAATGACAAACAAATTTGAACTCCCATTTGGCCAAATATATATATATATATATATATATATATATTTATTTATTTAGTCAAATACTTCATCACCTCATTATTATTCTAATGCATGCTCATTTAGATACAACCGACGGCCAAGATTTAAACGGTCAAAATCTTAAACAACGTAAGAAAAAGCCACTCAAAATGCTGCAGTACCATAAGTAAAGATGAGATCTTTATTTATTTTTTGTTCTCCAATTCATCAAGGAAGTGACTTACTGACCTTTCTTCACTTCACTATATAGTCATTCTTTTATATATAAGTACTACTAGCCCCTCTAATACCATATTTCAATATGCAAATGATAAGTTTGTATTTACTACCCAAAGTATAGAAAGTTTGGTGAAAGTGAAGTGAGAGAGACAGAGAGACTGGGAGAGAGAGAGAGAGAAGAAGAAGAAGAAGAAGAAGAAGAAGAAGACCCTATTTGTGAGCTATATAGAGATAGAGCTGCTGCTTTCATTATCCCCATCTCTTCCTGGCTAGTTTTCTTGTCATATATTACTCAATCATTTCCAAAACTATGTAGTTGGTTTTTCATGAAGGAGATTCCAAAAACAAATACAGAGCTACAACAACAACAACAACAGCAGAAGAAGCAGATTTGATCAGCTAGCTGCTCACGGGTTTCATCATATCATCTCCTAACAGAGATATTAATGATGTTTTCCAGATACTACTACTTCTGCTGCTGCTACATATAGTCCAAAAAAGCCAACCTTTCATTACAGGTATTCTTGAATAATTGTCATCATATATATATATATATATATATATATATGCTAGTAGGAAAATTGAGCATTTTTATGACCTCAAAAGTTACTTCCTTTTGGAAAGCAATAATCTCATCTTCATTATTGACTTGTTTTTTTGAATCTTGTAAACCAAATATGGTCATAGATTTGATGATATTAGATATGAATTTGAAAGGAGTTAATAAACCTTTACTCAATTACAACTCTTCTTTTTACATAACTTTTGGCTTCAGGTTTCAAGCCAAATCCAAATCCAATATGTCTCAAGAATTTCACCAACCAGCTGGAGTGTACAATTTCTCAATCAATGGATATGATGAAAGATCTCAAAACATGAAACAACAAGCTTCCGGGGATTGGATCAGCCCAGCGGGTAGAGGATTTGGGCTGCAGGATGAGCAAGTCCAAGTTGAGGTTTCAGCTGGAGGACAAGTAATATATGATACCGGCGGCGCCGGAGGGGGAGGGATTTTGACTGAGATGATGATGATGGATGGTTTCTCCCGGCAGGCCGGAGGAAGAAAGCCGCCGGAAACCAATCGTCATCACCTCATATTAGATGGTCAGATCCATCATCAGTCCAGTTATAATAATAACAGATGGTCACAGAAACAGCCTCTGGCATTGACAGTAAACGAAGCTGTGGTAAGTTTTTTAAACCCAAAAACCAAAAATAGTAGTAGTATTAATTACGATTTTTATTTTTATTTCTCTTTTGGATACTGTTACAGAACTTTATTTTATTTTATTTTTTTCTGTTCACTAATTTTCATGCAGCTTCCATTAATGAACCCTCATAATATTAAAGTTGTATCATCGTCGTCTTCTTCAAGCTATCATCAAGTTGACCACAACAATAATAATAATAATAATCCTTCCCAACCTTCTTGGATTATTAATCATCATCAAGGTAACGAAGTAGTTGTTGTTGATGACCCTTTAAAAATTGGTCGGACAATTGATCATCATCAGGGTCAAGGATTATCTTTGTCATTATCTTCTTCATTACCAACAACCTTGGAACCCGCTAAATTCCAAGAATTAAGAATAGGTGGAGGTGGAGATGGCGGTGGGATTCGTAATTTCTATGATACTAGTAATAATAATAATGTTCATGGGAATTTTTACGGGTTGAAGAATCATCATCAACATCATCATCAGGAACCCAATATTCCGGATCATTATCAGATTCATTTCGGACATCCGGCTGCTTCTTCTTCGAGGTTGGGGAATGTGTTGAGGAATTCTAAGTACTTAAGGCCAGCTCAAGAGTTGCTTGAGGAGTTTTGCTGTGTGGGAAGGGGACAGTTTTTTAAGAAGGTGAAGGGAGGAGGAGGACAAAATAGTAATGGAAACCCTAAATCCATTTCTACAGGAGATGGTGTCGGTGGCGGTGGTTCGCCGGGGGGTTCGTCGACTTCCTCCAAGGACCGTCCGGCGCCGCTTTCAGCTTCTGAAAAGCATGACTTTCAAAGGAAGAAGGTCAAGCTTTTGTCCATGCTTGATGAGGCAAGTGTGCTTAAATTAACTATCTTTTCTAGTAGTTTTTTGTTTTTTTCTTTAATTTAAAAATTTGTTTTTTTGGTGGCATTTTATAATCTACTACTATTTGCGTCTGGCATGCAATGAGAATTTCAGGCGGCAGACTAAGATTTAGATTCCTTCTTGCACCAACAAATCAAATCACTACATTATTTAGTATACATATTTGATATTAATTAACTAAGCCATTTTAAAATTAATTCGCTACGATTTATTCAGTATCCATGTGCTACCAATTCTTGTGTATATTTTCTTTCTTCCTTCCTTAGTTCTGGCAGGATACCATCTGGGGGTACATGTCGAATGAAGAGAGACATGCCTCCATTATAGAGGTTCAAAATATGCATGCTAGCTAGATCTACCTTTCATGATTAATGAGAGAATTTTAGTCTCCTTTTTCTAAATTGTTGAGCAAGAGATTAATTTAATCTGTGCTAACCCAAAAATATATTTTTTTCCATAAAAATCATGTATTTCAACCACTTTCAATAGGGACCATGATTGATCTTTTCTCATTTCACTGTTTGTGCTGAGTATTTAAACTTATCTCTTTTTTACACAATTGAGTTGTTCCATTGACACTAAGGTATCAAATTAGTCTTTCAATATTATCTTTACTTAAACAAATGTTAAAAAGTTTGAATAAAGCCTAGTGTTACGCTGAAACCGTCAAAGAAAATGGACCTCCCAACTCCATCCCCAATCTGTATTATATTCATCAAAAACCATAATCACATAGCTAATAATTGAGTCCCTTTTACTATTTTTATGAATATTATGGTGGCTAGCTAATTAATTCAGTATTGGTGCAGCTTCCTTCGAGGAATTGATCTTCTAGTCCGTACCGTACCATTAATTGATGCTAAATTAACAAGTGTCTCCACTTTCTTCCGCAAGCCAAGAAAGTGTTATATTTGCTGGAAAAGTCTGATAATTGTAGCTCACTTGTCTGTTAATCACTAGACACTTTATGCTTCACGTGTACTAATTATTTCTTATACCCTTTTAATCTTTTGGGTTTATTTGTTTAATGTTCATTAGCCAAGTGTCACGTAAATTAATAAATAAAAAACTTTTGATAGATTCTCTCTCACTGCCATTAGATCAAACTCCAATATCAGATTAATAACTCGTTGAGCAGTTCAAAATCAATTGACAATGGGTGAAACACGTTTCTGATATGTGATTATATTTCGTAACGTTTTGTGTGTGTGTGTGTGTGATTAATTAGGTGGATGCAAGGTACACGCACTATTGTGAGCAAATGCAAGCAATAGTAAGCTCATATGATTCGGTAATCGGATACGGGGCGGCGGCGCCGTACACAAACCTAGCTCAGAAGGCAATGTCAAGGCATTTCAGGAGCATAAAAGATGCAATCTTGGGTCAACTCAAGGCTACATGTGAAGCCCTTGGGGATAAAGAAGTAGCTGGAACAGTAGGCTTAACAAAAGGAGAAACACCAAGGCTGAAAATGCTTGAACAGAAATTCAGGCAGCAAAAAGCATTTCACCAGTTGGGAATGCTTGATCCCGAAACCTGGAGGCCACAAAGAGGGTTGCCTGAACGATCTGTGAACATTTTGAGGGCTTGGCTTTTTGAACATTTTCTTCATCCGTACGGTTCTTCTCTTTCTCTCTTCTTCGTGACTTTGATGATCAGTTTTTGAGTCAGTAAAATAAGAAAGTTACTATATAGTAAAGGAGCGGTGATTTTTTTGTACTGCGTGTGCATGGAAATATGGAATCTTTGTATTTACATGATTGTAATTGATGATTGGAAAAAAGCTGTTAGCTTGGAAGAGAATTGTTTTAGGGATTTGATGATTTTCTTTCTTTTTTCATTTTTTTTTTTTTGGGTGGGATTTTGAATGTGATAAGTCCTGAATTGGAGTATGGTTTCGCTTTGTCTGTGATCATCATCATCAGGTACCCAAGTGATGCAGACAAACATTTGCTATCCAGGCAGACAGGCTTATCGAAAAACCAGGTATTCTTTACACCTTTTTAGATGCCATATGAAAACTGATGTGTCGTATGTTTGAAAGGTTAATCATCATCACTTTGCCCCCTTTAAGTCAGCTTTTGAATTTTTGTCTCTTTTCTTTTTCGAAAAGAGTAGTAGTTTTGCATGCATGCGCTCATTTCAGACTGTAAAAACTAGGAATTACAATTGCTTTAGAGCGACTGTAAAACTCCCGTATATATCACAGTTTTTTTCTTTTTTTGGTGCAATATATATCACAATTTTTGATACAATGTGATGGATGCAATTTTTTTAAGACGAAGTGAGTACAAATAAATAAAATATACATACATATATATATACACATATATATATATACAGTATATATGTGTTTGTAACTTGGGAGTAAACAAAATGAAAAGGTATTTTGAATGCAACTAAAATTCCTGAAATAGTTGTTGTCTTATGGGATGGGAAGAACATTTTGAATTACAATAGAGAGAAATTACATTGTCGATTATTTTGATTTTATTATTTTAATTTAGCAAATAAGAAACTCTAAATTAGAGGGAGATGTATTTTTGTTGTATGTATGAGCTAATACGATACCATACTCGTCTTGGATCATCATACTAATGTCACTCTTACAGAAAAAAGATTAAAATATGTATTGTGGAACAAAGTTAGTTTTATTCAACTCCAGTATCGTTGTTGATCGGCATATGATCAATTCATTTCTTTCATTTGCCAGATTAAATAACATTTTGTTCCAATTACTCTGTCGAAAATTTGGAGTAGGCAATTCAAAAAAGAGTTTTTCAATGCTTAGGTTTGAAAAAATTGTATTTTTTGTTATTTACATTTCACATGTTAGAACAAGTTTTTAGAAAATTGGTGGATGTATCATTAATCAAGGCCTTGATGGAGGAATGGAGGTAAATTCATTTTTCCATATAGAGAATAAAATTACGTTTATTCTTTCTACCTCAAAATAATTCTCTTATTACTATTTTTTGATATAAAAAAAGAGGACATGACAATCATATGAGACATAGTGAATACACATTTTTAATTTTTATCCCTTAATCAACCTTCAAATTCATGTGGGCTGCTAAAAGTTATACGAATAGCGTATTAAATGGATGAAGAGAAATAAATGTGTTTACTTCCAACAATGAATCAAGGACCACCTGCCAGTTTTCATATTATATTGATAACATCTTTTTCCCTAGAGCAAAAGACATTCTCACTGCAAGTAGACCACACTCATCTGCCACATTGTTTTTGATTTCATGAAATGAATTAATGCAGCCCTCCTAATTAATGATTCCATCTACCTAATTGCACATATCTTTTTAAATTATTTTTGGCAGGTTTCAAATTGGTTCATAAATGCAAGGGTAAGATTATGGAAGCCAATGGTAGAAGACATATACAAAGAAGAGGTCAAAGAAAATGAAGGTCAAGAAGATAAACAACCATCCATAGTAAATCCTAAAACCACCATTGATCCTCAATTAGGGAATAAATCAGATGAAGATAATAATGATGATGATGATTCAGATCATCATGATGATCATCATCAGGACCACCATAGCCAAAGTGAAAGCCAAAACATGGAGTCAGCAGCAGCACAAACTCCAAAGCAGCCAACAACAATGTTATCATCATCATCATCAGAAGGAGGGTTAATAAGGAGATCAAGATCCGAAATCAATGCTGCGGAAAGAGACCCTTCAAAGAACATCATCAGTAATAATCATGGACAATATTACAACACCACCTTGGGAAACTCTCAAGCCATTCTTCAAGGTACCACAGCCACCACCACAGTTTCTTCTTCTTCTCCTTCTTCTTCTTCTGCTCATTTTCATCATCAAAATAATCATCTTCTTGATCACCATCAAACAATGCTGCAAATGTATGGTTGTTTTATGGGGAATATTCATCCTCATGAGGCTGCAGTAAGCATGTTGAATGGCGGTGGTGGTGGTGGTGATCATAGAGGAAATCTGTCTGAATTTGGAGCTCAGGCTGGGGATATTTCCTTAACCTTAGGGCTTCGCCATTCCACCAATGTACCGAGAAAGAGTACCACTCATGAGTTCTCAATTAGAGATTTTGGTGCATTTTGATTTTAGTGCACAAATATTATATAGACTTAGTTTATTATTATAAGATTTTAAAGAAGAAAAAAAGAAAAATGAGAGAGTGTAAGCATGAATGCATGAACCCTATAAATTTTGTGTGATTGCTTGATTACATTTGGTTCCAAAAATTGAAATTGTACGTATATAATTAAGAGTGGTATAGTATTAATTTTTTCCTATTGTTCGTTTTGTTTATTTGTTTTGGAAATTTTCCGTTACGCAGTATCATTCCTACTAATAATATTTTTACTCCTACATATGTCCAAATAAAAAGAATAGTAAATAAACTAGTTGAACCGTTTCAATAAATTAAACGATCAAAACTCTTATATTAGAACGGAACGAGTATTAGAAATTTCACATAAATGTTTCACTTCAAATCTTCAGTACAGTAGAGCGGGAAATTAAAGAAAAGATCTCTTTGGGAGGAATGTTTTGAGTTTCTAGGAATGCAACAAAACTTTATAGCAAGGAATAGTCGGAAAAAGACTACATGGAATCTATAATAATGTAAAGGCACTATCAACAAACAAATATGATTATTTTGAGGACTTAATAATTGGAACTGTTTGTTTCTGGTCTCGTCTCTCATGCACAACTTTTAGATTCTAATAGCGACACTGATCATGAAAGCATGTAAAAGTTTAAACTTTTAATTATATGGTCTCTGGGCCCCGATCAGTAGTAACTCATGATATATAGATAATGTATTCTTTCTATTGATGAATAAGCTCCTAGAGTTGGAGTTAGATGACCCTAAATTAAAACTTGTTTCACTTATACTATGATACCAATATCCTGTTTATAAAACAACGCCGTGATTTTTACAGCGAAAAGGGTTGAAAGTTGAAACGTAAGAAAGTAGCTAGCTCGCAAGTTCCAGTTACTTAAATGTGTAAAATGATAGTAAACTTAAATGTAGCAGGGCAGCACTGTCCTTGCTTTTAATTTCCCATAATTTAATAGGTAAAGACAAAGTTGAAAGATTTATATATATAGTATGTGGTGTCACAGGTCATTTATCAATTGAATGAATGAGAGGAGTGGTTTTTTTATTTGACAAAATTCAAGCAGAGATGGGCTCTCACTGGCCTGTGATCAGAGCTGCGGATACTATCAATGGAATCATAACAATGTAAGGTCGCATTTATGTGGTCATGGTCATCTACCTTGAACAATATTCGATCTGTCCATGATGGCACCCTCACCTGCGTTCAAAACAAAATTGGTTACTTAATGCGTGGGGTAAATATAGTGTTTTAAGGGCGTTGAAATTAAGGAGTTACATATACATACTCACTTCGTACCAAATTAAGAGTTATTTTTATTAAATGCAACAATATGGACTCTTATAAGATGAAAGGAGTATTTGTTAGAAGAACTTGAGGATAATGTACCTTGTGACTGGTGTCATAATTGCTGCTTCCGATGTTATACTTATAAGTTGGTTTGAATGCTAATGTGCCTTCATAATAACCATTGAAAATCTGCCCTCTTTCCGCTTGCTGTAGTAGCTGATCCTTGCTCGTCAGTTGCTACATAATTTAACAGGAATTGTATTTTAAATAGTGATAATTGGATGGTGGTACGTAATGTTTTCAGTCTATCGAAAAATAGTCCTATTTGTTATACTGATTTAGTTTAATATAAATAAATTTTTTATTTTTAAGACGAGAGAGGTAAACATTAAATTAGCAGAAATCTCCAATGTTAATCCTCTTTATAATGCCCTTCTTTACAAATGTATGACGGTAGTGATTGACGAGAACAGCTATTGCAAAATCGATGACATACTTTGCTTCCCAACAAAATCAAATCATGAATGATGTACTTTTTTTGCGATTTTCAAAGGTTATTTTAATGATTCCTAGTGGGATATTAGCGTGGAATTAGTGCCTTATAACGAAGGTAGTACAAATGTTAGTAATTTTATAAGCTGACTTACTTCATGAAGATTATCCCGAATGAGATCTCGAGCTGGAAATGTGGTGATCCCTTGTAATCTATAGTTGAGATCTCCCAACCAGACAGTGACTTGAGCAGGTTTGGCATAAGGGTTCCATTTCTTGGAGAAAAGGGAGTGTGATATCACCCTGCTCTGGTCATTTCTCTCTTCCACGTTTCGAGCATGAGCTGCAAGAATCCAAAATTAATGGTTGTTTTCCAAACAAGGACAATACAGTAGGGAAAGAAAGCATTAGAGAAAACACCAAAAGTTTGTTTGATTTCTAAGCAATTATGACAGAGACAACGAGTTAAACTCGTTAATTGATTCAGTGATTGATGTGACACACATGAAAGTATGAAACGAACCAACAATTTTTTTGTGAAGGTTAACCATATAATAAGGGGCCGGGAGTCTTTATTATGTGTTAATCATTAATTTAATGTTGTTTGTGAAGGACCAAAGCAGCATATCTAATACTAAAAGATTCACTGATCACTGAGTCACTCTTGTACTCTTTTGTGCTAATTACATGCTAATTGCGACACGTAGTACTTCACTTTTTTTTTTTTTTTTTTTTTTTGTTGTTGTTGGAGAACTAACTAACAGGTTGCATTTTGGTGCACAGCTAATTAACTAGAGTGTAGTCAGCTTTTGGACTTATGTTCTATTTGACCTACTACTAATTATCATCAACCTAATGTAGAGGTTATAGCTAGGGGACCTAAATTGCTTTAAATCGAATGTTGAAATGTCATTGGATGAACTTTAACCTGCTAGATACCCAGCCATTAATGGTAACCGACCAAATTGATCCAACTAATTGAATCACACTTCACGAGTATTGCATGCGAGGTGCTATATATAATAGGCATTCGAACGTCTTCAACAAATTTATATACTACTCAATCCATTCTAAGAAAATAATTCAATTTAGTAAATTATTTTACTGACACAGAATATTATTATTCTTTCCGTCCCATAATTATTATCCAGTTTGGTTTTTCATTTCTAGTTCAAATTGTACTAAAAGCGAAATCTCAAAATGAACAATAATTTTGGGACAGAGGGAGTAATATTTTTTTAGTTCTCAGAAAAATTCCAAACTAATTAATCAAACGAACACTTGGTCCTCATTTTCACTTAGGCAATATTGACATTGGTCATAACGCTCAAATTTTGATAATATTATCATTCCGGGGTAGTGACATTTTTGTAGAATATACACCTACCACCAATATAATAATAATGATGATTTTCAGCAAAAAAAAAAATGAAAAATCATTTTATTTCAGTATTTATATATGCGTAAAAAAAAAATACACCTACCAGCAAGATGGCAAGAAACGAATTCCAGTTGGATGTCCTTATACGTAATCCTAATAGCCACAGCACCTTTCTTTCTTCTAATTAAACCTCCAAATCCACCAACAGCATGTTTATCTACTTTCACATCTAAAACAACAGAAATTTGCAATTTAGTTATGATCTGACAGACACAAATATTGAAACATAGCTTAAAAAAACTATCACAAATCCATCACTAATAACTGACCTCTTACAAATTGCTCTGAATTTTGTGGTCCAAATACGAATAGCTGCAAAGATTGCATAATAGCTTTCCCCAGTAGCCTTTACAAAACCAGCAAGACAAATTCTAAGAGCAACTTCATTAATTCGACTTCAAACAATGAAAACAGAATCTATTTTTGTTTTTGCTTTTCAAAATTTTTTTTAATCAGCAATTAATTCTTTAGTTTATCTTCCACGCTTACAAAACTCTTTCATCCTAGCTATTTTAATACTCAATTTATTAGTTGTATGATTTTAATTCAATAGAACCCACTGCTAAAATAAAATAAAATGCCAAGGATGGAGTAAACACTATCATGATTTTTGTTTTTTATTTTTTGTTTGTTCTTTTCGTTTATGGTATGTTGATTAAATCCTTTGAGAATACCATCGCAACGGGCCCTACGTGGGTCGAAAGTCGCACTAAGCTATATATTATCATTTCCCAAAATTTGAGAGGCAGGAATTGAGAATCATGCTAAATTTTGTTTAGGGTCCCATTAAATTGTGGCTACTACTTTTTCAAAAAAAAGTTTATGGCCAATATGTCATTTTGCCCAAAATAGGTAGTAGCAATAACCTCTAGAATTCCTTTTTAAAAAATATGGTTTTCTATTACATAATCTCAATTCCCTTCCCCTTCATTTTCTATTAAAAAAGAAACACCCAAAATGGTACAAGTTTTTTTTTTTTTTTTAAAAAAAAAATAGCTCTAAGGAACATTTAAATTTAAGCCAATGAGATTATGAAATAAGATTATAAGAACTACAAATTAATGTAGATCAAACAAACACTATAGTGATTGATTAATGTTAAAGATGTTTTTTTGTTTTTTTTTTCAAAAAACTTACACGTGAGTGTCGGCCAAAACCTTCTTCAACATTTGTACAATATTTTCTCGAGGAACCTCTTGCAACCCAACCACCAATAGATCAAACTTCCGTTTCCTTCCGACCAGTTTTTCTACATCTTCATAGTTTACCTTAATTTTCCATCAAATGAAACCCAATTAAACATTAACTAATTCGATTAATCAACTACATACATATATATATATATATACACGATCTTAATTACATAATAAAGAGTCATTATAGATACCTGGCCGTTCATATTCCACGTGACAATGCAAAGGCAAATGTCGGAATCGCCGGAAAACTCACAGCAATGATGCCGGCCGTTCACGGCGTCCACCGTCTTTATTCCTTCATGAGTCCCTTCGTCCTCGTCAGTTATGCTATGCAGCGTCTGCGGCTTCGGGCGCTTGATCGGCTTCTTCTTCCTCCTGCAAATTGTCTTTGGGATTATGCCACAAACATTGCCAGCCTTGCTCTCCATTTACTCTTTAGAGAAGCACTTCGTCAAATTTCCACTACAAAATCAGCTCAATTTTGGGATACAGTTTCGACGTCGCTTATAATAATAAGAAGGAAGACACAAGCTAAACGTAATGAAAAGTCAAAAGACTTTGAGAAATTTATTTCATGAGTTATTATTACTGTCAAGAAGTATTTCATTTGACTAGGACAATATCAACTTCAAGTTAGGCAATAGGGTTTTCTGGAACATCAATCTTATACTTACTTCTTAACATGGTTGATTCATACACGTTTTCATACGATTATTTCTACCATCAACCTATATACTAGGCATACTATAATTTGATAATGACGTTGTACCCGTAATGCGACATATATATATATATATATATAAATATTATTTCTTCCTACATATACAGTATTGATGATATGTAATTTTAATTACCCTTGTAATATATTTTTACATTTTTGAGTTTCGATTCCTTCGAGCTCTAGTTCGTTCATTTTGTTCGATGAGTTTGAATTGACAGAGGGTCGATGACGATGAACCGGAAGCAAAGTTCAGATTAATGTAAGTTTACATTAGTATTTAAGCGTCAAATTAACGAAGATCTCTCTCGATTTTCACTACTACTCAAAAGAGTTAAGATAAGCCTATACGCGGGTCAGGTGGTCAAACTTCTGTATTACATACTACGTGTCAAAAAACAATAGGTGGGTGGGATGATTGCATTTGGAATTTGTGGCCCTTGTTTTTGGCAAAGTTTTCTCGAGGTAGTTCACCGGCCGTTTTTGGCTATTTGTTGAATTCTTGTGAACCTAATTCATTCGGCTTCTGGTCAATGATAAAAGGTTGTTTTGAGTCTATACTTACATGTTTAATCCAAAATCTTTTTGCATTTCTAAGAGATTAAAGTGATTGCTTCATCTTTTTGTATGTTTGTCTTTTATTTTTTTTTGAGAGAAAATAAACTTCATTAAAATTAATGGAAATGGTCCAGTAATAAAATAATAAAACAAACTTCATTATTTACTTAGGCTTCACCTATTTTCTTGTTCCAAATAATAAAATATATAATTGTGTGATTAAAAAATATATTAGTTTAAATTCAAAATGCATCACAATCAATATTAAGAAATTATCTGTATTCATCAACAATTATCTGTATTCAATAATTAAATTGATTCATAAATTATAAGGGTCAAATAGTAAACTTGGGAATCTTTGGAGAGTAGCACGACAAATTATTTATTCTCGAGCATGATTGTGGGCTTTCGGGGAGGCGACGGACCAACAAACTTTCAATATTTGAGAGCTCATCCCCAACTTATTAATATATTATATTTTCAACCCAAAGCACCATTAGCGTAACGACCATTAAATGAAATTGATCGTCTGGAAGGAAACCGCAAACGATTTGACTTGCCAGAAACAACAAAAACACCATTAAAGCTACTCACTGTACGTGTTTACTGATTCCCTCTCTGCTCTTTTTTTTTTTTTTTTTTTGTTTAAATTGTTATTTTCATACTGAATGATGGTTATATTCCTGCTATTCTCTTCTGGTTAACGATATTGATGATGATTTTGTAAGGAATTTGAGTTTTCTGTATGGGTTCTCCCAATTATTTTTTGCCTTAATTATTTATTTTCTTTGTTTGAGACCACAATGCATTACTCATATTCTCAATTGGTAAGGCACGCAGCCTGAAATGCCTAGTTTGGCTGCTGAGTTCTTGTTGTTTTGTGGACTTGAGTTCTGGTTTATGATTTGTTCTAGGTTTTTCGCGTGAGCCACTGGTTCCAGTGTCGGTTTTAAAAGTTAGTAAATAAAATCGTATTTTCTTGTTGATTTGGTCGTTTCTGGTATGAATTTATTGGATTGCTTCATCCTCCCTCCTTTGGTGTTTCCCCCTTGAACTTTATAACTTATGTCATAACTGAATCTTTGGAAGGTATGTCTAGTTTGGTGGGAAGAATTTGAATTTCCAGTTTATGATGTTTCAGTTCTGGAATGTAGAATTTTCCCTGCTGAAGCTGATTTCCAATTGAGTTTTCTTTGGAATTTTTTATCAATGAAAGATATGTTTTTTTTTTTTTTAATTTGTTTTTCGGTTTCATTTATAAGTAAAATGGTTATGGGGTAGCACAAGGAAATAGGAATTTGGCTTCCTGAGATGGATGTTCTGGATTCTATCACCTTTTAACTGTTACTTTGTTACTGGAGAAACTGCATTTCTAATTGCAGCTTTGTATAAAATGAGTAGGTGTACAGTTTCTACTTTAGAATCTCTTAAACTAAGCATGAGATAAAATGTCTGTTACCATTTGGGAGTTGAGTCATTTAAATTGGAAGTCTGATGCTTGGAGTTTTGGTTGATTGCGCAGAAGTATACATGTCCATGTCAAAAGAAGACTAACAATTATTCACTCTCAACTTCCTATGAAATCTCTTCATGGAACTAAACTTTACATGGTTATTTTTCCTTTCTTCCATTGCATGAGCTAGTGAAATGATTACTGCTAATTGTTTTAATCAAGGTTGTAGAAAAACTAATTATGGAGGTCTTCTCTTTGCAGTGAGCTGCTACAGCGTTGTGATTGTTTACGGCATTGAGGTGTACTTTCAGTCCTTTTTCTTATGCCGTGGGAGTAAGTATGGTAAGTTAGTCTTCTGAATACCTGTATGCTTACGTTTATGCTATCTCCTTGGTGTACAATCTTCTGGGCTTCATAAATATGTACTGTAACCATCTCTTGTAGTGTTAGTTCTAAGGATATTATTGTACTTAGGTTTTGTGTAACCATCTTTTGTAGTGTTAGCTCTAAGGATATTAATATTATTGTACTTAGGTTGTGTATTTTTGCCCTCTCTGATGTTGGGCTTCCTGCCGAGATTATTAGAAGCTGTTGCTGAACTTTTCCCTTCTGATTTGAGGCTTCAAATAAAGCTAATTAGGTAGATTTGGATTTGACCAATGACAACCCACTCAATTTAAGGAAGTTGGAGAGCGTTTTGAGACACTCAATTGAAGTTCTATTCTGCAGAATACTATTTCTTTTGTTCATTTTGGTGTTGAAATTTGCTTCTTTTTAATAATTCTTTTTTTCAGTTTTCCCAAATTTATCTGTTTAGTCTCTGTTCTATAATTACAGAGTTAGAATAATGTGGAGTAAAATCTGCGATTAATGATTTTCACCTAAAAATTCTGTGACTGAATGGCGAAGATCACACCTGCACCATTCATATATCGTCGTTGCTTTACTGTCAATGTCAACGTGACTTAATATGCTTCACATTTTGTTTATTAATGTAATACTTTGAGAGCCAGGAGTTATTAGGTCAATTCTTAAGACTGAATAGGTTAAAAGATGTTATACGAAGAAAAGGGATTTTATAACCATCTTATATTCTTTGCCATAGATCTCCATTTTTATCTCTGGTGATCCACTTACTGTATTGTTTGAAATCATATTCTTACACATTCATCAACTTTCTTTCTTGTGCCATGGGGACATGCAGAAGCAAAGGGAAGGACCCAAGGTGCCTTGTGAAGTGGAGGTGGACAAAATTAGCAATTTGCCTGGGCATATTCTTGACAAAGTCTTGTCTCATTTGTCTCTGAGAGATGCAGTGAGAACTAGTGTCTTATCAAGCAAGTGGAGATACAAATGGATTACACTTCCTCACCTTGTGTTTGACAATCAATCTGTATTGGTTTCATCTCAAGATCAATCACTCATAAAGAATAAGCTTGTTAACATTGTTGACCATGTCCTTTTACTCCACTCCGGGCCAATACAAAAGTTCAAGCTTTCTCACCGTGATCTTCAAGGTGTCAGTGACATTGATAGGTGGATACTTTTTCTGTCAAGGGGTTCCTTTAAGGAATTTGTTCTTGAGATATGGAAAGGACATCGGTACAAGCTCCCTTCTTCTTTATACTTTTGCCAAAACTTAGTCCATCTGGAGCTGTTTAATTGTCTTTTAAAACCACCAGCTGCGTTCAGTGGATTTAAGAATTTGAAGAGTATTGATCTTCAGCACATCACAATGGATCAAGATGCATTTGAGTTTCTGATATCTAGCTGCCCTTTGCTTGAGAGGCTAACATTGATGAATTTTGATGGTTTTACAAATCTTCACATTCATGCTCCAAATCTTCTCTTCTTTGATGTTGGAGGTGTCTTTGACAATGTTAGTTTCCAGGACACTTTTCATCTAGCTGTGGTGTCAATTGGATTGTATACAAATACGGGATATGATCGTAATCTGACTTTTGGGAGTGCTGGTAATTTGATAAAGTTTTTTTCTCACCTACCTCGAATTCAGAGACTTGAAGTGCAGAGCTATTTCTTGAAGGTAAGCGGTACTACTTTTCAAACAAAACACGCATTTGTTGATCAGGAGACAAAGTTGTCGGTTTCTCATTACCATTTCATTTTATTCTGAGTTTTATTTAGTCTACTTTTATCTATCTTTATTGAATAATCATCTATTTTTCCTCCTTACCTCTGACTGATCATAGACTGTGAACGGAGAAACTTGAGCGACTTATTTTAGATTTTGTAGAAAGTCTTATAATCATCCTCGTCTGACTTTGGTTCTGTATGTTCTGCATTGCAGTACTTGACAGCTGGTAAGGTCCCAGTGAGACTTCCAATGCCTTGCGTGGAGCTTAGTTTTCTATCCCTGCGAATTAACTTCAATGATGTAGAAGAAAGTTTGGCGGCTCTTTGTTTGCTAAGAAGTTCTCCTAACCTACAGGAGCTTGAGATGCTTGTGAGTTTTTTTTACTGCTTAGATATGGTCACTACTACATAATTATGTTTGAATTTTATTTTAAGGAGTTGTAGACATTTCTGATACCTCAGGCATCTTGTGATTGGTGAGCATTCAAATGATACTTTCAGTTGATGTTTTGGAGTTAACTTTTTGTTTGTTGATGTCAGGCTCGCCCAGAGGAGCTGAATGGCGCTAGAATTTCCATTAACGTACTGGAAGAAGATTATGAAATCTGTCCATTTAATCAACTACGGTTTGTGAAAATTGCTGGTATCTCTGGTCTAAAACAAGAACTCAACTTTATCAAATTTCTGCTTGCAAATTCTCCTGTTCTTGAGAAAATGACGGTTAAGCCTACATCAATTGAGGGAGGATGGGAGTCCCTTAAAGAGCTCATGAAAGAGTTACTCAGTTTCCGAAGAGCTTCAGTTCAAGCACAAATCATCTACCTCGACCCTTAGACCATTCGGAGCCAAATGAATTGTGCAGGCTCTTATGGCCTTATAAATGCATTTCATTGTATGCTTTAAAATTGTGTTGTTCTGAACATACATGCAACATACATGTTTGGCATCATAATGTGGTCTAGGGCATTTGACTTTTGGCTCCAAAACGTCGTATATTTATGTACTTATTGTCATCATTTGTCCAAGCATATATTTTTTCTTAGGATAGGAGAGAATGACAAGTGCCCTTAAAGAGGAAAGGTGAGTAAGGAAGGAAGGCATCAAGATTCTCTTATTGCTACAAGTCAAATGTCGACTTTCATTTTCACTAAAAACTTATGTAGGTGAAACAAAGTGACAGACAGGTATTTGAGTCTTAATAAAAAAGGTAATTGTACCGGGACCATTTAAATGAAAGTTATATGTAGTAATCTCGGTTGTTGCGTAGAACGTCAAGATCTTGGAAACCACACCTTCTAAGTGAGTCACATTTCGTTAGTTTTGCTGATTCAGTCATCTACATTAGTGGCAAACTTGGTAAACCAATTTCCCTGGCAGTTTCTGATATTTTGCAAGTATTCCGACTATTTCATAGAGTGAAAGGGAAAGAATATCTAAGTGTTTGTTTGGTGGGTTGTGGTGGAACGGTGAGTAGCAGCAGCCAACCAGGTAGGTGGTGATACAGTGGGCAACGGGGTTCAATCATATGATGCAGCATCCATGTGGTGGTTGTGTCCATTAGAAGAAGTATGTACTAAAACTTACTCTTTTGGCTTGAGTTTCAATATTTCCCTATGGAAGTAGTAAGCACTTTAACCGCCATTCAAACATTCCAACCTCTTCATTGGCCATCAGGATTGCGGTCTGTAATAAATAACTTAAGGACAAGAATGATGCTCTAGATTAGTATAAACTCTTTCCAGCCTACAAATGTTCCCTTTCTTCCATACACATATCTAAGTAATACATAATTAGTATTATCTTCAAAGAAAGCAGCTACCAACATGGGAAACAACTGGGAAGAACCGCTTCTTGACGTTCATCATCGTGAAGAACACGAGAACAAGCTTCGCTTTGTTGAAAACTTCGGCATAGAATCAAAGAAGCTGTGGAAGATAGCCGGTCCGGTAATTCTGACAGCAGTTTGCCAATACTCGGTGTCTGCCATCACCCTCACATTCGCAGGCCTTGTTGGGGATCTTGACCTTGCCGCGGTTTCAGTTGGCAACTCAGTCATTTCTGGTCTTGCATTCGGACTACTGGTATACGCATATTTGAATGCTGAATTCCTAATGTTTTTGCTTTATTTGTTACCCTTTTGCTTCTTTTTTTTTTTTTTCTTATTCAAATTAATCTTTGAAGTTGGGAATGGGAAGTGCATTGGAGACGCTATGTGGACAAGCATTTGGTGCTGGACAGAAGGGGATGCTGGGCGTATACATGCAAAGATCATGGCTCATTTTGCTTGCCACTGCCACCATTTTGCTTCCTGTTTACATCTTTGCTCCTCCGGTTCTGGAATTTTTCGGAGAGACAGCTGTCATATCTGAGGCAGCAGGTTTGTTTTCTGTCTTTCTGTTCATGATGTTTTCCGCTTCGATGATCTAGAGAAACCTAACCCGAGTTTTTCTGGCGCAGGAAAATATTCCTTGTATCTGATACCTCAGCTATATGCATATGCACTCAACTTTCCAATCCAGAAATTTTTGCAGGCACAAAGTAAAGTGCTTGTTATTCTCTGGATAGCAATTGTTGTGCTGATTCTTCATTGTGTATATTGCTGGTTTCTCATTTTCAAGCTGCGTTGGGGCATAGTTGGAGCTGCAGTCTCTATAAACACATCTCAGTGGCTTCTAGTTATTGGCCAATTCTTATACATTGTCCTAACCAAATCGGATGGAGCTTGGACTGGATTCTCATGGCTTGCCTTTCGAGATTTATATGGTTTTTTCAAACTTTCTGTAGCATCTGCGGTCATGCTATGGTAAGTTTCTATCATTCAAAAACTTGAAAATTGATACCCTTAAATCAACCTGAATGATCTATCATTGGGAAACTTTTCCTGGGTCTGATCCTCAGTAATTTTGATTCTATGATGAAGCTTGGAGTTCTGGTATCTAATGATATTAGTGGTTCTTGTTGGTCGTTTGGAAAATCCTATTGTTCCAGTGGATGCCATTTCTATCTGGTAAAAATTCCTTACTAGTTTTAGTACTTTAATATCACAAACCACCGTAAAAATGTAGCTTATTACCATCTTAGCAAATGTTGTGCAGCATGAATATACAGGGATGGGATATGATGATTGCATTGGGGTTCAATGCTGCCATAAGGTGATATATTGACTTCGTTTGTGCATAATGTAGCAATTGTTTATGAAACTATGTCGATTTGTAGTGACCAAATGGTTCATCCATATTCACATAACAGTGTGAGAATATCAAATGAACTTGGAGCTGGGAATGCTGAGGCTGCCAAGTTTGCTGTTGTCGTAGTGACCATAACATCATTGTCCGTAGGGATTCTTGTGATGGCAGTTGTACTCGGGACACGAGCCTATTTCCCGATTCTTTTTACAAGTAGCGAAGCGGTTGCCAGAGAGACTACCAGAGTGGCATCCTTACTTGGAGTTACTGTTCTTTTGAACAGTGTTCAACCAGTCTTATCTGGTAAACAACTTAACTTCACCTGCATCCTCTCATTTTAAGGGAAAAATGTTCACCTAAGAATCCAAATGACGCGAATGTAAATGCCGCAATTTGCTCAGCCAGTGGAAGATCATTCAAATCCAGTTGTATTTTTTCACCTAATCAAGTTGAGTAAAACAGACAGGATAAGGCCTTATAATCTATGGGTGATTCAAACTTCAATCTTCTGTCAGGAGTTGCAATTGGAGCTGGATGGCAATCACTTATCGCATACGTTAACATCGCTTGCTACTACATTGTTGGACTGCCTGCCGGCATATTGATGGGCTTCACATTTCATCTAGGAGACATGGTAATAGCTTAGAAATCTTTCATGGTGTCTTAGGAACTGGATATTTTTGTAGAAATATTTTTGCTCATGCATTCTGTATTTCATTTGGGTTCAATTTGCAGGGAGTATGGGGTGGGATGATTGGTGGCATTGTTGTGCAAACCATCGTCTTAGTAATCATTGCAGCAGTCAGAAACTGGGATAAAGAAGTGAGTTTTTCTTTGCTCTTTTGGACAATTCTGAAAGCTCTTTTTCTTTCTCATTTTTTTTTTGTTGGCAATATGAAGCAAACAGCCTCAAATGCATTGTCAAATTTCCACATTTCAGGCCAGACAAGCTGAAACTCGAATTAAAAGATGGGGAGGAACAGCAAATTCAGAGCATTTGATATCCTAAAGAGCAGTCAAATTTGGCATTTGTTTAACAACCTGGATCACTTTCTTTGTCCACCAAACATGTCCTCATCAATGTTGTTCCCTTACTATTGGAGTTACCTCTTCGAGGAAATCTATGAAGAACCAGATATAATTAACTTCACTCCATTGGGCATCACATTGGGAGTAGCTTAGTTCAATCACATTTTCAAAAAAAAAAAAAAGAAGCTTAGTTCAAGAATGAACAATTTGTTGTAAAATGTCATGTACGGACTACGGACTATGGGATTCCAACAGAGGATTTTGGCCTTTTGGGATGTTATCGTTCAACTCTTGTACTATTATGCTCTCTTCTAATTCCCTAACCAAATTGAATATAAAGTACTTGAAAGCTTTGTAACAATGAACAAAATGTAACGCTAAACTCAATGCATAATTCAAAAATGATAAATAGAACGGAACGAATGTATTTTCTAATGCATTTGATCGTGCTTCAACTGGAAACAACAAAAAAGTTTGCAATTTCTTTTTTTAAATTAGAAAATTATAGGATTGGGTACAAAACATCCCTTTGGTATCAGGATAAGTCTATTTTAATTTTTATCAGATTTTGTTCATGATCTTGGTGGGAGGTGTTGGCAAAATTTGTCTCCATGAAGACCAAAGAAACCAATTTATCCACCAACTAAAATTTAAAAATATGTAACTGAATCAGTGTAATTTTTTATTTTTTGGACCTTGATTTCGGATTTCCTTTTCATCTGGACGCCATTTTGAACCTTAAGCAACCCTCCATCTCCAAATCCTGAGGTGCTGGTAGTATAAGTAAAATTTTTCTTGAAGCTTTAGACTTTGATTTATCCCCTCATATTATTGTCCAGTTCATTTCTCGACTATTCAATAATTTATACTCTCTTGATCTCAAAATTATTGTCAAGTTTGTACTTTCACTTTAGCACAAATTGTATTAGAAATGAAAATCTAATTGAACATTCATTTTAGGATAGAAAGAATGTTTTATTAATTGACGCTGAAATTTAAGTGGACTATTTTTCTAGAAGGCATAGTTTTGGAGTATACAATTCAGTAGTTTATTTAATTATAGTAGTAATAGTAATAGTAATAATTTAATTAATTATTAAGAAATCAAACAAAGAGGAGTCGAGGACTTTAAATGATGTAGGGGCATATTTGACATTTTGATATAATTCCCATTATCCAAATTTATCATCCACTGCTTGGGAACCAAAAACTCCTCAAAACTTCATCTTCCACATTGAAGCCAACACTGAACTGCGAAAGCCATGGCGACTTCTATGGCTGCTCTAACCTCATCCTTGGCTTCTCTCTCATTTTCCTCTCAAATTTCCCATAAATCCCATGTCTCACCTCTCTCCTTTACCCCTAAAAAACCCATTTCATTCGCCCTAAAACCCCGACTGCCCGTAATTGCAGCTGTGGCCGCCGCCCCATCGCCGGTTGAGGTCGAAACCGCCGACATTAAATCATATGTGAAATCGAGACTCCCGGGAGGTTTTGCAGCTCAGACTATATTCGGAACCGGTCGCCGGAAAGCCGCCATTGCCCGTGTTGTCCTCAAAGAGGGTACCGGTAAAATTATCATTAACTACCGCGAGGCTCAGGTATTCTTTATTCTTGAATTAGGTCGGAATTAATTTTTACTCTTTTCAGCTTATGAAATGGATGGAAAGAATTTCATGCAATTGTAAAAGAAAGGAGTGTAATTTCAGCCTTATGTACTACTAACTAAATAGTATGTGGACTTGTTATTTGTTAGCTAAGTGCTGATTGTTGTTCTGGATGAAATTTTATATGATTTTGTGGTTCTGCATTTGAAATCATGGTTTTTCAGTGTGAAGATGTGATTTTATTGATTTACAGTGAAAGGGGCCATCATTGCAGCTCTATGTAGATGCGAATTAGCATTTTGACTTTTTCAGTTTCAGTCGTTTGCCTGAATTAGGTTTAAGTGAATTTGAGTTTGCGTTTCCAAGATCTGGTTTTGGTTCATTGCAAGGCATGATATTGATGGTTCTAGAATTGCGGGCAATTGCTTAGTGATCAGTTCTTGTGGCACATTATTGGTTTCATTCCATGGTTTCTTTGAATTTTTCCTGCTTCTTTGATGTTTGTTTCTATGTTAAAATTCGTGTTTGTGACACTCAGGAGTATCTTCAAGGGAATCCACTGTGGCTCCAGTACGTGAAAACTCCTTTGGCAACTTTAGGGTATGAGACCAGCTATGATGTATTTGTGAAAGCACATGGTGGTGGACTATCAGGACAGGCTCAAGCAATATCGCTTGGTGTTGCTCGCGCCTTGCTGAAAGTGAGTGCAAGCCACAGAAAACCACTGAAGGTAGAAGGGTTGCTGACTAGAGATGCCAGAGTTGTCGAAAGGAAGAAGCCTGGTCTCAAAAAAGCACGAAAAGCACCTCAATTCTCCAAGCGTTGAGGTTGGTTTTCCATCAGAGTTTTCTCCTGAAAACCCTTTTGTGATATTTCTCTACGTCTGCACATGCACTTTTGGATCATATGCCATGTTGAATTTGTTGAGTTCAGGATTAGTGATTAAGAAAATACAATGCTAAAGGTTTTTTGTTTGAACCCTTTGTATCTTTAAATTTAAAAGGTGAAGAGCATAAACTCTGAAAGTATACCCAATTTTTCAATATTAGCTTCTGGACTATGAGTAAAGCACAAGCCGTTTCATTGATTTTTTGTTTTGATTCTATAATTATCTTTCTTGGGAGGGTATAGGGGAGATTTGTGGTTGTGGATCATGCGAAAATGCTGCATTAGCCATTTCCATGTTTTTTGCTAGAGGAGAATTGTAGGCAAGGCAGTTCCATCCATGGAATCTCAGTCTGTTGTTTGCATAAACTTCACTGCTTTTGAATCCATGATTTGGTTCTTACACACCCAGTTCAGAGTGAAAGAAAGACTGATAGCTTTTACGTCATACATGTTTTCATCTGCTGAGGAATGAGGAGATTGCATTGTACTGTGTTCGACTGTTCTTTACCAGTTTCTAAGGCATAAAAATTGTATGACTGTTCATTTTTGCCTTTTGTTTTCATGTACATGAATATTTCCAATTTGCTTCTGTCTGGTGGATTGTTTGCAAATCAAATGAGTACTCGAGCCTAACTATTCAATATACATCACATGAAGTTTCTGGCTAGCAGCGCGCTGATATATTGCTTGATGAATGTCGCAACCTCTTATGCCATTCTTGATTGTTCATTTCCTCCATCATGTATATTTGCAGGATTTGCTCTGCAAAGTTCTGGTTGCAGTGGACTTCCTGCGCCGGTAAATGAAGATATCAAGATGAAGTTTGGAGCTGTGTTTTGTAGCAATTGTATAAATCTTCCATTTTGCTTCCTAGTTATGTAACTGCAAGTCTGTAACCCTGTAACATTCTGAAAAGGATTTTGGCCAATACATTTAGTAGAAGCAAAGCAATTTGGATTACTACGCATAAGTTTTTGTAAAATGCTTAGAAGATTGAGCCTTGAAATGAACAAGTTTGATAATCCGCTCTTCATTTATCCAAATCCGTCTCTAGTCTTTGTAGTTCTCCCATCCTCAACTCCTATTCATAAAGCACGATTTTAAACTCATAAATAGTGCGGGACGGAGTATTTTGAGTCAAGAAAAAATGTTGCCTTCGTGCAATACGATACTCTCTACAAAACTAAATCCATTTTACTTCTTCAACTCACCATAATTCTTGGTAAAAAGCATATACAAAACCGCGGTGATTAAAATGATCCTTCTTGTTGGCTTTATGTCTATCCTATGATACACTATCAGATGTTTTTATAAGAACAGTCGCATAAGCCTTTAGTTTTAAGCTACAATATTAGAGTTATTTGATAACCAAATTGTAAGTCTGGTAAATTACCAATGAATGATTCCGACACTTTTGTTGGCCACGTGTAGGTTTACTCAGGGATCAACAAGGCCGTAGGATATATGAATGGCAATTGAAATGTCACGGAAGTATTTTCTCGTCCTAAAAGTGTTTTTCAATTTGCATTTTCAAATTTTCGTACAATTTAAATTGTTATTCGATTAGATTATTCTTTAAAGTTTGTAAACATAAGTAGACTAAATTATCTTCTACTAAAAGGATAGATAATTATTTCAAAAAAATAAAAATAAAAAGGATAGATATAAGGCTTTATATACCATTTGCGTAATGTGACAAAAGCCTAATTCACCAAAATAAGTAGAGTAATTACTTTCGCCGCTCCACAACTCGTCGGGATTCATGGCTACTCGTCGGATTCACGGTTCTTTCAAGTCTCTGATCTCACATTGCTCGAAGCCGCCGCGAACCCTGGTGTCTCAACTACACCGCCTTCGTCCAGTCATAACCGTCACCACAACTATTCCTCAGTTTCGCTACGGCGGCTGCTGCGCGAGGTTTCTCCACCCGCCACCGCAACAACAACAAACAACAACAATGCGTACGATCAAAACCGTCCACCGAAAGAGACGATTCTGCTGGACGGATGCGATTTCGAGCACTGGCTGGCTGGTGGTGGTGGAGAAGCCGGATGAAAATTGGACCCGGGATCAAATCATGGATAGCTATATAAAACTTGTGGCTCAAATCGTGGGGAGCGAAGAAGAGGCAAGGATGAAAATGTATTCGGTTTCCACAAGGCATTCGGAGCCCCTGGTATCCGAAGAGCTTTCCTTCAAGATCAAACAACTCCCTGGAGTGGGTTGGGTTCTCCCTGATTCTTACTTGGCTGTCAGAAACAAGGATCACGGCGGCGAGCCTTTCATCCACGGTCAGGCTGCTCCGTACGATCCGAAGTATCATGAAGAGTGGATCAGAAATAATACTCCCGGGTCCAATCACCATAAAAGGAAGACCGGACCTCCACGAGGTAATGGAAACAACTTTTCATAATATGAATTATTTTTATACCAAGGAGGATGGATTATGGGTTATTAACTACCCGACAGTGGATCTAAGTTTGAAAAACGAGCTTCTCTCCATTTGAGCTAAAAGAAAACTTCCTGGTTCTTCGATAAAACTAATTAATCCGTGGTGAGCAAGAAAAGTTTAAAAAAGAGCTTGGTTTGGTTCTTCGATCAAACTAATCCGTCCTAAGCAAGAAAGCGATCAAAGTCAAAGGGGGAATGGTTGGTATGGTACAACTGAATTGTTGTTATATAATCGGTAGTTCTTTGTTTTAAAAAATTAAAAAAAAAAACATTAGAAAAAGAAGAAAAAACGGAGGAAGTTAATACTCCCTCCGTCCCATAATTATTGTCCAGTTTGCGTTTTTTATTTCTAGTTCAAATTGTACTAAAAATAGAATCTCAAAATGGACAATAATTTTGGGACAGAGGCAGTATTTTCTTTTTAGTTTTCCGCTCTGTCTTAAATTATTGTCTATTTTTTATTTATATTTTTAATACAAATTAAATTAAAAATAAGTAATTTTTCGGAACACATGATTTCTTTCTTTTTTTTTTTTTTGGGAGCCCCAACACGTAAAAGGCGGCGCTTACCTAAATCTAATTGGAAGCAGAATCTGGTCCGGTCAAAATTGCTTAAACAAACTTTTTCAGCAGCGAAAGAAAAAACCTGACAAAAATATATATTTTTTTAATTGAATAGAAATTAAAAAAAAATAATAAAAAAATTGGCAACGAAGGAGTCTTCACTGAACGGGCAACCTATATAGTAGTATAATATGATTATAATCAAAACCCAGACCCCGATACTTTCCTGCTTCCTCCATGATAAACAAATAAAAACCTTAATCATTGGGATTTAATCCCTGCTCTTTTCCTTCCCCGCCAAGCTTATTAGAATTTTTTTTTTTTTTTAGTTGCTTGCATTGTGTATTTACATTAATATAAAAGGGGGGGGGGAAGAATAAATTTTTAGGCCCAATTTGGTTTTGACCATCGTCACCGCCACCCACCGATTAGAGGGTGATGGAGGAGGAGGAGGACTATTACGATTCTGGCAGTGACGATGAATACTATGATAAAGTTTATGACGAGAATGACGCAGGGTTGGATTATGATCCTGAGGATCAAGAAACTGATTACGAGACTTACGCTTCATTGGTTACCAAGGGTTCCTCTTGTAAGGTAATAATATGCTCTATTGTAATTAAATCATCGTGGGTTTTGTCTATTATTGTTGTTTTGTTAATGTTGTTTTTCCCATGAAAGGTTTTTTTTTTTCTTTTCTGTTTTATACATCAGCTTTAAAGGTGTCAATGAGGGGACTGACATGTGGAATTACAATTTGGTCCCAGTTGATCAAATTGATGGATGCAATTCAGTATTTTTTTTGGGGTCAATTTGATAGATGAATTTTTTTAGACTGATAATCAAACTGAGTGTGATGTACAGCGTTTGCCCTGTTTTGATTTTCATTAGCTTGGCGTGTTAAAATCTTTTTTTTACTCGGCTTCACATAAAAACGGTTAAGACCCTTTTTCTTGAATGGAAAATCAAGACAATCTGCAGGATGTTTGAGGTTAATTGGTTCCATTGTTCATTTTGTTTGGCCTGGTTGTTTGCCTTTCTTTGCTTTTAGCTTCTTATTGTAAAATAGAAGAGAAAGAACAGAGATAGTGATCATATTTATGGCTTTTGTTTTAAGCAGGTGATCAGACAAGAGTCTCTTTTAGCTGCACAGAAAGAAGACTTGCAAAGAGTAATGGAGTTGTTGTCATTGAGGGAGCATCATGCAAGGACATTGCTCATTCATTATCGTTGGAATGTTGATAGAGTTTTTACTGAATTCGCTGAGAGGGGGGAGGAGTGGTTGTATAAAACCACTGGGTTGCCAGTGAAAAGCAGTCAGAATCTTGACAACTCCATGTCTACCCCTGAAATAACTTGTGAGATCTGCTTTGATGAAGTCCCTAGCAGAGACTCTACTGTAATGGAATGTGGACATCATTTTTGCAACAACTGTGAGTCTTCTTGCTCCCTTCTTTTCTATTATGAAATTTTCTCTAGATTCCCGGATCCAGGATATCAATGTAATATGTTTGGAGATTAATAACTTGTACATCTGCTTAGTCACCATAACATTTGTGATTGATGCTAATAGCAAATATATGTTTTTGTTTATATCTAGTTGGTTTCTGTACAGAAAGTCTGCAATCAGAGATGATAATGATCAAAATGAATCTGAATTTCTGTATTTAAGCTTGTTTTCGGATTCAGTCCATTGCAAATGGAGCAAGAAGAGTCATCTTTTAACAATTTTTTTTTAAACTGTGTCAATCAATGATAATTCTTTTGACTTTGTGTCAATAATGGCCTAGACCAAAATGACTTAATTGAATGAATTCTAGTGCTTCTTCTGTTAGCGAAGTTACTGTAAATCAATACCTTAAATGATGCAATGAATCTTGGGTTGCAACGGAAACAGCCTCTTGTAGAATTACAGGGGGTAGCCCCAGAACCCAACTTAGTTGTGATGCATACTGGGCATGTTGATATTTATGTTAAGCTTGTGAATGGATTGAAACAATTTCTGAGCTTTATTGTATCAGTTACGCGGTTCCTTGATTCAAATCCTGAATGTCTATGATTGTTACCATCTGGCTTTGTACTGGCATTTGAGCGATATGTGTTTTAGCCTTCAGGTGCATGTTAAGTGGAATGAAAGAATGAATTAAAAAGAAAAAAATGGTCTGTATTATCTTTTTTGGGGACCACATGTTTGTGAAGACTCAAAAAAGTTTTAGATCTTAAGGGAGGTGATTGATGAGTATCTTTTTTGACTACTGCTCTCTCAGAAGAAATCTTATCAATGGTTTACGGAAATACGGTTTTCTCATGGTTGTAGTTGCAGAGTGATTAGTTTGTTTTTTCTTCTTCCTGTAGGTTGGACGGAGCACTTCATTGTGAAGATAAATGAGGGTCAGAGCAGACGTATCACTTGCATGGCCCACAAATGCTATGCAATATGTGATGAAGAAATTGTCAGAAATCTAGTTAGTTTAAGAGATCCTGATTTAGCAGAAAAGTTTGATCGGTTTCTCCTTGAATCTTATATTGATGATAATACTAGAGTAAAGTGGTGCCCTAGCATTCCTCACTGTGGAAATGCAATCCGTGTCGATGATGATGAGTATCGGGAGGTTGAATGTGCCTGTGGTATCGAGTTCTGTTTTAGCTGCACCTCTGAAGCTCACTCACCTTGCTCATGTTTGATGTGGGAGAGTTGGTCAAAAAAATGTGAGGATGAATCTGAGACAGTTAACTGGATTTCAACTAATACAAAGTCTTGCCCCAAGTGTCATAAACCTGTGGAAAAGGATGGAGGATGCAACCTAGTTCGATGTGTTTGTAAACAACCATTTTGGTAAGTGTTTGTATTCTTTGCTTGTGCCGAGACTGACAATATTTTGATTTTATTCATCCTGTTAAGTCTCAACCCTTAAACTAGGATTTTAAGCACAAAATTCACCTTTGAAGAACACTTAAATTATTCCAGCATTGATCCTGTGGAGTGCTAAAAACCATTCATCAGCTGTTTCAAGTTGCCTGCTGTTTTTGCTAATGATATGTTACCTGTCACATCTAGTTGGTGCTTGATTGTACTACCCTCTTTATAAAACCTCACATTCTAGTTTGTGCTTTACCTCCTGTAAATTTTTCACTTTCATTCAATTCTTTTTTGGTAAGTAGTCGTCGTCCATTGAATATAATACCGACAATGATGAATTTTCAAAGAATTTGTTTCATCGTATTACTATTGTCACAAAATTAGTCTGCTGGATACTCTGGTAAATCTTGCCCCATGATTAAATACTTGAATTAATATGTGCAAGTTATTTTTCTTTCTGTTTATGTCTCTTCACTTCTTCAGGGACTAGAGTGGGCAAAACTTACATGGGTTGTCTCCTCTTTCTTTCTCATTTTTTCAGCTGGCTTTGTGGCGAAGCCACTGGCCTGGATCACACATGGACTAGTATTGCCGGTCATACTTGTGGCAGTTATAAAGAAGATGAAAAGGACAAAGTTGAGAAAGCAAGACAGCAACTTTTTCGGTATACTCACTACTTCAATCGGTACAAAGCCCACCGCGACTCTTTAAAGCTTGAAACTGATTTGAAGAACAGATTACAAGAAAAAATTGTGATCTTGGAAGATAAAAAGGATCCCACATCAGTAGACTTAAGTTGGGTGACGAATGGTTTTAACAGACTTTTCAGATCAAGAAAGATTATCTCGTATTCGTATCCTTTTGCCTATTACATGTTTGGTGATATCCTTTTCAAGGATGGAATGACAAAAAGACAAAGGGAGCTAAAGCAGAGCCTTTTTGAGGAGCAGCAACAGCAACTTGAAGCAATGACTGAAAGGCTTTCATTGTTTTTGGAAGAGCCTTTTTCCAGTTATTCTGGTGATCAACTTTCAGAGATAAGATATAAGATCGTTAATCTCTCAAGAGTTACTGATGACTACTGCAAAAGATTGTGAGTATACTAATCATAAATGTTATCAAGCATTAGTGGCTGAGATTACTATGACTGCTATTTCAGAAAGGTTAAATGTATATGCGACTCTTGCAGGTATGATTGCATAGAAAACGATCTATTGGGGCCACTTCAGCATGTAACTCAGATTATAGCTCCGTATAGGTCTAATGGTCTCGAGAAAGCTTCAGAACTTAACTAAAGGTAGTTTGCTTTTATGACTATCACCATAATTTTCTCCTTGCTACTTTCTCATGCAAAGTTTTATGACATTACACTTCAGTGATTTAATATAAACTTCTTCCTTTTTCACAGCAGGATGACGGGACTAATGCAAGAATAATTCAAGCAAAAGCTCCCAAGGTGTAAAGATAAACAGCTGCAAACCTTCTCAAACCGGTCCAAGGATCGTTGTTCAAACCCATAGCTGATATGATGATTCACAATGATGAATTTCGGTGCAGACTGTTATGCAAAGTGGGCAAAGAAACTGTCACAAGCATGGCTGCATTGACTTTTTTTGGCTGCCTGTACTTTTCTGAGTTATCATCAACATCAGTTGGTTTGTTCATGAGTGATTATTCTCTGGCATTCTTGTTTCTTTTTAATGGAGAATGTTGTACATAATCTTCTTGGGATATTTAGGCTGCAGGTTAATTATTTCTACTTAGATATTTCCTGGTTGAACCTTAGCTTAAAATTGGACCATTTTGGAACTCAGATTCTTATTTGAGGTTTTTAAGGCTTATAAAATCTCTTGCAATACTGGTCTGTGAGATCAATTAAAAAGAACTTAAGTTCATCCAAAAAAAAAGAAAAAAAAGAAATACAGAACAAAATGAAGAAGTGATCAGAAACAAACAAAGGTTATCTTTTTGGCTCCTCCAGTAATCTGAACAGAACAGGGTTCATGTTTTACAAAAGCATTTGCGACAAAATACCACGGTTGACATATCCGTAAACCTCCATCTCTTTTCTGAGCAGTATATGTGGTGGCTGTCCATATTGGGCTGGAAGACCTCAATTTCTGTAGCTTACAGAGTTGGAAAGATGAAGCAGCGCCAGGACAATGAGTTTTCAATATCAGCATATTATAAAATAACTCAGTGTAGTCATACTTGTGCAAATATTGGTGGGTGATAGATTCAGGGCGGCAAATCCAGAAAACACCCTGCAGAATTGCACGGCAAGATGATAAAGCCAAATCTAACTCTCGTGGTGGAATTTCGTAAGTAGATGATTCAGAGAACAACTCTCTTTGTTGTATGAAGAATTCTCGAATCTCCAAGCGAGGAGGTTGATGATGATGATGAGCTGTAGGAGGAGGAAATGATGAAACAGAATCCACTACATTGAGCTTCACATCCTTTGGGAAGTGATCAACAGTGATTGAAGTTTGAGACCCTTTGAATCCTGTCAAGAATTCCTTCAACTTTACGAACCACCAAGTTTCGATAGCCATGTGTTCAGGGCATTTTAATTTGATATGAGAGGTCCATGTGCGAGTAGTTGAGACTCCGTTATTAAACGATATCATCGGCATCACCTCGCTGATTCGGCTTTTGTAATTGAAAACAACAAGGGAAGGCAGTTTAAAGTGAGCCTGTCGCAGACTGTGGACGTTTACAAGATGTATCTTCTTCAGGGGACCGACTCCAGAGATTGATTGCTTTTAGTATTGTGTAACCTTCTAACCCTAACTCTTCAAGCCGCGGGAACCGCTGCGCGCCCAGTTACCCGCATGGAAAAGATCGATTGTGGAGGGACCCTTATCATAGAGGAACAAACTCTTAGGATTTTGGTATTCCTTTCCATAAAACCTAAATTGGTTATAACTCATCACAAGAACTGCTGATTCCAGATTTGGTGCTTCATTCACGACAAGAAATTGATTAAGCCCTAAGTACCCTAACATTGAGTTGCCTGAGCTTGTGAAGATTGGTAATATTGAACCACATATAGTGTTCGTACATATGGACACGGCAGTTGGAAATCTCCGTGACTTCAATGAGAGGGCAGGATTTGATTATGCTCTCGAACGTCCACTCCTCCAAAGCTACATTTTCGAGCGATAGGCGTTTGAGATTAGGCTACATTATTATTCCATCCTCCTTCCGCTGCAAAGTACAATAGTGTAAGCTTAGCTCCACCAATGTGGGGACTTCTGTTAAATGAATGAAAGAAAGAAATGACCTCATATTCCATTGTCCCACATGGATGGATGAAGACTCTTGAATTCAACATATATACCTCATGTGGACTTATATTTGGGCCTTCAAGAACTTCAAACACAGACAAAGGCAAGACATTAAGGCTTCTCAAACCATCTTTCTTTTTGGAGGTGGCTAGCCCTACACACTGATCACAAAGATCCAGTAGTGTGTCGTCGTCATCGTACCGCGAATCGAACCTCAACCCGAAGGTCTCCAGGACAATGTTTTCGTGTTGGTACCTAAACAAATTGGACAACAGATATTCAAGTTCTCCTTTGTGTGATCTTCCCGCCTTTGGTGGTGAGGGCTTCTGGTTTATAAAATCTAAAATCAATGCGGGAAGTCTGCGGACTGTTGCGCTAAACAATTGCTATGACAACACACTCAATTGGACGGCTTCTTTGGTTGTAATTGTTAGGACATAACAAAGTATGTGATTAATAATCTCCTCCGGGAGTTCTGATAATGGGCTTCCTCTATTGGCTGGGGACGTCATTGTATTGATATACAAAGACTAACATTGAGTTGCCATGTAAGTAGAGTTGTTAGTAAAGTTAAAAAAGTAGAGTAGAATTTCTTGTTTTTCTTTCACGATCCACTATTCTTCCATTCCAATTCAAAAAAAAACTATTCTTCCATTCAAAATTTCTTGTTTTTCTTTCATATCTATTAGGCCGTCAAAAGCAATAAACCTTCAACTATTAATAGTTGTTAAAAGAGGCTTTTTTATGCTTGGATCGATTAAGAAATCTATCCTAATTTTTTTTTGTGCACTAATTGATTTTAGCTTATTTGATTAGAAATGAAGGATAACTTAAAAAGATCTATTGAAATTTATGCTACTAACTATGCAACTAAACAGAATCAAATTTGGTTACCATGATTCGATCATCATAATTTTAAAACGTCTTGGCTGTTGATCATCCTAATTCGATCATCCGATAAAGCTGCTGGCCGTTGATGGGAAGAATTAGGAATCGGTAAGGAGAGGATTTGATACTGCATTGAGTTTGTGAAGTAAAAAAAAAAAAAAAAAAAAGGAAGAGTCATTAAGTTCTGAATGATTTTGATTTTTCTTTTTTAATTAAACCTATCATAAAATTCTAAGGCGATGTGGATAAGCCAACTAGATCGTCATGTAAGTAAAGTTGTTAAGTAGAATTAAAAAAGTATAGTGAAATATCATTACTCACCTTGACATGAGTTTCATGTTTTCCCTTCTCCACAATTATTTCATCAATCTTAAGCACGGTGATCATGAAGGCATCTCTAACGGCGGTCAGCCCTAAGAGGAAGCTGTGTAGCGACGGGTTTTATTAGGCCCCAAATTGATTTTTGAGAGATTTAAAAATAAATTTTCACATCTATTGTATTATATTAATTATTAAAATTATTTTTAAGATTTATTTTCAATTAAAAAAATATAATAAGTGAAATTTAGAACAAATCAAAATTTTTTTATAATAAATATCGGAAAGAAGTAATTAATAAGATGCGCACAACTACGCGATAAGGATATTACAATTATACTTACAATTTTAAATACTCACATAAAACATTTTCACATTTCGAACTACAAAATTGACTTTTAAATTCATGAGGTAGAATCATGAAATTAGGGGACCATCTGTCCTAAAATTGTAAAAAGTATTTTATGTTATCATTGCTTCGACTTATATATTCTGCAAAAATAGATGGAATAAATTAAATATGTACATAAAGATATGAAGGTTTCTTATTCCTTAACAAAAAGAGTTTCTCTAGTTCGGAAACCATTGGTACAAGTGTGATTTTAACTCAATTTTAAATTTTTTAAAAAAGTTACATCGATTATTTTTGGATTAAAATGATGAAGAAATTTTTTTTGACAACTACTATCTATTTTCATAACATTATTAGGGCGAACTATGTCCCCGCCCAAATTATTTATTAGTATAGCCTTTTTGCATATTACTATTCTTTTTTCCCTTTTTGTTTTCTTTTTCTTTCGGACTTGATCTGTGTGGCGCGGGCTCACATACGACGCCGTATGTCGCACCTAATTTTGGTTTCCGACGACGGCGAACTTTTATAGTAATCTCCTCGTCATCGCCGGCATTGCTGCTGATATTTATTAATTGCAGATTCAATGTACAACAATAGCGTTTCAATTAACGTGTCCGACGATTCCTCCGACGAGCTCCCCGGTAAGTTAAGAACTCGTGTACGAAGGAAGCGGAAGAGATTTGAGCATCGAGGGAAAACCGGGTTTACTCGGAAATTTGTGAAACAATTGCTGCGGTGGGGGCCGATTTTGCTCCTCCTTGCTGCCGGTTGGCTATTCTTTTTTGAATTCTACAAGTTAAGTTGGAGAACAAACTCACCTCCCAAGAAGGATCCCAAACTCGTTACTGAGAAGAAGCCGCCAGCAAACTTGAATCGTCTTGATCCCGTCACTAAAGTTGTCCATGGCGTCAGAGAACGTTAGTCTCATTTGGCTTCTTTTTTTTTTTTTTCTCTCTTGAAGCTTTTCGTATGTTTTTGGTTTGCCTGTCTCTACATTGTTGTAGGATGAGCTGCATTCTTTAAAATTCTGACTACTGATGTTATAGTTAATCTTCAAAATGTCACATTAGAAAAGTTATCAAATTTCTATCTTTATAATATTAATTAATGGAATTGGAGTTTCAAGTGTTAATTAGTTCATTTATACTGACTTTGGATGCGACAGGTTCACTCTGATCTTTTTGGATCACCTTTAGAAGTTGAATCTGTTGCATTGCTTTAATAATGAACTTAAAGTCACTCTATTTCTTGCAGAAGATTCTTTTTGGAATCCTGTATGCTTCTGTTGTTGGTTTCATTCTTTGATGAACTATAATCATCTTTGCTAACTTTATCATGTCCGAATGAATTTTGTCAGCTTAATTTGCTCATGATTTTCTATCTATAATTGTGCTGCATGTCCTAGACCAATCTTCTATGTTATGGCGTGCATTTCGCAATAATAATATAGGTCAATGGAATGGTAACTGATTTTATTCTTCATGTATCAGCTTGCTTGAAGCTTTTGCCTCCTGAAGAGCTTGAGCATCTTGTTCCTCCTAAGCAGAGAGTGCCGCACGATCCAATTAAAGAAGTGGTCTATATTACAGACACTGATTCACGTTACCTAGAAGGGAATCTTACGTCTGAGAAAGCCTTGGAGGCTACAAGATTTAATTTGTTCACAGGTTACCAAACTCTAAAGCAAAGAGATTTGAGTTTCGAGGTATTTACTGAATCTTACACATGTCTATGCAAAAATTACGTAGTGAGGTTTCCGGTAGAAACTAGTTTCTCTTTTGTTCTTTACGAGATCCTTTGGTTCTAGACTTGAAATTTTCAGTTTTTGCTGTTGACAGAGTAAAATAAGTTACATCAGTGTGCTGCATTCTATTGTAGGTGAATGAAACATCAGAAGTCCACTGTGGCTTCTGTAGTGAGAAGGGGGGTTTTAAGATTTCAGACGAAGACAAGTTGTACATGCGTGATTGTGAAGCCGTGGTGTCTACCTGTGCATTTGGTGGTGGGGATGATCTTTACCAGCCTATTGGGATGTCAGAGCAGTCACTTCAGAAGGTTAGCATGTATAGATGCAGTCCTCGACATTTTGGGTTTCTGTGTTCTGTTAAAGGCTCACAGTTTTTATGTGAAGCAGGTATGCTATGTTGCATTTTGGGATGAAGTTACTCTTGCTTCACAGGAGGCACAGGGAGTTAAAGTGGGTGAAGACCATTTTATTGGGAAATGGCGGATCATAATAGTTAAAGATTTACCTTTTCGAGACCAAAGGTTAAATGGTAAAATCCCAAAGGTATGGATTTGCTTTCTTCTGTTGTAGTTTATTAGATGGCATCTCATCCTTCATTAAAAGTTAGCTGCAAATGTTTTCACACTTGATTTTTGTTTATGGCATGCAGCTATCTAATGCCCTTTTACTGCACACCATCTTATCTGCTTAGATGTATGGTTTGACGTGGTAGTATTGGTATGGTTGAAGGAAAGTTCTCTTGTGTGTTTTGATGAAAGTTTCCTCTTTTACCTCTTTTATGTGTTCAGATGCTTCCCCACCGTCTCTTTCCAAATTCCAGATACTCTATCTGGGTAGACTCAAAGTCTCAATTTCGGAGGGACCCTTTGGGAGTATTGGAGGCCTTACTTTGGCGAACAGGATCGGTACTTGCAATTTCAGAACATGGTGCCCGAAGCAGTGTCTATGATGAGGCAAAGGCTGTTGTCAAAAAAAATAAAGCGACACCTGAAGAGGTAGAAGTACAGTTGACACAGTACCGCAAGGATGGCCTGCCAGAAGATAAGAGGTTCAACGGGAAGAAAGGTATTGTTGCAACCGGCTTCACTTTCTTTGTGTGTTCTGTAAAAGGATTATGTCTCAATAAGTTTGTGGTGCTGGTCCTGGTTCTTGGTTTCTTAAGATGATAGTGGTTTGGTCAGGAAAATAAGCATTTGTTTGAGATAGTTTTACAACCAGTATTATGTTTTGTTTTTCCTTTCGTGATTTCATCTATAATTTCTGTTTACCTGCCTTCTGTCTCATAACTACACTTTTCATTTATGAAGCTGGATCCTTGTTTGATTTCAGTGTTTTTATGTTGGGCCAAATGGGTTGTTTATGATGCAAACTTTCTCATAGCCACTTTTCTTTGCATACAGCTCTGGCCGAGGCTTCAATAATCGTGAGGGAGCACACCCCATCAACTAATCTCTTCATGTGTATTTGGTTTAATGAGGTGGTTCGGTTCACTTCACGCGATCAGCTAAGCTTTCCATATGTTCTCTGGCGATTTAAAGCTTTGAAGGATGTCAATCTGTTCCCTGTCTGCACCCGCAAAGATCTTGTTAATAGCATGGGTCACTTACGGAAGGCCAAACCTCTAAATTAAGTAATTATTCTTGATTCTTCTTGTATTCAATGAGCTCTGTCTTGATCTTTTTGGTGGTCTCTCGTTCTACTAACTACTTAGGATAGGAATATCTAGAGAGGATTGTGGTCGTAATTATTCTTTTGCTCTCACTAGGGGTGCATTATGTTTCTGTGTATTATACTCAGCTGCCAATCTGGAAGAAAATTTCAGTTATTTTTACTGCCACAGGCTGTAAGTTATGGCATTGTATTCATGCAATAATATAGTAGCCATTAGTTCTCTCTGAATTATATGCCATTCTCTTGTCCACTTACATGTTGGTTTGGTGAAGTTGCTGTTCTTTTGTTTTCCATTTTTTTTAGTTTTTTTCAGACTAATTGGCCATTCATGCCAAGAAGAGACGCAGTCTCTTCAACTTATTGCCATGGTTTTCAAAACCTAAGGAATTTGATGATGTCGAAGAAAAGAATTGTTATATGCAGTTATCCTAGTTTTGTCTACCTTTTAGGCTGTGCTAACATCAACTTTCTTCTATAGGATTAGTTCTAAGTTTGAGGGTGGATTAGGTGACACCAAAACCACAGCAAAAGCACAGAAAAATAATGTATTAAAGGAACTCTCCACCTGAACTTAATTGGTGGCATCTCAACAGAACTTTCAGATTAATGTCTGTCTAAAGATAATTATGCCTCCCAGGATAATATTCTGCGTTGCAGTTTCTCTAGCTATAATCACAGTGACGCTCCTGTCCTTGTTCTCTCCCGTGCCTCATCAAAAAGAAAGTTCAAGGCTGTCCTTGGCATTGTCTTTCTACATCCAACAACCTAAAACCGGCGGCTCAACTTCGCACAGGGTGGCACCATCTGATGCCGGAGCCCTGATCTTCCATCGGACGCTCACAGAAGGACCCGAGAACACTTCCCAGGTCGTAGGAAAAGCTGAAGGTTTCATCATCCCAATCGACCATTTCGCACATTCGGCATTCAACATAATTTACCTGACGTTCCACACTCAGAAACATTCCGGCAGCCTTAGCATCCAGGCCAAGGATTTTGCCCAGAATCAGAAAAGTGAACTAACTGTTGTCGGTGGAACGGGTTCTTTCGCTTTTGTTCGTGGATTTGCAGTTTTTGCTCAGGCTGACAACAACCCGGGATCATCATCTTCATCCTCTAGCTCAGATGCAACTTATCATATAAAACTGCACCTTAGATTTCCAAATCGATCCCAAACAATACCACCTGGATAACATGTATCCAAAAATTCTTTTGCCTTCTTTTGTGACTTCATTTTGTAGTTAATCTTTAGGACAATATATCCTCAAGAACATTCATCATTGCTGCAAAAAAAAATTTCAGATTTGCAGCTGATTAACACCTCGGATGATGTCGGTCTTGAACATATTTAACTAAATCATGTCTAATTTCACGAAAAAAAATACTGTATTAGTTTCGTTATTCCTAAAAAAGATTTTTATTTTATTTTATTTTACTTTTCTTAGATGGAACAAGGAAAATTAAAAATGTGAGACTGAAACCGTGTGATCCGACCCGGATTTACGGCTGCAACCATCATTCTTTCGCGCTAAAGATCATCCAGTATTCCAATCTAACAAACTGATTACTAAAACGGCCCCGTTTCCTGTTCATTTTCTATTGATTGATTTCCACGGAATTCACTTTCCTTCTCTTTCCTCCAATCTTCCATCTCTGAAGTTGAGGAACTGACGAAACGGACAGGCTAGAATTCGTCGGAACAGAAAAATATGGCGAAATCGAGCGCCGATGATGAGGAGCTCCGACGAGCTTGCGAAGCCGCCATTGAAGGAACCAAGCAGAAGGTCGTAATGTCGATCCGAGTAGCCAAGAGCGCCGGGATCTGGGGCAAAACTGGCAAATTAGGCCGCGGTCAAATGGCTAAGCCTCGGGTTCTCGCCATCTCCAGTACGTTTATCTCTTCACTGTCATGACGAATTTTCATAGTTATTAGGTGTACATGTTCTATAATTGATCTTTTAGCTGAATCTTCTTGCTCTGTGATGGAGTCTTGAGTTCAATTTTTTATAAATTGAAGCATGTTGTGGGGAATGCTAGCTTGTTTCCGTATCAAAACTCAACAATAAGTTAAACACTATGAACTCTAATGCCACAGAACTCTTATAAAGAAATGGATTCGATAATGTTTCTGTTGAAGATGTTCGTGTGAAACTTCAATTACTTGGCATTCTATAATTGTTCTTCTTATGGAACGTGGACTGTCTTAGCTTAATGTCAACTGGGTGATGTATTTGCAGCAAAAGCCAAAGGTCAGCGGACTAAAGCATTTCTGCGTGTAATGAAATATTCAAATGGAGGAGTTCTTGAGGTGATCTTTTGTTCTTAGTTTCTCAGCCTTTTATCTTTCATTGTATTTTTCTTCTTTCTTTTTATCAGGGGGAGGGCGTCTCAAGAAAATGAATGTATTAAATGAAAGAGATGAAGAATTCCTTCTGTGTAACATTAACCAATTACATTTAGCTGACGAAAAGTTTAGTTACAAACAGTTTTGCTGTTCCCGGCCTCTATATAATTGGGAAACAATCTCAACATGATAATTATGAAATAGCTTCTTTTTCTATCCCCTTATGGTTCAGCCCTGGAAAATGGTTCTAGGTAAAATCGATGGTTGGTTTCTGAAATGGCTCAAATGATATGCTCATAGAACTTCATATTTATAATTTTTGCTTTCAAATGATTCTGGTTGCTCGGTTGGATGATAGATAAGTAGCAATTAAGTTTGTACCCATTATGTGACTTTCAAATTGGACGAGGTGATGGCCTCATTAGGTGAATATTTCTCATATTTATTTTACATTCATGAGAATCTTTGTGAGACTTATTTTTTAGTGCAGCTGTCCAAAGTGTTGTTTGCTGTTTATACGTTTCATTTTGAAAAAAATGTATTGACATGCGACTACTTATTTAAGTTGTTTATGAATCATTCTTTATGTCTGTAGCCTGCAAAATTATACAAGCTGAAGCATCTTTCCAAGGTGGAGGTTGTAACTAATGATCCCAGTGGATGCACATTTATGTTGGTATGCCTCAAAACACGAATATATTAAAAATGCTTAAAGAATTTTCAAATATATCTGCTGAAAATTAGTAGTTGCTTCATGGTGTTTTAGAATGTATTTTGGATTGATCTGCTTGCAGGGTTTTGATAACCTTAGGAGTCAGAGTGTTGCTCCACCTCAGTGGACCATGCGCAATGTTGATGATAGGTATATTCTGTTGTGTGCTAAATATTTGGATTTATTTGATCCTTTTTTTAATTACTTTTACAAAAATTGACGTATGGATTTATTGTAGGAATCGCCTTCTGATGTGTATCTTGAATGTTTGCAAAGACGTATTGGGTCGTCTCCCGAAAGTTGTTGGCATAGATGTGGTGGAGATGGCTCTTTGGGCTAAGGTGTGTTTGAAAGTGACCTGGTTGCTGGGAAAAGAAAAAACTATAAATGTTCTTTTTAAGTTGTGTTGATATATCTGAATTAACTGCTCAAGCTGCATTAATGTTGGAAGTATAACTTTTTCTTGTAAAATAGGTCTTGTAGAAAATCATTTGTATTCCTAGTCGTGAAGGAATTTCTTTTCTTTTTAATAATAAACTTCAAGATAGTGAAATGACTCTTTTTAGGTTTTTCGTCATGCTCAGATGTTGACTTTTGTCCATGCTTATGAATGTAGTGGATGGAACCTATAGTTGATTAGGGTCTTCGCATAATCCATGTTGCTGCTCATTTAAGCTAATTGGTGCATCGGATGTAACTAAGAGGGTGAAGTTTTAAATGAACTTTCAACAATCTCATCATTCTAATGAAACAGTTTTCAGTTCATATGCCATTCAGACTATTACTTATTGATTATCTTAGTGGGATCTTCAACTCTCTATTTTTAGATTTCTTCATGTGTTTAACACTTTCACATAAACAGGAAAACACACCTACCATTACTCAGCAAAGAGTGAATGTTCAAGATGGACCTGCCGAGACTTCAGTTTCTGGGGGTGACATGAAAGTGACAGTGGAAAGAGAACTTGTTTCACAAGCAGAAGAAGATGATATGGAGGCTCTTTTAGACACGTACGTTTGTTTTCTTCAGGAAAAACAATAGACAAACTGAACAGGACTTAACTGGTATGAAGTATGAAGTGGTTTGGGTGAACCAGGCAATAAAGAACTTAAAGAGCCTTTTTTCTTTTTTTTAAAAAAAAACCTTAATGTCTTTTTACTGTGCTTTTATTTGCTTTGTCATCTTTTGGTGGCATGTCTTTGGCATGCTTTCATTGCATCATCTTTTTCGGGTTTTCTTTCATAATCTTCCATTAATAGCATGCAACTAACCTTGAAATCCAGGTGGCACCACCTCTCAGTCATTATTGTTTTTTTTCCTTCCCCTTTTCAGTTCTATTATTATGACTGTTTTTAACAAGTGGCACAAATGGTTCCAGTTTTGTCATGGGCATTGGTGAAGCAGAGGCATTTTCGGAGAGATTAAAAAGAGAGCTTCAAGCGTTGGAAGCGGCAAATGTACATGCTATTCTGGAAAATGAACCTTTAGTTGATGAGGTACGAATTCATAATTGCAATAAATAATTTTAAAAACATCATTTTCTGCTCTGATTTCTATTCAATTTCTATCTTGTTTCGTAAACATGGATCATTTTCCTATATTCAAATACAGAACAAATAGATTGAATCATTTCTCCTTTTCTCTTGATTTATGAGCACTTCTATTTATGCTCTAGAGTTTGTTTACGCCAATATAAGCATCTAATATCATACTATGCTTCCCTCATTAACTTGTTTGTGACTTCTTCTGTGCCACATTTGATTTTCAATTGCATAGAGGATCTCGTTGAAGGTGTTATGATTGTGCTGGGCCTTTAGGCGCTATCTTTACTTGATGATACCTCACGAAGATTTTTGTTGCATCATTTTTACCGAATGGTGTTTGGCTATGGGGGCTGATGTTTTATCTTAGCATGTGTTGCCTGAGATAGCTGTTTTCTGAAAGCCTTCTTAAGTTGGTCACTAATTAGTTTTCTGGTCCTGCAGGTTTTACAGGGCCTAGAATCAGCAACTAATTGTGTTGAGGACATGGATGAGTGGCTTGGCATATTCAACGTAAAACTCAGACACATGAGAGAGGATATTGAATCGGTAGGTTAGTTATGGATGTTTTTGATTCTCACCATACATATATGCTCATAACTTCTTCTATACACCCAATTATTTCTTTAAAAAGATTTTGCTGCTTACCTTGCATTTGTTTCATTTTCTTCTAATAACCAGAGACTGGTCAAGGATTTTTCTAAGTATTTTTTAGTTTTTCCAGTACTGGCATAAAAATCTCTTGGCTGCAAAATTTCTTCGAAGTACCTGCTAGTTTAAAGTACAGAATTATGGTTTCCACTTTCATACTCAGCTTTTGGGGTAATTTCTTTTTGTGTTTCCTTTTGATATACTTTCGTGAGCCTTGATGAACTCTTCGGATTAATGTTGCCACGATTTTAAAGTTACACACGCTGACAGAAAAGTTTCTCTGAGTCAAACACTAAAGTGTTTTGCAATGTAGTAGCAGTTTGTAATTTTACAGAGGGTTATCCAATTGGTATGAATCAGTTCTCCTTGTGTACAGATAGAAACACGTAATAACAAGCTGGAGATGCATTCAGTGAACAATAAATCCTTGATTGAAGAGCTTGATAAGCTTCTTGAAAGATTGCGAATTCCTTCAGAGGTAAATTTCATATATATTTTCTATTATCTTTTTGGTGAAGTTTCATGGTAGCAATTATGTTCTTTTTGGTGCAGTATGCAACATGTCTAACAGGTGGTTCATTTGATGAGTCACGGATGCTTCAAAGTATTGAAGCATGTGAGTGGCTTACTAATGCTTTACGCAACCTTGAAGTTCCTAACTTGGATCCTACCTATGCAAATATGCGTGCGGTATATAAGCATTTTTTTTATTTTTTATTTTTTGGTCTGCTATAAGTGGTACGATAAAGTGTACATTAAACTTCATGTGGTTTCATTTACAAAATTCAAATAGGTAAAAGAAAAACGAGCTGAACTGGACAAGTTGAAAGCTACATTTGTTCGAAGAGCATCAGAGTTCTTAAGAAACTACTTTGCTAGTTTGGTGGATTTCATGATAAGTGACAAGAGCTATTTTTCTCAGGTATTCTAGTAGCCCTTAGCACTTAGTGAAATATATGTTACAGGAATCCTAAATTTGTTGAAAATTGATATAAACAGCGTGGGCAATTAAAGAGACCTGATCATGCTGATCTGCGGTACAAGTGTAGGACATATGCTCGCCTGCTGCAACATTTGAAGGTTTGATGAAATTTTACCACAAATTTCTAATTATTTTGGCTTATCTTTTGCTCATCTCAAATTCTTGTTTTCCCTAAATATTTACTTCAAAATTTTGCAGAGTCTTGATAAGAATTGCCTTGGTCCATTAAGGAAAGCTTACTGTAGCTCCCTGAACTTGCTCTTGCGCCGTGAGGTAAGAAGATGATTTACCTTGCAGCAAATGTTTTGTCTGTCGTTCTGATTTGAGATTTCATGTAGATTATGACCTATTTGGATCTCTAAGTCTTGGTCTCACTGTAAGTTAAGGGTAAATGGGTTTTATAGATTACATGGCAGCTTTAAATCAAGATACAAGCATAACAATCTGAACAAACATGTAACGGTTCAGGATCCATAGGGTTTCATTTGTGTTGTTACGGGTTACTGGATGATGTTGTGTTCTGACCACTTAGATGTTTATCTATATAGCATCAAAAAAAAAAAAAAGGAAAAGAAAAAGATGGTTATTTTCATGGATAAGAATGATGATTGTCAAGTGATTTTATCTTAACATCAGAGATATCGATCGAAGTTTCAGAAGCCAAATTCATCTCCTTATTTATATATATAGTTATCAGTTTGACTTGCGCTTTTTGTGTCTATACTATGGACCGTGATTGTCAGGTGTGGAAAATAAAAGGTCGGGCATTAGCCAATCAGTTGATTGTGTCTACTGTGAATGAAGTAAATTATCTGAAGGATTTGATCTTGAATTTAATGTTCTTGCAAATGTGGACAAATGTTAAGTTGGATATTGTTAATTTTAACAAACTGTTTTGGTCGTTGGCTTATTCTTAAATTCTGGAGAAAGACATTTTGTAGAATTGGAGACTAAAGAAAATCACTATTTAGTTTCCATCGAGCTTATCTTACTAATTTTATTTCCTTTCTAGGCTCGTGAATTTGCCAATGAACTTCGTGCTAGTACCAAAGCATCACGAAATCCTACTGTGTGGCTTGAAGGTTCCACCGGTTCCAGTCAAAGTGTAAACAATGCAGATACTTCTACAGTTTCAGAAGCTTATGCCAAGATGCTCACCATATTCATTCCACTTCTTGTGGATGAGGTCCTCTCTCTCTCTCTCCCCCCCCAAGGCCCTCTCTCTCTCTCTCACACACATATTTTGTATTTTGCATATTGCAGAGCTCATTTTTTGCGCACTTCATGTGCTTTGAAGTTCCTGCACTTGTTCCACCTGGTGGCCATGCAAATGGAAATAAAGGCGGGCCTAATGATGACGAGGATGGAAATGATGATGATTTAGGCATTATGGATATTGATGACAATGACAGCAAAACTGGTGAGTCATTCGACCATTTGCTTTTTCACATTGTCTTGTGGGACGGACTTTTAAATCTCTTTTCTGCGACTTAGCAGGTAAAAGCTCCGCAGAGCTGGAGGCATTAAATGAATCACTTAGAGATCTACTTGACGGAATTCAGGTACTTCATAAATTAACGACTTCGACTTCTTCTTTGAACTGTTCTTTGCTTGAGTTTCTTCAGCAAGAGCTTATAATTCTAGTTATAGAAATATAATGTTCCCAGCTTTGGGTTTATTCTTTTTCTCGATATGTGTTAGAAATTTGGTGCTGACTGTGATAATTTCCCCTTATTTTCTTGGTACTGATTTTTTAGGAAGACTTCTATGCTGTGGTGGATTGGGCGTATAAGATCGACCCCCTGCGCTGCATCTCAATGCATGGTATAACAGAACGTTATATTTCTGGTCAGAAAGCTGATGCAGCAGGCTTTGTGCGCCTATTGCTTGATGATCTGGAATCCAGAATTTCTATGCAATTTAGCCGTGTGAGTTAGATTTTCCTTTCTTTCTAATTGTATGTATGTATGTGATGGAAGGATCATTTCTCTGAAATACTTTAGTCACATCAATGCAGTTTGTGGAGGAGGCGTGTCACCAAATTGAAAGAAATGAACGAAATGTTAAGCAGCAGGGAGTCTTGTCATACATACCGAGGTAAATGAGTATGCTTCAGTGAGAATTTCAGTAAACTGTAATCAGAGACTTGTCCTCATTTTAAAAATTGAACGACAAAGGAGTTCATCAATTTTCGTCTGCAGTTGAACGTCTTTGGTGAATGTTTATAATCTCCATGTTTAATACAAAATTCAGTCAGTTTATGGATTCTGGACCTTTGGTTCACCTGATTGAGAAACAATCTGGAGACTGGCAATAGTTGTTATTGACTATGTCTTGCTATTTAATCGTTTATAGAAAGTTAACCGTTTCAAGTTTGCTTTCCTGGTGATGTAGGATCTCGCATTATTGTACTATCTCATCTTTGATATCTGTTCGATGCATTACCATTGGACTTAGCTTCACCTTTGTTTTACTGTACATGAATTTTTTAAGTTAATTCAAAAAGTTTGTTCAGTAGACATCTTCTTATCTTCTATGGGATCTGTAATACGAATTTTAGTATCATTATACTCCATAATAATGCTCTAGTTGGAACAGTTCGAAATGAAGGCGCTTTTTTGCTAACATGATTTTTTGAGATGTTCTTTTGCTCACATGATTTCTTGACACACTCAACGATGTCTTCAGTTTCTTCACATACTCGCTCCTTGCATCTTTTTGTTATTACTTCAATTTCTTGTGATATATATTTTGCTTTAATTGGATTCACTCTAATGTCCCTTCTGCAGGTTTGCTACTCTTGCAACACGTATGGAACAGTACATACAAGGACAATCAAGGGATTTAGTTGATCAGGCATACATGAAATTTGTAAGTTTTCAGTTTGTAATTTTGTCCTGGAGCTAGTTGAATGCTTATTTACATTCCAAATGGTAGGTAGGCAAAAATCTTTAATCTTTTGGGTAGAAGTGCAGATTTTGTATGTCAAATCTTTTAACGTGTGATCAACATTATCGGTACCATAAACACTCCCCTTGGCAATCTGTCATTCCTGGTTTCCCTTTCTTGATTTTTTTTCATCTTCTCGCTTCCTATTTGTGCAGTGGGATATTTTATTGATGGCGCTATGACCATTTTGACAGGTGACTATTATGTTTGTGACATTGGACAAAATCAGTCAGGGCGACCCAAAATATGCAGATATTTTACTCTTGGAGAACTATGCTGCATTTCAGAATAGGTACCTGTATTTCAGATGTAGAGATACATTAATCACATGCACGAGTTTATGATTTGGTTATCTAACACTGATCAAAACTGGTTGCTTGCAGTCTTTATGACCTTGCAAATGTTGTGCCCACTTTAGCAAAGTTTTATCACCAAGCTAGTGAATCTTATGAACAAGCATGCACTCGTTTTATCAGTGCTATTATTTACTATGTGAGTAGTTGAACTCTTCTTTCTGGTGCTAATGTCCTTTTCCGTCTATTGCTTCAAGTATATCTTTTGAGTTTTCAGCATGTATTTTGATTTTTGTGGTATGTGCACTCTATTTACTCTGTCTGTTCTTTTCCTGAAAACTTTTCCTGGGTGCAGCAATTTGAACGACTGTTCCAGTTTGCTCGAAGGATTGAGGACTTGATGTACACAATCCCGCCAGAAGAGGTAAGTTTGAGTGGACTTCATTTTGATTGATTCTTGATTCAATCAGGCATTTTATCTAATGTAACTTGTGAATTCATGGAATTATAATGTAAGAATGTTCTCTGTCCTGTCCTTAAACTTATCTTCTGTTCTGTTACTTCAAACTCTGTAAGCAGTCTTTGCTGACGCGAGATGAAACTTTTAGCTTAGATATCACGTGTAATGGATTGTAAAAGGTCTTCTTTGGTGAATGTTGCATGCAACTATATTTTGGTTATGAATTATGGATGCATATATCACTTGTGCCACTCTGTTCTTTTCGGATCTCTTGATAAAAATTTGCCTCAATCTCTGAAGAAGACAGTTTTTTTTTCCAATCAATCAGGTAGGACCTATCCTGATTTAATGTTTGATGGTGGTGAACAAATGCATTCCCGATGCAATGTTCTTTAAATATCGCTTCATAACCATGATACTAAACATATGATTAAAAGTCCTGGAGGACTGCTTTGCCATCTAAGCTACTGGTATTTAGATAGGTGTCAAGCTTTATTTGGAGACGCATGAAAGAAGTGTTTAGAGCTCAGTTTTTCCTTTGATTATTATAATTATCATGCAACAATGTTGCTTTTAGCTTAACAAATCTTCTATTTGGGTTATTTGAGTAATGATAAAACTCAAGGCTAATAATCTATTGAAATAACAGATTCAGTTCCAGCTTGGATTGTCAAAAACAGATCTTCGCAAAGTGGTTAAAACAAGCTTGTCTGGGGTAAGTCAGTAATACTATCTTCCTAAATATTCCTTTTCCCACCTGTCCTGATTTAAAGTCTTTTTGTACAGGTTGACAAGTCAATTGGAATGATGTATAAAAGGTTGCAAAAGAATTTAACCTCAGAGGAGTTATTGCCTTCACTGTGGGATAAATGCAAGGTAAGATTGAATGTTTGCATCTTAGACACTGATTATCTGTCAGTTGTGTGTGTTATGCTTGTCATTGTAATAAATGGATGAAATAGTTGCCCGGTTTGCTATTGATGGTAGTCGTTTTCTTCATTGCACTGAGCAAAAGACACATTTTTCACTTTGCTTCTTGATTGGTTTACTTCTGCACATCTATGAAGTTCCATTCTGCGAAAAACTAACTTAAACTGAATTCCTTTATAAACTAAAACTGAATATTCTTTACGAGAAAAATATAATATGCTCTTTTTTCCAAACTTGGCAGAAAGAGTTTTTGGACAAGTACGACAGTTTTGCACAACTTGTGGCGAAACTGTACCCATCTGAAAATATACCATCAGTGGCAGAAATGAGGGAGCTTTTGGCCTCTATGTAAAGGAGTTGTTGCTCTTGTAAAGCTGAGTCCATTTTTTGAGGTATAGATTTGTGTCGTGTTGTAGCCCTTTTTCTTTCTTTTATCCTTTATTCATCGATGTAGAATATTAGTTGCGTATATGCTGAGAGCTCGTATATCATTTGTTACTACACTGCTGGTCTAGTGTATTGTCATCTAGCCTGCTTAGGTTCTTCGCGTTGATCCACAAATGCTTCTTTTGATTGTAACTTGTAAAGGGATTTTGTTTTACTGCATTAACTAAAGCTATATTGTACACAATCCACTTGTTCAAACTTTTAATCTGCTTTTTCCACCCTTTAACAAGAAGCACAGGTTCATTGTCCCTGTTCGTTAAGTGTTAATACCAATCAACATCATGGTGTATGGCAAGCTTGGAATTTGAATGACTTCATTTGATTAGAATAGTAGAAATCTAATTGACCCAAAAAAAGAAAAAAAAAGAGAGAGTAGAATATACTGGGTATCTACTGGGATTTCTCCTACGGCGAAGCAGACAAAAGTAATAATAACCATCAAAAATTACAAAACAAATGAACCAATTATGCTTCTCATAAGTACGGAGAACCTTCTACCACCAATCTCTTCAGATTCTACATCTTTATTTAAGTACAAGTTTTTTTCCTTGATTGATTCCTATCAGGACTCTACTATATTACAGCAAAACTTTGCACCGTATTCGGCTGGGATTATTGGATGGTTCAGCTAATAATCTACCTTCTAATAGCCAGTTTTGAAAGGAGGAATGTGCAAGCGGAAGAAGCGAAAACGGCGGCTGCGAAACAAGCAAAATCAAGACTGGTAACCAAAGGTATAGTTTTGAACTTCTCCAACATTCCCACTTGAAGTATCATTATCACAGCTTGCCCGATTTTGGACTTGGCTTGCATTACTGTGTGAATTCCCACCCTTGACGGCAATGTCTAACCACCAAAATATAAACATTCCATGAGTCAAAATCTCAAAGATATTTTTATTAGTAATCAATATGCTTGTTTTTTTTTATGAATAAATATTCCAAACTTCTATCGTGATTATCATTTACCTTGATAAAGTTTGGTTGTAGGAAAATTTGTGACCCTTTGCCTCTAAAGCCAGATGATGATCCAACAAACATGACGTGTAACCCCGTCGCAAAGACAAGCATTGCAGTAGCTACCAAAAACATGTCTGCTCGTAATTCAACTCAATTAAATTATGGGATGATAAGCTACCTATAATGTTTTTATTAATCTTTACTCAAGGGATTGAAAGGAAAAGAAAACAAGCAAAAACTAACAAGAAGCTATACCAATGGCTTCGATTAGTAGGTGAACAAGATGTTCTTGTGCTGAACCTTGAGACATGGAATGGAAATACTTCACGTATGACTCTATTATCAAAACACATCCCTGCAAGACCCATCAAACTTTGATTCAAAATCCTGGCAAATACACATACACACATCATTTTTTTGGATGGGCATATCGGACTTCCAAATTACCTCGACGAAGCAAAGTAATGAACCAAGCAACGTTCCTCCAACTGCAAGCATGGTAAAGAATCGGCAGTCCACTATCACCTGAACGAATTAAGGTTGTACCCGTTATTCTCAATGTCTCATAAAAAAAATAAAAAAAATAATAAAAACAGGTTATTTGAGGTATACCTTTTCCATGAACATCTGCAAATGCCATATCCAGGGTATTGATTTGATGACAAGACTTAACCTCCGGATAAATGCAAAGAACAAACCAGCTGCATCCCCAAGCAACCCGGCCAACTCCGCCAATCTGTCACTCTTTGTCGGTGTTGAGGTGATAATAACACACCCTGAAGTTGAAGCCTTGACTTCAACAGGGGAAACACCATTCTTCTTCTCAACTTTATTAGCATGATTATTAGTACAAGGCAACCAGTTCTCTCCACTTCCACCATTATTGTTGCTAATACATCTTACTTTAAGCATAGATGACCTTAATTCCGAAAACCCGTTACTTTTGTAAGTCGAAGAAGATACACAACCACCACGATTCAACATTCTTGCGGTGGCCATTGTTATACAATGTGGCTGGCAAATTGGCTCTGAAAGCTGGAAATATTTGGTCTTCTCCGCAATTGTGGAAAAGTTGGTGGAAGGCCGTTTAATAATTTATAGTAATGAATGGAGTCATGGACCTCATGGTGAAGGAAGATTCGGAGCATATGAAATGAACCAAAAAATTTTGTCATGTTGTTCTAGGTTCTTTTTCTCTTTTCCGATTTCACTTTCATGTACATGTTAGTATTCACCCAAGTTCTGATTGCAGACTTGAAATAATATGGTATAAACAGATTGTGGGGTTTAAGAGATTGTGAGCCAGACGTTTGGGCATTTCCAAATTCCAAATCAGAACGCGGACTTTTTATTGGTGTGCTCCGTGGCGCTTTGTTGCACTTTTTAGGATCGTTATTTTTTTTGTTTTTTTTAGAGACACTGCGTATGAATTATGGAACTAAAAATCCAACGTTAAACGTGGACGACGGTGGTGACAAGTGTAATATGACACGATTGTTGGTAGTAAAAATATCTTTTGTGACATATTCCATGTGTACAAGCTTCGATTTAACCATGCTTCATGACTGATCAAACAAATTGGTCAAGTAAGATACTCAAGCAAAGTGAATTAATCAAAGGTCATTTCAAGTGCCAGATGTGTGATCAAAGTTATGTGCATAGGCTGTCCCTTAAAATAATCATCGCCTCACCTTTGTAAAGCATCATCTACGTTTTCGATAAATTTTTGCGTAATAAAACGGTTCCAAAAAAATTAATTTATGAATTCTAGAGATATAAATTGAAATAGTAAATCAGGCTGGTCGCTGGTATGACGTAACATATGTAACGTATTTTGATTTAAATATGTTATTCTAATCTGAGGTCTAACGAGAAACATCAAATTACAAACTTGAATGATTGTTCTCTTTAATATTCGTGTCACAACCGAGCCTGCAAATCCAACCCACAGAGGACAGATACTTTCTTCGTTTGATTGTAAATTTTTTAGGCATATTCAGTCCACCAACACGGCACACCTGCAAATTAAACAATTTGCAAGAATTTTTCCGGAAGATTTTTTATTAAGTCATTTGTCTTGTCATGTTAGTTCTGTGAATAATTAGTGAAAGAATTTTTCCGGCCTATTTATATGGCACAAATTTGATTCAAACACATTCAAATTTACGCCGTTTAAACAAGACTAGGGTGAGTGTTTACATTCATGCAGTTGTGAATTATCAACATGGCCATCCCCTTTGACCAGTTTTACAAGCCATAATAATTTTATATGGTCACTCACACAAGTTTAGAAAAGAGAGATAATATATGCAACCATACTGATGGAGAATGTTAGGATCTGGCACAGACACGAGGAGATCAATGCCAAATGCTGCCAAAAAAAAAAAGTTTGTTCTGAACTACCATAAAATTACATCTAATTCTCACAAAAGCTACGGACAAACTGGTTTCCTGAATCCCTCTACGAAGACTTCAGTAGTTTTCTGCAACCGGTCTGGAAGGAAAGAGCCGCAGGAGAAATGTTAACAATGACCAGAGTGAAAACACGCCTAAGATTTGGAAAGTTACAATCATAGAAACCAACGCCCCATTTTTTTCGATCAATTGTGATGTGATGGGTGAATCCTTCATTGCATACATCATTGTATGAAGGAAATGAACACCAAGTGTAAGTTGATATATCCTGTAAACCTGCAACATTGTTTAAGAGCACATAACAGGTTAAAAATCATGCATTTCCTTCCTCAGCAAAGTTCATCAACCAATGAAAGGAACACAAGACTTTCAGATACCTCGAATATAATCGGTATTAAGGGCCATGAGGAGGAGTTCCGGCTTTCAGCAAACTTTTCAAAAACAAATTGAACCAGACAGCCAACCAAGAAAGGAGCCACAGCGACTAATACAGGTAAACCAAGGACTGGCCAGGTAACATAAACCGCCAACAGGGGTGCAAATATCTTAAACCCCATCACGAAGAAAGCAGAACTTATATATCCTTTAAGCCCCGTGATGAGACTCCACCTCTTTGCACTAAACTGGAGGTATGGCTTTTGAACACTCTCGGTGAAGTGCAAAAATGTTGCTAATCCGATGTAAAATGCCATCTCGGAGATGAATGAATTAATGATTTCTGCAGTATCATTAAAGAGGAACTCCATCAAAAAGTTTGGTCTAACAAATGATGGTTCCATCAAAGCAAGAATCTAACTGTAATGAAACTACAAAAACCCCAAAAGCAGATAGATAATAAAATTCCTAACGACCAAGTACAATTGGAATTCTGAAAAATGAACTTTCACTCTCAACCTAGTGAAAGATTGGCTACAATAAACACAAACTATCCCAGTGTACAAGACAGCGAACAAAATCTTTCAATTTTTTTGAAAAGGACCGGCTTTCTCCTAAAATGCAGTTCTTTCAAAGAGTGAAGGATTCATCATCACTTAGTTTCACATCAACGAAGCACAGAAATGCAGCAAAACAATTATTCCTATCCATTTCTTCTCACACATTAGGATAGAGTATCACTATGGTTCTGAGCAGTATGCAAGCGAATAAAAGCTCAGACATGCATACGGTTCGTATATAAGATGTAGACTAATAAAAGGCACAAGATATATTACCGTCCGCAATACACAAAATTAATAACCGAACAAGCCTACACCCATTTCACATGGGTAATTTAATCCAATTTAGTTGGACAATATTCACAAAACACAACGTTGGATGAAGCAAACAAAGAACACCTACCAGAGAGGACCTCATTCCTGAAGAGTTCTTCAATAGCACTGCCAAGAATAAACCGTGGAAGCATCAATGAAGCAATCAAGGCAACAGGAGCTACTATCCACACAATGGACCTCGCATTTTCCTCCACAGGGGATGACACCAATTTACCTTCATCCACAGATTGATGAGTCACCCCCACAAATGAAACAGACCCAGGTTTACCACATAACGGCTCCGAACCATCATATGCATTCACCCGCACATCTCTAATCTCCTTCCTCAACGGTTCTGACTTTACAAATTTCTCAGAATTCCGGGCACGCACAACAACTCCACTCCCCAACCTCGATTTTACTAAAATCAACGAACACAACTAATCATAATCTCGTTTGGCATAACAGCAAAATCTTTATGTTTCAAATCAAAATGTAGGTACTTAGGGTAAGAGAGAAACATACATTTCAGATGATTTTGGATCCAAATGTTCCCATTTGATAACCCAAATGGCCTGCAACCTCGCTGCTTGGGTGCTGATAATGAAAGGGCAGCCTAAAAAGTTTTCAAATTTTTTGGGAGTAATCAGAAACAAACATGAATAAAGGTACAATAAGCCATATTTTGCATAAAAATTAAAAGTCGTTAATTTGCTTACCACTTGATGAGGTTGACACCGAGAAACTGTAGAACATGGGACTTTTTGACAGTGGAGCGAAGCACAAGCTGACTGCAAATCCATCTCCTTCTATGAGAGAAACGGAGATTTGAACTGGGATACTTGAAGGGTAAAGAAATTTTTAAGATGGATGGAAGGGTTTTCGTTGAATCCTTAAACCCTATGAAAATGGCTTCTTTTTTTGGCACGAGAATTCGAGAATTCTTCTTCCCTCCTCCATTTGTCTCTCTCTGCCTGCGTCTGCAGAATCGTGTCTATTAAACAGATAGATGGGTTTAGATTTGGTCCACTCTGCATTGGACCCATAAATCTATGGGCTAATTAGCGCAGTAGTTTTCATTTTACTAGTCCAATTGTGGTGGATCACGAACAGTATGCTTGTCCTGTCATCATCATCATTAATCAATAATCATAAAATTGCTTGATGTTATGCTTTCTCTCTTAACTGCTATTCCATTTTTAGAAATACTATTATTGAGTTCCAGAAGTAACTTGAACCTTTTGTTCCTTTTTCTTTTTTCATTTCAGGAATTTTTTTTTTTTTTTTTCATCTTCTTTGTAAATTGTAATGCCCTGGATTTTATTTTTTTTTTAATGAAGAATGAGAAAGGCCCGAGCAACCCATACTAGCCCACGAACTTGTTACTAACACGAAATATCCGTTCAGTCCTCTATCATGGACCTCATGGTCTTAGGGCCTTATTCGTTTCAAAAAAATATGTACTTTACAACGTGTCACATTAACTAAAAGTTTACTGAACAGAAAGCCGTCATGCATGTGTAGGCCAATTGATGAACATGCCAACTCAGCCAATGTCCTATCTCCCCTCGTGGTAATATATATTTTTTTTTGTTTTGTTTTGGTTAGTTATGTTAAACACAAATGTTCAAAATTATTGTTCTGTCTATAGTTAGTTTGATTTATTTTTATACTCTGAAACCTGTATGGTAGTATCTTATTATAAAAGGGAACGATGATAGTCCCGATTATAGAAAAAACAATGATAGTCCCGTCGACTAGGGTTGCATTAAGATTTGCATGTTTAGAAATGATTCCATGAACAAGGTTACGAAACTCTTTTCGAAATAATAGTTCAATTTAAATTTATATTTTCAGTGTAATAAATTTGAGTTAAAGTGAAAAATCAGAAGTTTTGGATTAAGAGAGTGCATGGGATAGCAAATATTTATGGTATAAAAATTTGGTCGTTGATTGAGGCAGTGAAATGAACAAAGAGCGTCGTAGGTTGGGAATTCCCCCAAATATCCCAATCCCGACCATATGACGTGTTTTGTAGTACTACTAGTACTGGATAAAAAAGAACTCCATTTAAGGTTGGTTTGCATTTATTTCCCCTCCAAGGATAAGAACCAACTTGGTACTACTATAGAAAATCATATGGTATAGTACTACTACTCCAAAACAGAACAATCATACTAATAATGATTCAGAATTGGCACGTTGAAACAAAAGTGAAGGACTTTGTAGCTTAGCCCTGGGACGACTAAATAAATTAAAGCACCTGCAACAATGGAGTAGTATAATTATTATTATTATTATTATTATTATTAAATGGCGTGGTCGGTTAGTCGGAGGAGCTCGGAAGGGACGCAAACAAGTACTACGGTCTTTACTCCGTCCATACCTTAAAACGCACAACATACTGTATACTAATTTTTGGTTTGTTTGGACAATAACACATCATCGGTGTCTTCCTATCATTGGCTTCAAATTTGAGAAAACCTTTCCAATTGACCGTCCACATCAAAATATTTGTACGTATCTTGTTTGGTCCCCGTATTATCGCGTTCAAATCTATGTAAGAGATCCGATAAATGCTTATGTAAAGAATTTATTTATATCCCGATAAAATGATTGGTGGTTTTATTATTTTAATTACATATAGATCCCGCCCTTAACCGGAATAACGTCAATGATCCAATATAAAATGATAGTATTAACGTGTTCATATTTTACATAAAAAGAGAAAAAAAAAATAGTGACGAAACGATAATTTTTAAATTGAAGAGTCGAAAAAAATTACTCAATCCGAGGGGTCAAATTATGAAAATTTCAGCTACTAAACACTTATAAAAAAAAAGATTATGAAAAAAAAAAGAAAGAAAGCAAAATTCGGCCGGCCAGAGTCGACCAACCCCCTCTTCACCCCCTAAATCCGGCCAGAGTTGATAATTCGGTCGGATTTTTATTTGTGGCCATTCATACGGCTCTTGGGCCGACCTAATACCAGGGTTGGATATGGATTCGTCAATATATATTTTTCTGAGTCATTATTAAATGGTCACAAATAATAGTGCTAAAATGTAAAAATATGTCAACGAAAAGATAGATGGTTCTGGAGAGCACTCATCAGTGCTCATCACAAGTTCTCAGTTCTCACCCCAGAATGGCGTTGTTATATTTGTAGAATGATTGGGATTATTAAAAATTTTGAATCAGGGGTCGGTAGTCCAAGTCATCACTCCAATATAAAGCTACTCGAAATTAATATCACACGTTTTACTCCAAGAAATTTTGGTGGACGGAATGTCGAAAATCTGAATGTGGCCGCTGTCATATCAAAATGCACTTTGAAAATTTTGAAATAGACAGGTACTATAACAAAGCTGCTTATATGAAAAAGGGTTCAACTGAACACAAGTTTGGCTGCGATGAAAGGAGCAGGATCACTAGAACTTTGAACTACAATTACATTTTGGGGAAATACTGAACTGGTTATTCTTTCTATATTAAAGATAGATTCATAATCATATTTTATTTGGAATCGCGGAACTCTGTTGTTGGGAATAAGTACTGAAACATTTCTTTTCATCACCGAACACTACTGGTTTTAGGTTTTTGGAAGTTTTGGCACTGTTAGACAGTCTCTTTCCATCCCATTTAACTTGATTACCCAAAAATTTATGATATCTTCCCACCAATCAGACCCACAAAGGCCTGAAAATGTCTGTCATCTTCACCAATGCTATTATATTCACAGTATCACACTCTTATCACTCATCACTACCAAAAATATCACCTCACTGGTCTCCTAATAAATTGATTAGTCCATTAAAATATCCCACACGCTTCAGTTCTCATAAAACCTTTATTAATAAACATGAGTTTTTACTTCTTTAAAAAAAAAAAAAAAATCAGATTTCCGTCGCTGGGCCCACAATAGTCTTCGTCTTTCGTTTGTTTAATTTGACCAAAGCTTTTTACATCCAATTCTCGTTTTTTGATATAAAAAGCCGTCGGGCTCTTCAAAATTTTCAAAGAAAAATCAGTTCACGTTTCTCTAACAACAACAGAGAAAAAAAAACACATCTGTTCATCCCACGTTAGATTTTGTGCATCCCACTACAAATCTTTAGCATACTTATTACCAAACAAACAAGAAGAAGAAGAAGAAGAAAATGGCATCATCATCCTCTTTAGCCCTCCATCCTTTTCAGCTTCAAATTCCATCCCACAGATCATCATCATCATCATCTTCTTCTTCTTCTTCTTCATCAAGACATTTACCGGGCAGCAAATTCTTCATTGTCAAACCAATCAGAGCTTCGGTGTCCGAAAGACCATCCATCAGAATAACACCCTCGCCTCCACCACCTCCGCCGACAACCACCACCACACAAGCGACCCGCGCGCCGGCGCCGACTAAGCCACCACTCAAACAAGTCCCCGGTGACTACGGCCTTCCCTTCATCGGCGCCATTAACGACAGGAATGATTATTTCTACAACCAGGGAAAAGAAGAATTCTTCAAATCCAGGGTTCAGAAATACCAATCCACCGTGTTCCGAACCAACATGCCACCCGGGCCATTCCTTGCCTCCAACCCAAAAGTCATCGTATTGGGAGACGCAAAAAGCTTCCCTACTCTGTTCGACCTGAGTAAAGTCGAGAAGAAAGATCTCTTCACCGGAACTTACATGCCTAATCTGGAATTCACCGGCGGCCACCGCGTCCTCTCCTACCTGGATCCATCCGAACCCAAACATTCCAAACTGAAAAATCTCATTTTTTTCCAGCTCTCATCATGCCGAGACAGAGTAATCCCGGAGTTCAGCTTAAGCTACAATGAACTATTTGAGACTCTGGAGAAAGATCTGGCCTCAAAAGGGAAAGCCCCATTAGGGGAACCCAATGAGCAGGCGGCATTCAATTTCCTGGGTCGGGCTTTCTACGGCGTCAACCCGGTAACATCGATGCTGGGTTCCGACGGCCCGAAAATAATCAACAAATGGGTACTCTTCCAACTCCATGGACTCCTCACATTAGGCCTTCCAAAAGCAATTGAAAACCCAATGCTCCATACTTTTCCCCTGCCTCCATCCGCAATAAAAAAAGACTACAAAAAACTGTTCGATTTCATCTACACCTATTCAACTCCCGTCCTCGATGAAGCCGAGAGATTGGGAATCGACCGGAGTGAAGCTGCCCATAACCTTCTGTTTGCCACCTGCTTCAACACCTTTGGTGGGATGAAGATTTTCTTCCCTTCCATGTTCAAATGGATTGGCCGGGCTGGCGGAAAGCTTCATGCCCAATTAGCCCAGGAAATACGATCCGTTCTGAAATCCAACGGCGGGAGAGTTACCATGAGAGCCATGGAAAGCATGCCGTTAACTAAGTCGGTGGTTTACGAAGCTCTGAGGATCAACCCACCCGTTTCCTCTCAGTACGGCAAGGCAAAGAGGGACTTCATCGTGGAATCCCACGACGCGGCTTTCAAAATCAGAGAAGGGGAGATGCTTTATGGGTACCAGCCGCTGGCGACGAGGGATCCGAAGGTGTTTGATCGGCCGGAGGAATTTGTGCCGGACAGGTTCATCGGTGAAGAAGGGGAGAAGTTGTTGAGGTACGTTTTGTGGTCTAATGGGCCTGAATCGGAAGCTCCGACCGTTCATAACAAGCAGTGTGCCGGAAAGGATTTCGTGGTGCTGGTTTCCCGGTTGTTGCTGGTGGAGTTTTTCCGGCGTTACGATTCGTTCGATATCGAGGTTGGTAAGTCGCCGTTGGGTGATTCTGTTACTATGACGTCATTGAAGCGAGCTAGCTTCTGAAACGATGGCGTATATAGGGATGTATTGACATAGTAGTCGTAGTAGTAGTAAGTATAGCTAGTATAGTCCGATGATCCGATCTACTTATTATTCGTGTAAATTTATTGTTGATTTTGCCTATTAATGTATGGAGGAAAAATAATGCTACTTCATCCACTAGTAAATTTACTAGGTGGAAATTGGAATGAATTATTCTAAAGTTTGAATTCCATCTTCTACCAAATATAATCACTTTTACAAGTTATAGAGACATAAACTAAACGGGCTTTTTCCATGCAAAGGAATGAAAGTTGGACTAGTACTTGTAGATTATCATTTTTTTTTTTTAACCTAACTTTGTCAAATGATACATTTGTTTGGGGAATCAAAGTCAATTGATACATTAAAGTGTGCACAATAGAAATGGTAACTTAGCTGCCAAATCTTGTGAATGACATTCATGATATAGACGGGGTACAAGCACGAGCATCATCTAACTACACCATGAAGAACTAGTAAAGTCCAATGATTAATAATCTCGAAGGTGTTTTTGCAAACTGAGGTAAAAGTTTTTTATTTGGGTGGGAGGGTTAGGTGGGGTGGTTAGGGAATTAGGATGGTGGATGATTATTATCTGGAAGTCGAGGTTTCGATTTTCGCTGGACCATTTAATTTTTTTTAATAAAAGTTGTTTTCTATTTTCATGTTAACGTTGTTTTTTATTTAGGTGGGAGGATTGAGTAAGGTGATTAGATAATTAGGATGGTAGATAATTATTACTTGAAGGTTGAGGGTTAGATTCTCGCTGGGCCATCTAATTAAAAAAAACTGTTTTCTATTTCCAGGTTCAAGCGGCGTGATCAGTTGGACTTTATGATTTCATCTCAAAATGCTCATTGGCATTTTGTGGAGTGCTCTCCAAATAAAATGTTCCAAAAGAGACTTGAAACTGAGAGTTATTATTGCTTGCTCAACAATTTCAATAATTCATTCTGTTATAGTATTATGAAGGTATCAAAATAGGACAAACAGAGAATAAATGTGGGAGGGGATGAGGTGGAATGGAAATGGTGTATCATGGCGTATGCACAAGTCACAATGTCCTAAGCATCCACAATATACAATATGTCCCGATCCAATAAAGAAAAGATAAAAACGTCTGGCGATTGAATAAAGTAGAGCCAATGTATTACTAAATATAATTTCTGTAGAAAATAATAATTTATGCAATTAAAAAAAAGAAAAGGTAGATCGAGTAACGCGGTCAATCACGGTCCACATGACAAGGTGGGTTATGTTGATTGGGTATGACGCACATTATATATAGTATATTACACATAATTAGGGTACTAATACTAAATTATTGTACTCTTAGGGGAATATTTAAGTGATGCGAGAAGCTTTTAACTCTTTTACAAAACCCTCCCAGTATTATTATTTTTATTTTATTTTTTGTTTTACTCATGCCCAAACAACCAGGAATCCTTTTTTTTTCTAAAAGAATAAAATAAAAAAAAATACTACTTCTACTTGCTGAATGCTGAGTGGGTCTATTTTGTTTTTCAATGTCACTTCTCAACTAGATGGGACAATCTATTTTTATATTTTTTTCAATATATACTCAATGTACAAATTAAAATGAATTATATTAAAGAACTGAGAGAGTACAACTCATTAGTCATCATTACAGTATTCATTTCCCAAAGACTAAACTTTAAAAAATGGGGGATTATAGTGGGGGTGGACCTGCACTTCTACTGTGGCTGCTGCTTTCTCCAGTACAAAATTCTAAGCTAATTAACACGTGAAGATTTGAGGTCTGACTAGTAGGCTAGGTTTGGGGGGGCAGCACATTTTAATGGATTGGTGCGATTTGAGACATAGATTCCTTGTGCTTACTGGTTTGGTTCCTTCTGTTTCCTAGTAACCTCGAACCTTTCCACCCATCAAACGTGTTTCTTTCAAATCTTTAGATCTTGTAACTCAATATATTAGGCCTAAAGTTTCACCTAATACGTATTTTTAATTAGTGAAAAAGTTTTAAAAATCTTAAAAATTTTAATTCTTTGTATTTTCTTAATTGTTATGAAATATTTTTAAAATTTTTTTTATTAATTAAAAATATATACTAAGTTAAACTTAGAACAAATCAAAATGTCTTACATTAAAGGATCGGGGGAGTACAATATTCGGAACTTCTTTATTACTACTTTGGACCGAACGATTAGTCAACACATTGTTTATCTCGTTTTTTCTTAATTGATGTGTGTGATTTGAGACATCCTAATGCCCTCCTCTTTCCTAGTAACCTCGAACTTCCATCGACTCTGTTCTTTAATTAATTAATTAATTTATGCCATATGCATTACAAAGTTTAGTAGTAATTTTTTCAAGTGCGTGATTTAATCAATTAATGATCCTACGTTTATACAAGTATATACTCCCTCCGTCCTATAATTATTGTCCAATTTAAATTTTCATTTCTAATTCAAATTGTACTAAAAGTGAAATTTCAAAATGGATAACAATTTTGAGACAGAGAGAATAGTATTTTTCTATGATCAAAAAGTGAAAAACTTGGTGAGTGTGAGGCCTCGTTCGTATGTATGACTCATTCAGTCAGTGGGAGGAACCGAATAGTACAAATGGTATCAACACGTCTCCTTTTGTAAATCAGATTGATTGACGAACACAATGAATGCTGCATGCAAAATTCCTAGAGCCAAATTTCATGTGGTTTTTGCAATTGGATTTCGAAGTGATAAACGCCAGTTCAAGGAAATCAAATTAGCGATTCTTTCTTTCCAACGAAATAAAAATAAAATCAGAAACGAATAATGAAAGTGAGAAAAGAACACGCATCGATCCGAAAATGCAAATTATTTATATATTTTTTTCCCAAAAATTATCATTCATCGACATCCATAAAATATTTTCCTTGTACAGATCCTCTTTAACAATTTTTTTTATATATATAAAAAAAACCTTTTTAAAGGCTTTCATATACATATGGACAGTTAATTACTCAGTTCACAAGTTTATGACAAAGTTCAAAGTAATTAAAAAAACCATAACGAAACGATAAAATGTCACTAATTACACAAAAGTTCGAAGGAAAGTATCAAGATAGATGAACATCATTACATGTGTTAGCTTAAGGAACTACATGATTTAGCAAACTATTTGACGAGGGTGAACTTTGTTCACTTGGCCATGAATGTTGTACAGACACAGGGGAATTCAAGCTGTTGTTCTTACTAGCTTTGAGGCATTTTCCCAGTTCTGGATTATTCTTGACGGTCATATTTAGCGGTTTTTCACAAGCAGAAGATGATGAAGAACAAGAAGATGATGATACCTCTGATGACAGCCTGGTCCCTGTGAAGTTGATCTCCTCTGGAACTGCCCATTTGCTTAGCCTATTCTGTTCTAATTCGATTGCCACTTCCATCATAGATGGCCTCATGTCCCTATGAAATGCAAGACACCTGAATGCCAATTCTGCAACTTTATGTATTGATGAAAGGGTCCATGGATCCTTTTCTGACTCAAGAAAGGGATCAATTATTTCGTCCAAACATCCCTTTCCAATCCTGTCTACTCCAAGATTAGCCAAGTTGATATCGTGTTTCGGCCTGTTGAAATCAACTGCTTTTAGTCCGGTTATGATCTCCAGCAGGACAACACCAAAGCTGTAAACGTCGCTCTTATCAGACAAATGGAAATGCTGATGGTATTCAGGATCAAGATATCCAGGAGTCCCCTGTGGTGCAGTTGAAATGTGAGAGGATTCGACCATACCAAGTCTTGAAAGTCCAAAATCCGCGACTTTTGACTTGTAATCATAGTCCAGGAGGATGTTACTTGATTTGATGTCCCTGTGATAGATTGGGGGATGGACGGAATTGTGAAGATAAGCTATTGCTTGAGCAGTTTCAGCCGCGATGGTGATCCGAACCGGCCATTGTAGCCCATTGCCTCTTTCTCTTTGCAAATGCTGAGATAAAGTTCCATTAGGCATGAATTCATATACCAAAATCTGTTCACCTTTTTCAATCGAGCAGCCTAATAGCCTAACAAGATTCGGGTGGCTGACCGAAGAAATGAGTTTGATTTCGTTTATGACTTGATCAATGCTGTCAGTTTCTCGGTGCCAAATCCTCTTGATTGCTACCCATTCATCATTGTGCAACTTTCCTGAGTACACTGCACCATATGCACCAGTCCCTAGCCTTCTTTTCTCAGAGAATGAATCAGTGGCTTTCTCTACTTCTTTGTAGTGATACACTGGAATGTTTATTAGTCCAGTAGCTTCACATAATTCACGCCTTGTTCTGTTCCTGATTTTCGATTTCGAACGCCTTCGAAGACAGCAGCAGATTAGGCCAACACCTACCATCAAAGCAGCACCAGCAACAATGCCTACAAAGAAATAGAATTGACAAGTTTACTAAGAGTGCACTAAAATGTATTACTACATAGAAATTCATCACCTTTTCTCTTTACTTGTTTTTGACCAAGGAAGCTGGACTTACCTCCAACTAGAACCCCAACTCTAGTTGTTCCTCCACATTGGCCCGAAAGGTACTTTGCTGGATTGCAATTCGATGAATCTGTTCATTAAGAAGGGGTACACAGCATCAACCTTACAATGTATCACTAACAGTCTAACAGTCTAATTTAATGGAAAATAATCGATGTGTATCGATAAGTGGAAGAGTATGAGTTAGGATTGTAATCACGAGATTGAGTGTTCGACCGAGGCTATTTATTTTATTTTTTTTGGAACAAAAAAATAACAAAACAACCAACCCCGTTTGGTATTTGACCTGCTAATTGGCAACTTTGGAATGATAGAAGCACAAGCATCATCACTTAAAAGTGACAAATAAGATTAACACCACAATAGCTATTTTGTCAGGGTAGTTCTTTTAGATACTGCAATTTTTGTCTGAATCATTTCAGTCGAACTGAACCAAGTATGAATTGTTATTATTGCACCTGGCAATCCTTCGAATTGTGGTGTACTTTTCATATTCCTCCCAGAAAGATAAACATCACATTCTATGTGAATCTGCTACAAAATGGCTAGAGCAATAAACAAGAAAACTTGTGGATTCCGATCCTTAAATTTTGTAATTGATACAAGAAACCGGATAATCGTTATGAGTATGCTATAATGTCTGGATGATGATAGAGGAGGTTCCACAGATTGAACATTGAAATGACATTGCTTGGAAATACACACAATTTGGTAAGCAGTCCATTATTCGACCGTTTTGAACTTGGAAGCATATGGCTGCGGAATTACATTGACTTCATTGCTAATTTTTATTCCGAGGGAAAAGTTAAGATGATGGTATAATTCATTTACTTGAATGTTTTGGACGCCGGAGACCATAATAATTGTTTTATTGGTCCTACAAGTAATTTGGCCATACTACAACACATAATTGCGTATGATTTTATGTTGAACAACACCTTTTACTTTTGAATAAGAATAGGACAACATCATTCCTCACTTGAGCATATATTATGTTAACTTTGCATCTATTATTGATTGGTCTTTTTGGAAATGAATTGTTCATTAAAAAAAAAAAAATTTTAAACTTCAACGACATTAATCAAATTAGTTTTTCATTAGTAACAAACTTTGAAGCAGTATGTATTATTGATAATTCATTAAAATTATGAGAACCATATTTGTCTAAATTTTTTCTTCTGTCCAAAAATTAGAATTGTGTTCAGAACGGAAGAATCACACGTTCCATGATTCTATATTGGCAGTCGGATTAGAGCTGTCTGTCACCTTTTACCAAATCTTACATAACGACGAGAACTGAATCAAACACTTTGAAATGTTCTTGTGTTTGATTTTGACCATGCATCTCTTTTCAGTGCCTTCTCTATTTCCTGAACCTACTAACTGGTTCCCTACTTCCCTTCCCCCTATCTCCTCCCGTAACAAGCTCCCACATATTCAGTTGACTAGTTAAAATTTTCTTTCTCGAAACTAATTATATGTGTTATTTTTTGTATTAGTGATTTTGAGACTTTTTTTGTTTTTTAAATGACAGATGAAATTGTTATATAGTTCAAAAGTGATCATTTAAGGTGAAAGAAATGTTCTAGAATCCCGTTGAATTTTAAAGCAAGCTCATAAATAAACACTATAGTATTCTTTCTCCCCACCATTGTTGAAATAAACCAGAAAAGTACGTTTTATTTAATAAATATTGGAGCTTTTATTAAAAAAAAAAAAATCAATACCACAAGGACCGCTTAATTATGACTTATGATCACCCAAAAGGCAATCATGAAATGAAAAGACAATATTACTAGTTATCCTCAAAGGGGGAAGGAGAAAAAAAAAAAACCATTTCAGTAAAGACTTAAGAGAAACGAAGTTGACGATATCAAATCAAAATTAAATAAAACAGGAATTGGTGATCGGGTGACATACCTCTCCGGCAGCCGGAACCGGCTAAGTAACCATCTCCGACATACCCTTCTAAACATTGGCACCGGAACCCCTGTTTTCCGTCCAAGGCCGGGGTTAAATCCGTACAATTTGCATTCTTAGAGCACTGGCAATCTCCCTGAACCCACCATCCCAACTGAACCAGCTGAACCGTAAGAGATACCGAAGACAAATTCCACCCGAAAGACTCAACGGAGATGGCCGAAAACAGGTAATCACAGCGGCTGTTCATCAGATTTTGGTAATTGATGAAAAGGCTCTGGTTATTGGTCTCCGAGTAACAGCTCATATTAGAGCTGTTCTGATTATCACAATTAAGAAGCTCGAAATGGGTTTTCACCATAGTGGTCGGGAGAACGCAAGACCCGAGCGAGGAACTACAGTTTTCCATGAGAATCCCGTTGTGAGAAGTCGGAGCGTAGTTTGACCCGAACAGAGCATCGATGGTCCGGATGGATCGCCCGCATTGGGCTTGAAGGTTGACTAATATGTTGTGCTGGTTGATTTCTTGGATTGGGAAATCGTGAATGACCATGGTGCCGTTTGACGTGCAATTCAGCTGGATTTCACACCCGGGTGAGAACCCGAAAGCGAAGGGAATGTCGTCGTGTATGATTCCTCCGCATGATTTGGTGCAGAATCCTCCTGATTCAACCCCGGATGATGATGATGATGGAAGATACAATAAGATGTGTAAGATGGTGGTAAAGAATGGTAATACTAATACCATGTTGTTTTTAGGAATTGATGAAAATAAGGTTATTGTCTTAGGGAAGGACTTTTCTATGTCATGGTACGAGGAAGAATATGGATTCTCTGAATCAGAGAGGAAGGAAGAGTTTACAGAACACTTGCAAATGTTGGATCATTGAGATTTTGGGGGGAGTGGGAACAGATGTGAGAGTGAAAAGGATAAGTAATTGTGGAGTAAATAACATGAATGATGGCTCCTAATTTGTCAAATTGAGGACGACTTTCTTTCTGTCTTTTACCTTAGCACAATATGTCAATATGATGTTAAATTGGACCAGAGAGCGTAAGGCAAACGGACAAGTAATAAGTATATAGGTTTGATTGTTTGACTAGAATTCTGCTCACTAGAAAATTTTAACTAACTGGAAAATGAAAGGTTGTTGATGGCAGGCCATTTTGTTCTTTGTAGTTTTCTATCTAGTTACTCTTCCCTCACAAAAGAAAATATATTCGTCCCAAAGATGAGAATCTTATTTCCTAAACTAAATTAGTACAACAACAAATAGGACTTGTATTTACGAATGAGGAGTACTAAAATGTAAATGTATCATTAAGTATTCCATTGGTCAGAAGGTTTTTTCTTAGCATTACTCTTTCTGTTTTAAAAAAATAGTTCCTATGAGTTTTGAAATTATCCTCCATCCGATCCTTATTATAAGTCATTTTGATTTTGTCTTAGTTTTCACTTAGAATACAGCTTAAAAATATATTTTCACATTCGTCGTATTCTCCTAATTATTAGAAAATATTTTTAAGATTTTTATTTTAATTAAAAAGTCCTTTTAAGTGAAACTTAGGATAAATCAAAATGAGGACTATTATTTTAAGGATAAATCTGAAAATTTAATGATATCACTCCCCATGCAAATTGGCAATTGCCACTCCGGTTTATCAGCATTTCATAGCTTTGAATCTCGATGATAATGTGGGGGAAAGTCCAAATAGCCAGCTATGGATTCCCACAATCCAATTCAATAAGCTTTCAATCTTTGATAATTTCTAATGCTTTCTGGTATATATATATATATATATATATATATATATATATATATATATATATTTAATGAAGAATGTTTTGAGAAGTCGTTGAGGTGGGTGTAAATGTGGGGTCTTTCCCCTTCTGTTATTGAATTTGGTCGTGCATTGCAGTCACATATTATTAATTTCCCAGCATCGTCATATACCACATCCTTTTAGTTCAAGATGGTGAACAATTTCAACGCCCTTCGCTGTAGATTCTACGGCACTTTTATGGCATTCTAATTCTTCCATTGAATTCCACTGCAAAATGGCAACTTTGAACTGGATGTTCAAGTTTTCGTGGCATTGAATGAAGCCCATCTCACAGAATAAATTTTGAATATAAGTCAGTCACACCAAATTACTGATAATGTGCAACTGATTCTTCCTATTTTCATTCAAAAAACGAGTCATTTGTTTTTAATTTTTTTTTAAAAAGATACCTGTACATTATTTAAGAAATACCTAAATTATTACAACGAATCATGTTTGTTATACTGTAATATTCAACAATTATTATTATTTTTTTTTTGCAGGAACAAGGGAGGACTTAGTAGGAAGTGTGACTTGAACTCTTGAAGGCTGCAAATCAAAATCTACGCTGTTGGCGAATCTTTGATTGAACAACTTTGATTGTTGGCATGCTTATGTGCTTCCAAGCGTTCAATTTAGAGAAACTTTTGGTTTTTGACATGCATGCATGTAATTGTAATGTGTATTGGCTTTCATTTTACCACTTGGGGTGTTGGGTGGGGGGGGGGGGGGGGGGAAGCCCTTGCATTGGTCTCTTCTTTTATTTTTTTTTATTTTATAATGTTTTAAATAGTACACAATATTCAATTTTATGCCGAAATGAGATGTTAGTACCAGTGAGCATGAGACGTTCTTCAAACTGCTAGATTTGGTCCTGTATATATATTCAGGGATCGAACATCAAATTTGGTTTCATCTAATTAAAATCATGACTAGAGAGTGCTTCCAATTCAAAGAAGAACTTATAGTCGATGATGTACACCATGAAAGTACATAAAAATAACGGCCTAATAGGTACCATCTCAAGGAAAAATAAAGATATAAAACTAAATTAAAAAAATAAAAGTTGATGCAAATGAGAAATAATACTTTTTCCCAAGAAGATAAATCAAACAGAATATATTTAGCAACTAAGTTTTCTTTTCTACAATGAGCTATAAAATGTTTAAACTCTCCTGCACTCTTTGTAACAAGATCAGCCATATATGTAAAAGAGTGAACCTCAAAACAAGTCATCAATCTTTAATATATTTCCACTCTACGTCATCAATTAAATTTATTTGTAACACATGTTACCTTACTAAAGTTTTAATCCATTTCGGATTATTCTGTTAATTTTGCCGTCAAATAGTGACGGAAATCTATTTTTTCACATGCTTTTGGGTTGAGGGGTATTTTTGTCATTTTATTATTTTTTGATCTTTTAATATTTTTTTTTTCAATTCCTCTTCTTATGCTTCCTAACTTGTATACACTGGTAGTAAAATTCTAAATTTTAAAAATTTATTTTCCTTTTGTATTTTAACTTCTAGATTATAAAATTTTTTAAAAAAAATTTAAGAAATGAAGAAAAAAAATTCGAGTTAAAGTAAACATGAAAATTAATAATTTACCATTTTAAACTAAAAGAATTAGTTAAAACAAGTTGTTTCTTCTAGGTTATTTAATTTTTTTCAACTCGATTGAATTATTTAATTATTAATTTTCATGTTTCTTATTTCTTTTTTTATAATCTAGAAGTTAAGATACAAATGAAAAAAAAATTCATTTTTTAAAATTAATTTGTCATTTGTATATTAAATTGTAGATTATTAAAAAAAAGGAATAAGAAATGTGAAAATTAATAATTAAATAATTCAATAGACTTGAAAAAAATTAAATAACCTAGAAGAAACAACTTGTCTTAACTAATTATTTTAATTTTTCTTTTTGTTTAAAATGGTAAATTATTAATTTTCATGTTTACTTTAACTCGAATTTTTCTTCTTCATTTCTTAAAATTTTTTTTAAAAATTTTATAATCTAGAAGTTAAAATACAAAAGGAAAATAAATTTTTAAAATTTAGAATTATACTACCAGTATATACAAGTTAGGAAGTATAAGAAGAAGAATGGTAAAAAAGAAATAAAAATTAAAAGATTAAAAAATATTTAAAAAATAAAAAATGACAAAAATACTCCTGAACCCAAAAACATGTGAAAAATAGATTTCCGTCATTATTTAACGGTCAAAATTAACAGAATAATCTGAAATGGATTAAAACATTAGTAAGGTAACCTGTGTTACAAATAAATTTAATTGATGACTTAGAGTGAAAATATATTAAAGGTTAATGACTTGTTTTGAGGTTCACTCTATATAAAATTGACCTCCATCTCCCTGAATACAGGTCTGGAAATATGGCATACACAAAATTGATGGGTTTTTAAGTCTAGTCAAGAAGCACCAAAAGAAACGAGTCAAATTTGGTTAGACACCATTAACGGAAATTCTTGTCTCGTTATGAAAGTTTTTTTTGTCTGACTGTCCTTTGTTTTGTATGAAAGTTTCTTCTTTTTAGTTATTTGTTTGAAATAATTTTTAAAGCAATAGTGTTCACTAAAATTTCGATGATATGATATCTTGTTTTGATGGGATCGATATAGTAGAATATGAAACCGGTACTACATTGATGAAGACAAAATATGTGCAGATTTTTTTATTTATGATGATCAGCTACGAATTCGTAGAAAGCCAAATTAGAAGGGTAGGCGTCATCCACTGTGGTTAACTTCATTCTGGCGTGGTTACTACGTTCATATATTATTAGAGTTACCTTATATTTTGGATTGGACACATTTCTTTATTTCTTACCAAAAAAAAAAAAAGAAAAAAGACATGAAAGCTAGTTGTTACATTAATAAAATACATTTAGGTGTGTTTGCCACCCCGAGAGCGTCACCGTACGTACTAGGCACATATTGACATTGAGGTGAGGTTGCATGTTGGTTTAATTTAGAACTACATGAAAGTTGTCGTCATATTTTTTTAGTTTTGTTGTACATTATAGCATGATCATTTGAATGTGAAATCAAGGTAGTAAAGAGGGTTGTTCTCGGAATATTTTAGTCGAGGGACAGAGATAGAAGACATGCATTTTTGTGAGGATACTATTGAGGATCACGCTGTCGGAGGTTAATTTGACTGCTGAGAAATATGGGATGTAGTCCAATTTTTGTTAATGGAAAGTTTTCCAACATTTGAGGAAATATGGATCTGATAGTTCCAATCTGAGGAATCATGGGAGTAAAACTGGAGGGAACGCTGAACAATTGTATATGAATGTTTGGTTTCGATCCTAGTGTGCATCTATATATGTTGCAGGTTTCGGATTGTCATGGGGGCCCACTGGGTTGGTTAGTACCAAGTGAAATCTTTCCCCTGGAGATTAGATCTGCAGCGCAGTGCGTTTGAGTTGCTGTGGATTTTGTGTTCATATATTCCTTTGGCGCACGAAGTTTCTGGCCATGTTATGCCACTTTAAGGCTGGAATTATCTTATGGGTGATGTTGATGACTGTTTTTGTGTATCTATGACTGCCTTAGACTACGAACATCACAATTGAAAAGATGGACACGTTGGACGCGCGGAGCATTGGAACAGATTTTCTGCTTGATGATGACCATCATGTGGAATCTGGACATAAACAATCTCACCCTAAATCACTGCTACATTCTGCCAAATAACTGAACTTTCCATGGTTTTTGGTTGTTGTAGATTGATGAACTCCATAAATCAATTGCTTGGAATGAGCCCCCTAGTTTTATTACCACGTTGGCCAACTCGGGCTCTTAAGCTCTTGGCTGTTAAAGAAATTACTTGGAGTCCATCTCCAAAAACCTGTAACTCACTAGGTACTGGACCTGTTTCCAGTATATGTCTCTTAATGGAACTTTCCCTTTCTTACAAACACCCCCAAAAAAAAGAAAAAAGAACTCCATAACTAAATTATTTATCTTTAAGCTCTTGGATTCAAAGTTAAACTGCATTCTATTTTCCGTTTTTCATCTGTTGTTGTAAGAATTTTGTCATTGATTCTATTATCAGGTTTTCAAAACCATTAGTAAATAAATTTATTCTATCACTATTTCAAAACTTGAAAAAATGATTAGAAATAAATTATACAGCACAAAAGTTTGTCAATAGCGTCAACTTCACATTCGACTTTTCTAAATCGACGAAAAAGTCGACTCAACACAAGAATTTTACTAAAAAGTAAACTACGGCGTAAATACAACTTCACAGTCTACTTTTCTAAATCGACGAGAAAGTCGACAACACAAGAATTTTTCTAATCTATGCATATTCTCCAATCTCCACTAATGGTATCAAGAGAATTAAATTACGGTACTGCCAAAACAATAATTTATAGTCTAAGAATAAGAAATGATAAAATAAAAAAAAAAATCCAATTTATCTGCTGAACCTAAACCATGAATCAGAAAAATCATACCGATGGATGCTCTCTATCATACCTGATTCGTGCAAAGGAAAAACATAGACGGATAGACCACCTCCATGAAAATGGCACCACCCAAAAAGCAGAGTAGCTTTTTACCATTGCCTTTGATTTCGGTATTGCAATCTGTGTTTCACTAGTTTGTCTGATCAATTATGGGTGATACAATAAATCAAAGGCGGTTAGGGATGGCGAAGTCCCAGCCTCACTTCTTATTCTAGGCGCTCTCTTCTTTTCTTCATGAAACTCCTAATGGTAACTGGAATTGTAGCCAGCATTGCAATATTTCATCTATCTCTACTGCTGTATCATCATAAAATGAGCAAAATGGTATAAAAATAGTAAAGTTATTTTGTAAAGGAAACCACAAATGATAGAATGGAAATTTCATAGTAAAATGTTCTTGAGAAATATATGTACAAATTACACAGTCAGGCGAACCATAGCTAATAAACTGCAATTGTTCTCAAATCTTGTACGACTTACTATACTAGTACCACGAAAACAATTGACTAAAATTAACAACAACTAAACAAAGTTTTGAACTGGTAATGGCAATCAATCACAACTAATCAAAGGGCAGCAAAAGCATCATCAGCCCATTTGACGGTCTGAGGAACCGGCGCCGGCGGCGCCGCCTTGTTGTCAACATTCCTGGTAGAGAAAGGGTAGCTCAGCAGAGAATGGAATGCCTTCTTGACATTATTAACCCTCTTGCGGTGGCGGATCCGCCTCAACACCACTTCCCGGTCCAATGTTCCGGCCGCATGAGTGGGCTTCAAGTACAGATGACTGGTCACCTGGATGGATGAGGAGCTGTTGTTACCCTGGTCGCCGCCGGCGTCTTCTTCTTCTTGAATATGAACCGATGAAATAACACCATCGGCCGCCGAGACTACAGAATGACTCATTTTGAGATTACACTCAACAGAGTTGGTAGTACTTCGAGTGTGTGTGACTGTGTGAGAGAGAGAGAAACAGAGGATATTGGTAAGTGGGATCACACGAGTAGATGAGATTGATGCTTAAATAGGGAAAATCCAGTATCGAAATTTTCCATCGAAAACAATTAAATAATGGGAGTAGTCCTAACTTCTTTTACAGGTTGCGGTAATTCTTAATATATTTTCTTCTACTATAGAGGTGGACACTGGACAGGGGGAATCCTGCTTTATTCGCTTTCATTTTGATGCCGAAATTCTCTGTTTTGATTTAATTTAATAATTATTTTTACAGCAGCATTGTCGGTGGATCTGTTTATATTTTCAGTGCATATGTTGGAAACGTTAAAAAACCTTTGTTTGTAACAATTTTTGGATTGTGAGTTAAAAAAAAAAAAGAAAAGAAAATAAAAGAAAAATGGATACAGAGAGACGAGAATGACGTTTTTGTTGAGTTTTGATGAATTTCAGTGATGAAGTTGACATCATCCGCCAATGGTTTGTAACAAGAGTCGGAAATCCAGTCGTTTGAGCAAATATAAACAGAGGGCTGGGGAGATGGATTTTGGGCATTTTTGGGTTGGAGTTCCACTTCCCCAGGTCCCAAAGACCAGGGGCGGTCCGCAGAAAGTTCAGCACAGCAGCTTTACCTTTATCTTCTTGGACTTTTGTTTGGCCACTATGAAGCTATCAATTTATGAAAAACAAGTTTAAATATACACATAAATATTGAACTAGTATTAGATTTTTGGCTTTTTTTTTTTTGGTTTCCTTGACACATATAACATAAATGTCCGATGACTACATTTCCAGAGTATTCTTTATCTATGCCAAGGAGTTGGATTCCTTGCAATTGATGATGTATTCCGATAAAGCCTGCCTGTAAACCGATTCAATAAAATATTCAGAATATGTATTTACCAGTTCTCAAACTCAACTGTTACCTTAAAATATCCTTCATTTTTTAATTTTCAAATGCTTCAGAAAAGAAAAATAAACATTTTAGCATATTTTTGTTTGGGCTCAATGGTTAAGGTTTTGATTTTAGAACCCATGTTGTAAACCCACCTCCAACCACAAGACGGGCTATTGAAAAGGAATTGGTCGTTAAGATGTGATGCAAATCCAAAATAGAGCTCAAATGAGGCCCATAGCCTGGACAAAGAAAGGAAGAATGCTCTTCAGCTTACTTTTGATTATCCAACATGAGTGAACAGATCAAATTGGATCCTCAACAACCAAAGTGGTTGTGGTGGAGTGGAAGATACTCCACTATCTTAACCATAGGTCGAGGGTTTGAATCTTGCTATGGGTATGCAGTAACTTTAAATACTTTGGCCACCTGTCTCATCCATCGAGGTGGCTACAATTCAGCTTGGCCACCTGTCTCATCCATCGAGGTGGCTACAATTCAGCGAGGAGAATTAATCACTGTTGCCGACGGATTACTTGCAAATATGAAAAAAAAAAAAAATGATCCTCAACAGAGTTAACCACCACCCCCACCAAAAAAAAAAAAAAAACCAAAACCCAAGTAAATGCATGGAAGATTTTTTTGGGTTCTCCCGCGTTTAGTGAAGGTGATACGATGTTGTCCACTTTGTCATACGAGAATTATCTTATTTGGTTTGAGTGAACTATTGAAAGTATGTCGCTCTAAAAGCATTATCTTTAACCATTGAAACTAGTAATCACTAAAATATAAAAATGAAAATATTAAAGCATGGAACCAAGTTTATAATAATAATAATACACTTTGAAGTTGTAACAAAAATAAAATTTTTTGAAAGAAATGTGCACAATTGTCATTCAATCACTGGGGGGTGAAAAATGGAAAATGATATCCGGACAGTGGATGATCCTTCAATGGCAAGCAACAAGTAAGGCAACGTTACATGCCTCGCTCAAAGTGGTAACTAATTGAAAACGTGGTATGTGTCCATCCTATATTGGATTCTATAGAATTCCAGTCATTCTGATCTTAAATTCTTAATCAACTTGCCAGACAACGTTAAATCTTCAAGATTATATATTCATTCCCTCTTGTGGATAAATGACATAAGTACATTATTTCCATAGCAAATTTCCCTCAACCTTTAAGGTAATGTTACGAGCTGTTGAGTGTTGACGCATCTCCATTGCAAAGGAGTCCTTTTATCTTCTGCAAGTGTTCTTCTTTTTTTTTTTTTGTTGCTAAAGGTGGTGAAAACTCATGCAAAAGACGCAAAGAACCAACATTGGATAAGTTAACCAAACTAGGTAAATTCAGAGTGAAATTGAATTTCTGTTCGAGCTTTGACTATCGCATGCATCCATTACAATAGTTGAAAGTCAGAATCTCACTCATAGTCATATAGCATGTCATTTTTTCCGATTTCTGAAATACTATCGATGTGGATCAATCTAATATCTATGTACTCTATTATAATCGTATCTCATGATTCTTCCGCCAAAAATTCATGAAATAAAATGTTAATAAGATTTTTCGTGTAGCTGAAATTGTTATTCATGCCTTCAAATTCACCAGATTTACTTTTTCATTTATTATTGTGTAAATCGACCCGAATGATTAAATTCAATGTCTTGTCGTATTATTGAACATTACCACCTTAAAAAGTACATGATAAAAATTGACGGTGGCTATTCTGTCCTGAACTTGATATGGCAACAAGATGTGACTGCAATTAAAACCAAACCTGTTTTTTCTTTGGATCTTATCAATCAGGAATTATTGATATGAATTCCTCCTGCCCCTTTTTTGCCCATTCAATCCAATTTCATGACCTTTGTTTGTGTTAATTTTGTGGGTTACTTATACTAAGTTTGATTAGACCATTTTAATTCTCATCATGTAACCTGTACGACGTGCCTGCATGTGATCAACTTGCACTTTTAAAAGTGATGTAGTCAATTTGGCATGGCTAGTTCGTTTAGTGATATATATGTTCAGGCAGCAGTTGTACGTTGAAGCGGTTGAACCGTAACATATTCAACTTGTAAATGTAAACATATGTTAAGAACGTTGTTGCTACGTGTTATTTATTTATTTTTTTGTGGAAAAAAACCCAGAAACGCATTGCAATCCATATACTAACTCCTTGTTCTAAAATTATTACTCCAGTAAACAAAAACATTATTTTGCAACCAAAAGTAATTATATATCTGTCATTCATCATGATAGTAAATCTCTTAAACTTCCAATCAAAGTACGAACCAGATGAAGCATAACTAAGAGTTTATCAATTCATTCGTTCTATCATATATAACAACGAGTTGTATTTTTCACAGCCTTCTCTAAAATGTTTCAAGTTTTTCCTAAACTATTTTCGATGTTATTACAAATATTAAACTATTTTCTTAGATTGTTCATACGTAATAAAATTTGTTCCTTTAAACTTCCAATTTTATTCTCCTCTCTTCGAGAGAGAGAAAAAGAAAAGATGCGAAAAAGGTCGAATGTTTATAACCTTACTCATCCCTCACTAGAGTTGTATAATTCATTAATTTTATCATGGAGATAGAAATGAAACTTTAGTCTTAAGAATCGAAGAGAACATAGTAGATGTCATTTTAAAGTTTGGAGTGGAGTTAAGAGAACTTTTTAAGAATTTACGTACCATTGGCATTGATACAATTATCCAAATAAGTGATTGTCCTATGAGATTTCAGATGTGTGCGAGCATATGATACATTATCCCGTATGCTTTGAGTACAGTGTATCATGTCCATAATTTGCTTCCCAATTTTGGGAATTTTGTACAAAGTGGAGTCGAAAGCAGTAAGTAACACATACCAATATGCAAGGAGGAAACAAACCCGAATTCACCACCGTGAAAAAATGACCAATTTCCCGAAACTAACTAGACAACATTAGCAGTACTTTTCATCTGAGCGGTGAAAAGTTTCTTATTATGGCCCCAATCGAACTCCGAGAATCTGATGATAATGTCCATTTTATTGGATTTTGGCGTAACGTGGCAGCTCCAGAAGCGTAGGAAAGTATGGAGCTTCGTGAATATCTAGGGTTGCCAGACCAGGTGCTTCATGGAATTGAGTGTACATCTGAAGTTACAAAAAAAGCCAAAGTGACGGCTTCCGTTCTCTAGCGTGGCAGCTGCTCAGATGACCTCGGGAATTGTTTTTCCCACACTGTGGTTTGTGTACGTGTTGGCCTCTCATGGAGCAGTTACTCGACCGTTGATTGCGTGATGGAATCATGTGTATTCCTTTTTTTTTTTGCAACAACACACTCATACACTCATTATACAGAAAATTTCATAGCTCCCTAATTTTGTGGTAACTTTTCCGATAAAATTACAATTTTGCCCTATTTATGCGTGTATCATTATAAATTACAATCACAATCCTAAGTAGTACATCAGTTGTAGGGAAGATTTTCTCGAATCATGGAACAAGTATTTGGAGGGTTTTGTCTATTTTTCTTGCACATCCCAAAATAACTGTGTTGTTAAATTGTAGACAATTCCATGAATATAACTGTTGCAAAAAATAAATTTAATCCAAAATGATGTTTGAATGTCCAACTTGGTTTCGACTAGTCCCTTAAACTTAATCATAACCCCGTGGATGAGACACTAAAGGATTTTCCTCAACCTCCTTTTGATTACACTAGCGATTTCCTCAAAGTCAATTTTAGTGATTATTATCTATCAAAAAAGAAAAAAAAAAGAAATTAAGAAAGCATGGCAATGACATTCACCATGTAAATTTCCGAGGTTTCGTATTCATCATTCGCGATTCGAGAAGTCCTAGTTATCTTCATTGATTATGTGTTACTAGCATACCATGAAATCCACACGGTTCTTTTTTCGTTTAAATAAATTCAAAGTTAGAATATCTAACTTCTATACAAAACATAAAAGTACTGAAATACTACTATCCAATAATAACTAATAACTGTTCTTTGACAAACAAATTATTCATGGTAAAATGACAATCGATTATCAATCGACAAAGGGATTACTCCCCTCTTTCTTGAAAGGAGAGACTTATAGAGTTTAGTAAACACAATTCTTATTTAAGGCGACAAGAATGCAAATAATGCTATAATTTTTTTAGAATTTTCATGGTCACATTTTTCTTTACGTCCACATACAAGAACCGTAACTGAACATTGTCAAATCATGAAACAATCATTTTGAAGACTTAGACGTGCTTCATTTTCGACACTCACGCAAAGTACAAAGGAAAACTAAATTTTGGTATGACCCTTTCATACCCGCGTTTCGAAGCAATTTGCTTATGAAGACGCCACATCTTAGTGACGGAAACCTACTAATGGAACCCTTCGGGTCAAACGAAAATGGTCGAAGAGTTATGGGGTGGTTTAAGGTAACTGCTGTCCATGCCTATTTTGTCTCAAACAAAAAAGAAAGTATAGGATAAACAATAAACATAATTTAATGGATTTTAATTACTTAAAAAGGATACAAGTCCTGTCTTTTATTCAGTTCCAAATGTGTATATAGACTTGTTCATGTGTAGGCGAACCCTCTACCATATCCAATTTAAACAAGTTTTTCTTTAAAAGTTATATAAACATGTTGTATAACCCTCACGTCTATAAATTTAAAACAATATAACAAAGAAAAAGACTCTTATTTTGAAACGAATAGAGAGAAACGTACAAATGAATTAATATGCTGTGCTGCCAGTCAAGGATATGTCCAATATTTTGTTGTTGGACTACAACTATGACTGTGTTCGGATGTGTTATGTTGATGATCACTTTCAGAAATTTGTTATTTAGAGAATCAATGGGTGTGGGGTGCTTGCTATTTCCGTAGCAAAAGGGGAATATATGAAGTTTCCTTACATTTTATATGGCGGCATATCAAACAAGTTTGCAATTATCAACAATGTTATACATGCCAAAATGTGATATTGACAAACATTTATCCACACAACTTACCTTGTAAGCTTGCAAATTAATAGGTCGGGGGGGAAGCCATTTTCTGTTAGTCATTACAAAATTAGAGAAGCCAAATTCCCGAATTATTATTTATTATGATTATGAAAACGCTAATTATATTTATAATGATCCAAACTTACGTAAAACGTGCTAATACGCTAAATTATGCAGTCCTGGCTACTCTTTTCAGCTCGACCTTCACTGAGCAACAAATGTTGTTGCACGTACTGCTACTTGATCATAGAGCTAAATAAAACTAGGTTAGATAAGAACAAATGAATTCTTTCGTTTTCGAAATAATTGCTCCAGTTTAAATTTTCATTTTTAATATAATTTGTAATAAAGTAAAATATAAATAAGATAATTATTTTGAGATAGAAGAATTTTTTCTCGTTTGCTGGTGTATCATGGTAAAACAAACTCTTACGCTATAATTTTACATTATTTCGTATACCACTCACTACATGCAAAATGCAGCTATCCCCTCCCTATCAGGCCAAAAAATACAAATATCAAATTTTGGGATTGTCAATTTAATTTGAGTTTTTGAAACAAGATTACATGTACAAAATGATCATGAATACACGCCCCCTTCCCCGCGTAAGTGCAGATTATATTGGTTTTGGCAACTTCGTTGATTTGTTCCGATGACACAACTAATCATATTTACGTTAATAGAAGAACTTAAGAGCATAGATCCTTTGCCGGCATACAAAAATTGTAACCAGATACATGTACTTGGGAAGCAAAGATCCAATCAAGTTATGTAAAATACTTTTTGCCAACTTAATTAAAGGCGATATTTTACTTTGGAAATAAAATATCCAATCCAATAATACAAAAACACATTTTTCCCTAACTTAATTAGAGGCGATATTTTGTTGATTAGCACACGGAAAAACGGAAAGAAATAAGAAATAAGGAACTTGACCTACTTCCTTCTCGAAATAGTATATATTTCCCTTTTGATGTGAAAGAGAAAACCTTTGTCACACAATTGAAACAACTCCAATTTCACCACTCTTTTTTCTTAAAATTTAAGATTGTGTTTTTTTTAACCCTTTTTCTTCTTCTTCTTCTTTTTTTTTTTTTCTATTTACTAATGGTCTTATCTAAAATTCCTTATATAGTTAGATGATCTTTGAAACAAAATTTTTTTAAAAAATAAAAAATTCCCAAGATAAAAATATAAACTTTTATGATTTTATCTATTATATAGTTTCTTCCATGTCCATTGTCCACTACATTTCCATCTTATAAAAACTTTCCGACCCGGATTCTTAGGATTCGATCCATCTCTCTCCGTACGTCAGCAGAAAAACTTCGATCTAACACGTGTAAAGATCTCATTGGTGTGGACTCCCGCCTTCGAGTCCTTTTATTTTCGTCCCTGCCTACAAAATCTCTCTCCCATTGCTTCATCTTCATCCTCTTTTTCCTCTCCTCAATCTTTGTTTTCCTTCTCTCATCGTTGATTTATTATTCCTTAATCTTGGACACATTTCCAAAAACTGGGCTCCCCCTTGATTCAAGTAAAAACTATTGATCATCAACAAACATCCCTTTTTGTTGTTTCGTTTTAGTTTGTTAATTTGTTTCTTTTAATGGTGGATGAAAAAATAATTTCGATTTGAATGATATAGCAAAAGAAGAAAGGTCTAATTTTTTTTATTAAATTGTGTTATCAATGTTTTCAGAGACATCAAGTTTGCCTCCCAAAATCGGTAACCTGGCCCATTCCGATCCTAACATGGCTGCTGCCACGGCGGAGGCGGCGGAAGACGATTTTCAGGCCCGACACAGCAGCTTCTCCGGCTACGAGGCTAACCGGTTAAGCGGCGAAGGTTCTCCGATGATGATGTCACCATGGAACCAGAATTCGCCATTTACGAAATCTCCCTGGTCGAATTTCGACGAAAATGCGCCATCAAATATCCCGCAGAATGGCCTAATCAGCTCCCTGGTTCGTGAAGAAGGCCATATTTATTCATTGGCCGCAAAAGATGATCTTCTTTACACGGGTTCAGACAGCAAGAACATCCGGGTTTGGAAGAACACGAAAGAATTCACAGCTTTTAAATCAAACAGCGGCCTTGTTAAGGCCATTATAATCTCAGGTGACAAGATTTTCACCGGCCATCAAGACGGTAAAGTTCGGGTATGGAAAGTCAATCCCAAAAATCCAAGCATTCATAAACGTACGGGAACATTTCCAACGTTTTTCGACATATTCAAAGCATCAATTAAACCCAGTAATTACGTCGAGGTGAAACGGAACAGGACAGCCCTTTGGATCAAGCATTGTGATGCAATTTCTTGCTTGAGCATGAGCCAAGAACAGGGGCTTCTTTACTCTGCTTCATGGGACAGGAGTTTTAAGGTTTGGAGGGTGGAGAATTCGAAATGCTTGGAATCTGTAAAAGCCCATGATGACGCCGTGAACTCCGTCGTTGCCAGCGTGGATGGATTGGTCTACACCGGATCCGCCGACGGGAGTGTCAAAGTATGGAAAAGGGAATCCACCGGGAAAACTGTCCGGCATGTGTTTGTACAAACGCTCCTGAGTCAAGAATGTGCGGTCACGGCTTTAGTAGTGAGTAATTCGGGAACGGTTGTTTACTGTGGATCTTCAGATGGGCTGGTGAATTTTTGGGAATACAACAAGGAATTGTCTCACGGCGGCGTTCTCAAAGGCCACAAGCTGGCGGTGCTCTGCCTCGCCGCCGCCGGGAACTTGGTCTTCAGTGGCTCAGCCGATAAGACCATATGCGTTTGGAGGAGGGACGGGAATGTACACACTTGTCTCTCTGTTTTGACAGGGCATACCGGACCGGTGAAGTGCCTGGCGGTGGAGGAAGACAAAAACTCCTCCTCAAGCGGCGATCCACGTTGGGTGGTTTACAGTGGGAGTCTTGACAAATCGGTTAAAGTTTGGAGCGTTTCTGAAATGGCACCGGATTTGCGATATATGGCTAGTAACATGCAACACACAGGCCATGGGGAATCTAACTGGGAGTCCATACCTTCGGCCAAGTATTGATTTTGATCGATTCAGGGCCCTTTTAGCTAACTGAGGTGGCGACCGGATTCATCATCATTTTGATCAACAATCCCCGGTGAAAAAACATAGCTTGTTTCATGGAAATAGAATAACTGGATGGATCATCTGAGCTCTTGATTTTCCCTAGAAATGTAATCTGATGAAGATGATGACTGGAATGTCTGTAATGAGGGATTATTACTTATATTTGGATTTTCATTAATAAATTTTCCTTTTTTTTTCATTTCATTACTTTGTGTTTAAACCTTTACTAAATGTTTGAATAGATGAGACAAGTTTCTTCAGGTTTAGTGTTTGCCATTCTTCTTCGTTAGTATACCGGAAGCCGGGATGTCATCTGACCAGCTGGTTAAATGTCAAGCTTTGAAGATAGCTTATCAGAAAGAACATTCAAGTTTGCATATATAAGGTTTCTAGTCTCTACCATTTAAAATGAACTAGTGTAAAACCTTACATTTGTAAGTGTTTGCTCATTAGTCCTTTCAATCTTTCCTTCATCTTTTGGTACAAAGCAAGCGAAGGCCTAAAAAATATTATCAACATATGAAACTCGGGATAAAGGTATGATGGATCACTCCAGTTGTTTGGAGCATCCATTTACAAGACAGTAAACCTACATGTAGCTGCATGACAATCGAACTTCCGTTGTGTAACGATTGCTATTGCGATTATTTACAGTAAAGACCTTTGATTTCTATAAGCTATTGATATAATGATGTACAGCCCTTGCAAGTTCAGTATATACTTGTCCTCCAAATCATGGGAATTAGTTTTGGAGGTGGACATTTTCTGTTATAGAGAAAGCCTCCTAGAATGCTTAGTACTTGATACAGTAGTTTTGCCTGGTACTGGTGCTTTAAAATGCCCGCTTCTACTACCTATGGAGGCACCATCCAATGCCATAGGAATCATTGTGCCCCCTCCTTCAAGGATTCTTAGTACCTAGCGGTTTAAGTATAACTTCTCAGTGCTTAACTTTACAGAGAGGAGAAACAAAGTTGATTGAAACTAATTCTTTAAACAATAAGAGCAGAAAATATAACAACAACAAAGAAAGGGAGCGAGGAAAACCTTGGACATAGGCGGTCGTAGATCAGGGTCTTTCTGAAGACACAAGGAAGCAGCATGGCACATTGCCTGTAATTCGTATGGTAAGTTTTGAAGCTCATAATCTGACAACCCTGGATCCAGAAACTTCTGCCTGTCTGATAGAAGGCGACTTTGTTCTATTGCCTCCAACAAGTAAAATTTCTCCAGTAGAAGGTACTGATCATTGTGATATTGCAGGGGGTTGTTCTTTTGACCGGTAATTAGTTCTAATAGCACGAGACCAAAAGAATAAATGTCAACTTTCTCCGTGACTTTAGCACCACTGAAGTACTCTGGTGCCAGGTACCTAAACATAATGAGTCAAGCAGTCAACATCCTATTACCTTTCACAAATCAGCAAAGAGATTCAAACTATTTGGTTAGACATATTGCACATATTTCAGACAGACACGAAAAGAAAAGTTGTGAATAGCTAGAAATTACCCAATAGTACCAACAACTTGCTCCTCATCACAAAGTTCCCATTCATTATACAACCTGGCAAGCCCGAAATCTGCAACCTAAACAAATTAAAGCATATGAAAAAGAAGAAGTTTGCATGCTACAGAAGAAACTAACAGGTAGCCAATGAGTCCAGATATCTAAAGATAAGGAAACACATAATTCATGTATCTAAATTCACAATAATATTTTCCACCTCTAAAGATAAATGCAATTCAGTTTGTTCAAAATTGTTTTGAAAAATAAAAAAGAAAGGGCAAATCAAAGAACATTCTTGGAATCTCTTACCAGAGGTTCAAAATCATGAGTCAGGAGAATATTGTGTGGCCTTAAATCCCTGTGAATAATACATCCTACTCTGCAATCTTCATGGAGATACCGCAGTCCTCTTGCGGTTCCAATAGCTATTTTCAAGCGCAAGTCCCACTCTAGAGGCCTATCCTTGCTTCCTGTCAAATATCAGAGCTTAAAAACTGTCAATGTCTGAGCTACTGCTACCTTTTTACTGTAAAAGTGAAAGAAGTAGATAGTGGCATACCATGCAAGTGCAAGTCCAAGGAGCCATTGCATATATACTCATACACTAAAAATCTCTTATGCTGGTCAAAACAAAAGCCAATCAATGGCACAACATTCCTATGCTGTGCACAGCTTAATACTCGAACTTCCCTGCAGAAATCAGCATCACCTTGTGATCTAAGATACTTCAGCTGCTTAATTGCCACAACCAGACCATCCCTCAGAACCCCTTTGTAAACCAAACCAAATCCTCCTTCAGCCACTAAATTCTTATGTGAAAACCCTTCGGTAACCTCCACTAACTCTTCATAGAGGAACTCTCTTGGGGGTTTTCCAAATGCCGGTGACTTCTTTTGGCATTTTGAACATAAGGGAGGAGGTGTTGAGGATGATCTGCACAAAGAAACTGCCTCTCTTATGCTTGAACTGTCAAAATCTCTATTAGAATTTTTCCTATAGCCAACTCCTAGTGCCATCATAGATAGTTCTTGCGGCATTTGTTTATGAAGTCCTGTTCTGGTAGTAGAAAGTGTATTCTTCAATGAATTTTGCCAACCAACAGTTTCCCGAACATTCTCATTATTCTTTTGGTTCTGAGGGATCCAAAGCATTCTTTTATCATCAGAACCCAAAATTTTTGAGGACATTGAGAGAGAAATAATCCTTTCCCCTGCAGAATCTGGTGATGGAAGTGAATTGTGGAAGCCACTTTGATCATAAATTGGACTGTGTTTCCCTGTATATAGCTTTTCATACAGGGGATTCCGCTGGTAGACAAGGAAACTGGAAGCTTCAGTGTCAGGACTAAATACTGTAATTTCTCCGTGGGTTCTGGTATTAGAAGTGCTTGGGGATTCCGGGCTGCTTGCAGGAGTAGAATGTCTCATTCTTTGTCCTTGCATTTTCACTTCAACTGGAGAAGCAGCAGCGGAATAGAAAGGGGTTTGAGTTTCATCTGACCATTCAAGATTAAGCCTGAGGACTTTTGGTTGAGAACCCTTCATAGTCACAATGTTGCACTGAAGCCCTGCCATGCAATGCTTGCGCTCTAGCTTCAATTTTCTGGCTAAGGAGAACAAAAGCATGAGCAAATTTAATCTAGAAGTCTAATCTCGGACACACTAAATAAGAATTGTAATTTGAATTTCCTATGTTAATCAGCACATAATTCTGCTTCAGAGCACTCTATCTGGAATGAGTTCACCAAACGGACAACCAATAATTCACTTAGAAGTAGTTGATAGGTCATTGACACAAACTCACAAAAGAAATGGTGGACAACATATGTCATCTGGTAATTGAAAAGAGGCGTTATTTCTAGTTCATGAAGGGCTGAAGATCAAATAAATGTTTTCCCTAGTTGTATCAGTGGGTGCAAGTAACAAAGCTTAATTTGAGGCTTCAAAGGCTAGGCACTAAAGGCATTACAAGATGCATTTCAGGAAAAGTTACTGCAGATTGTTTAATACTTTCATGAAACTTGCTGCAGACCTAGCCATCTAAAATTGTTGATGAACGTAGTACATTGCTGGACATGTTTGCTAAAGTACCAAGCAATTGTTTGATTAGAAGACAATTAATGCAAAAGAAAACAGGTTATGTAATGTAGAGAGTAACATGCATACAACCTGGATAATCCAGGGTAAGAAGACAACTGAGACTCAAGACGTAATAGCAAATAATTACATAAGAACAATACATTGATATAGAATTACTTGTCCAAAATGACCCATTTTGCCGTGTTTTTCTTGGCTTCAGCTGCTACAGCTCCAGTAGGTGAAGCAGAAACCACTTTGATGCGCACTCTAACCTAAACAAACATAGCAGAGCAAACTTTCATTTCTTTTCTGCTATCAGTTTTTCATCCCAAGAAATTGCCTTGATGAATGAATTGTTCACCAACAAAGGACAACTTTTGTATGAACAGAAGTTAAATTCTCCAGATATTAAAATTTAGGTTCCATTATACAGTTAACCTATCATTTATTTCACAACTTGTACGTCAAAAGAAAATGAACCCAAATTCAAACTCATGCGGTGCAGAAGAAAGTAGAAGTACTAAATAGAAAATCTTCAACTTAGGATACAATCATGCCAAACATAGGATTCTAGTACTTACATCGAGTTGATTATTGAACTGAAGAACCATTTGAGAGCAGGATTCCGAGATCTGACCAATCCGATCCGGCGGCACATCAGCCCGGTTATCTCCTTTAATCCTCGGGAACCCCCAAAATCTCATCCGCCCTGTTTCAATCATCAATTAAACAAAATGTACACCAGAAAATAAAAAGAAACAGTCTTTCTGAAATTCCGATCAAAAGGGACAGAATCGCTACCGGGTTTTGCCTCCGGGTACACAGCGAGCAAGATAACGGAATCGCCTGGTTGGACAACGTGAGTCAATGCCCAGGCAAGTGCAGTCCTTGGGATCACCTTCTCGGCTTTCACCGCCACGATTACTTTAGTACTTCTATTATTCTTCTCTGTATTTCGATTTGTAGTTTCCATTTCCGATAGCAACATTTACCGACGGCAAAGCTGGTTTCTGCGTCTGAATTTCCGCGCCAGGAAATTACTAACCACCGTGGCGCCCTCTTGGCTTCTGAACTGAAAATCAATACTGTAACATTCACTTGGGAAAAGTGCAACTTTATTTATAGATAGCCTTTTTACATAAGGCCTCTGTAGCTTGGAAGTTATATGAAATTTTGTATCTATTCAACCGAAATCTCTGTCATCTACTGTCACCTTCCAAGTTCCAACTGTGTGTGTGCGTGTTTTTTTTTTCTCTATAATTATTTTACTACTGCAGATTTATTGAATGACAGAGGAGAACCCATTTCCAAGACAATCATGATGAATTTCCATAAGTAGTACTGGTACACAAGTAATCAATCATTGGCTAAAAAGTTTACCACTACGATTAATCTTTTGGTTTCTTTGTCAAACCAACAAACAATAATAAATTTTTTTGCGTATTTCTCCAAATGTGGTTATGATTCATGAGTCATGCATGAGGATGACACCTTATGTGGGTCGGTCTAATTTAATGCAAGTTCTATCAGATATGAAATTAAATTGAAATGAAATTTGGAAAAGGCGGGGGGTGACCACTTTGTGATAATCAGAAGCTGCCATTGAAATAGGGTCACATTGAGATTTGAAGGCTGTGAAAATGATGTGAGGGCAGAGATGAATGAATCGGTTTGTAATTGTCACGATGACGACTTATGAGATACTACTACTATATTGGATAAATTGGGTACAGAGAATTGCTTGAATGGCCAATGTTTTGGGGGTCATTGAGTCATTGATACCTGTTGTCGATTGACAGGGTGTCACTCGAAACCACACACATCATGTGATTATAATAATTACATTGATGAGATTAATGCCACTGGTTTTCATTGGTGTTGTTAACTGTTAAACCATGATTAGTGCCATTATTTATTTATTACTGATTTTACAGATTTGTGCCATATTTTGCCAAGATAATGCCACTGGTTTTCATTGGTGTTGTTAATATTTATCCCCTCCGTGGGTGTGAAAAACATACAACAATAAGCTCGATATGGTTACTCCTTCCATATCAAAATACTGGTAGATTTTTTACCTCAAGCTTTTTGGGTTTCTTAAACAAATATTCATTTGGACTTTTAATATGATGATTACATTTTTGCCATATATATATATATATATATATATCCCTCTATTTGTAACATCTCATAATATAGTTTTAGTTGGGATATAAAAGTCGATGACAAAATAAAAAATGGAGTGCATTTTATCGTTTAAACTTTGAATTTGAAAATGTTCGTGGAATGTACAAATCATAATTGCTATGCTACATGAGTATATTTCAATTAGTCGACCTTGATAATTCAAAAATGTGATGATAAAGTTATGTTTGTACGAGAATTAATCATTTATAATTTAAGTAAATATCTACAATATCATAAAATTTAACCTTTAAGTAGAGACTAATTAATAACAAACAACAATACCATCAAATTGGGAAAATGATACGAAAGGATGAATTCTTTTTTTCGTCGAGTTTTTTGTCGGCTTTATTAATTCGACTAATGAGTCGACGGGACTAATTTCAACCAAAAACATTGCCATTTGACTTTATTACTCATTGTGCATTCATAACGAAAAAGAAAAATAATACATTCCGAGAGAAAATAAGCATTAGAAATTTCAATATTTAACTTTTTCAATGGATTTCTTTTTTTGTTTTAATCTCGTCAAGTTTTTAGTCTTAGATGTAAAAACCGACAACAAAGTGAAAAATGAAGTTCCATGTATCATGTCACGTTCGTTTCCAGTTGATTTTCACATTGGCCATGGTCCATGGAATATAGAAACCATACTTTACAATACTCAGCGATATGTTTAGACTTGAGGATCGTTTCGTCTTTTTCTTTTCCTTTAACGCAAACGAGAATTATCATTCATACACTTATTTTCTTTCAGGAAGTGAAATTTTATCGTTTATATAAATATCTATAATTGATAAAATTGACCTTTAAAACTGGAATTATTTAATAGCATACAATAATACCATAAAAATAGTGAAAAAATGATACAAAACAACGGATTTTAGCCTTTGTCAGCTTGGACGTCAGTTTTTCCTAAGTTGACGAAAAAGTCGACATGCAAAATTTCAAATAAAAAAAAGGTTTTATGATTTTTACGTTGACAATGATAAAATATATATATATATATATATATATATAAATTTTAAAAAATAGGCATTGGAAAGGTCAATGGTTAAATATTTCAATCCATTTTTCATTATGTCTAATTTCTAGTCAAATTATAAAAACCGACGACCAAATAGAAAATGAAACGCGTCGTATCATGTTATATGTTAACCTTTACATTGCTCTTAAAATATAGAAGTTATCATTTACTAATATACAAGGTGTTATATTTATGTACATTGACCTTTTCATTTTGTTATAAACTCAAAGGAGCACGTGATAATAATCTTTTTTGTTATTAGAAATAAAATTTATAATTTTTGTAATAAATATCTATAATAGCTGTAATTATGAAGAGGTTACAAAATCATGATTTTTCATTGTCGTCAGTTTTGCTAAGTAAATGCAAAAATTCACACAAACAATTTCAAAATATATTTATATATGTATATATATATGTGTGTGTGTGTGTGTTTGTTACATTAATATAAATCAAACAATATTCCAAAGCAACATAGCCTCTGGAAACCTCAACGTCTAGATCTTTCAATCTATTTGTAGATCGCGTCTAGTTTTTAGTTGGACTATAAAAGCCGACCATGAAGTAGAAAATAGAGTGCAATCTATTCTCCTTGTCTCAAAAATAGTTCATATCAAATTTTTAAATTTTTATTATTTTTAGGATAAATTTTAAAATTCAATATGAACTATTTTTTTGAGATAAAAATAGTATTATGTTCATTCCACGTTAACTTTCACATTGGTTACGAAATGTAGAAATCATGATATATTACATTATGTATTATATTTAAAACCGTCGATTTTTTTTCTTCTTTTTTATCGAATGAGCATGTGATGATAAATTAATTTATCATGAGAAGAATTGTTTTTTACAATTTAACTAAATATCTATAGGATCTGAAAATTTGACCTACAAAACAAGATTAATCATTATCAAACAATAATACAATCAAAAATTGTAAAATTAATACAAAAAAGATGAATTTTTTGGTTTTTGCCAACTTTGTTAAGTAATTGAAAAAATCAACCTGAACAGTTTTTTATTATTATTTTAAAAAAAAACGTTTTGAAACATTTACATGTGTTTATATATCAACCGATAGGAAGGCTAGCAAAATGAGGCATCGGCCATACATGGGAATTTTTGGTTGCAGCAATTCGAGAATTATCAAAGCGAGAATGATCGGTACAGTTAAAACATGTATACCGTGAAGAGAATTTTGCAGTTGATTCATTTACAGTGTTGGTAGCGAATAGTCCTGGAGGATTGAGTTGGTTAGAAGAGTACCACCTCTGCTTTAGACCATGGCTGGAATATGATATTGTTGGAGTATCTTATCAACGCTCTGTAATAAGTTAGAGTTTTAGACGTTTGCCTCCTTTATTGTACCAAAAAAAAAAATCAACCTGAACATTTATTTTTTATTATTATTATTTTTTTTAAAAAAAAAACATTTTGAAACATTTACGTGGTTTTATAAATATAGTAGATACCAAGGATAGCAAAAACAAGAGACTGTGAAAAATGGGCCAATGAATTATAAGGTACACCTGAGTTCCAGGCTCTCGTCGTATCTAAAGTCTTCTTGCAGATGTGCTCCTCGTGTAACAGTAAAGGTAGGCCCAAATTTACAGCAGGCCAAGGCTAATACTCAATGTCCAGGTCTGTTGGCACTTTGCATGGGCTATGATTAGTTTAAGAAAAAAAAATAGTTTTAGTGGAATGAAAGTATGATTATACTCCTTTGTCCCATAAAAAAAAAATTTCACATTGAGTTTTGTAAGTCGTATTATTAAAAAATATTTGACACTTCTAAATAATTAACTTTAATCATCAAGAAAAATATCTTACTTGCTCATTTTTAATTTATTTGTACTATAACTTTAGTTTAGAATAATGGATATTGCTCAATACGGAAAGTCATATTGTCTGTTAATGAGCTATAAATTTAGGCATAAAACCAACTATTAAAAAGGAAAATATAAAATTTAAATTGATGCGAGTTTGGTCATTTCTTTTACCGAATCTTAATTTTGTAAATTTATTATTATTTTTTTTTAACAATAAAATAAGGCAAAAAGCTTACATACAAGTATATTTCGGATATGTCACTCCAATCATATCATGCTCTCTATTAAGGTTTGACATCCAATGGTACAACAACAAGTTATTGTAGTTCACCCGATTCTTGTGCCGTCAATGAAGGCAAATAATCTATCACAAAATTTACTCCTCAAAAGACATATCTAAGTTCGACGCCCAATCTCGCTTTAGTAACTTGCATATTTCTATGTTTTAACTAACTTGCATGCAGCCATAACAAATGGAAAACTCTCTAACTCAACTACACGGCTATCGAGGTGGAAAAATTATTGGGTACAACTATTGTATCCTGGTTTTTAATGCAGTAAGTTCTAGCACCCCCTATTTTAGTGATATAACTCTCGTAGAAATTATCTCTCTCCCCCTAAAATTATTACTTTACCCCTATTATTGTGTGTGGCTGCACAATCTTACGTAATACAGCAGCTGCACTGAATAATTTCTCATCGGGATGGGTCCCGATTAAATCGGTTAGGCTGGCTTACCCAATCCGAGATTAATAATACTTATAATGTGTTACTACCTGTAAACGATTGAATTCATGAATTTGTTATATATGTATATATTTGTAATTATTTGTGTTGCATCATTTCTGAGACATGTATAGTTTACAAGTACAAGTGTAGATCAATCTGGTTTTCTATATGATAGAGATAAAGGCAGAAAAGGATCTTCATTTTTATTAGTATTGGTGAAAGGAAGAGCCGGAGAGATAATGCTACATACAACTTTTAGTCTCTAAAACCATATATTGATATCCCTTCTAGAGTTCTAGTTAATTAGTACATCTACGATCTACTACTTCATCAAAATTCTTCATTCCAATCTTTCCCGTTTCACTTTCTCCCACATTTCTATGTACTAGTACTACAACATTCGCATTTTTTTTGCCCCCTTCAAGTACTCAAGCTACCGCTAATTTCCAGACAAAAATGTAAGCATTGATCCACACATTGAGCGTGTTTTGTCCGGGGGCAGAGGATAATAATACAAGGTTAATTAATGTTCCATGGGATTTGGATAGAGACATCTATATATAGCTATCTCAGCTAGGCCATCAAGTTTTTCAACACTTGAGATTAATGGTCAAATCGGTAGTGTTGTTGTTTCCGGGATGGTCCACTGGCCAGCTTGACCTCCCAAGAGTGAACTCAAGGTTGAGCAATGCATGATCAGAAGAAGATGCCAATGCTGACCTAGTTGTTGCAATACTACTACTATTACTCCTACTCTCTACCCCGAGTCCTAGCTTATTTTTATTCTCCATCTTTTCAGACGTATGTTGAAATTTCTCCATTGTTCCGCCACCCTGCGACAACCAAATCCCAACAATATTATTAGGAACAAAATCAACATTTTTTTTTTTTGAAATAAAACTTTCTTAGAAATTAACCATATTTATATACTACCTTGGGTAGATTGTTTGTGGGTCCAAGTTGGTAACATGAGTTGAATGGATTTTGTTGATGGTCACTTAGGCGGCGCCATGTGTTTGTTTGGCAAGATAATGCACACGCAGATGATCTGTTTAGCAATATGTCAAAATAACCCAAGTGTTAGAATAGAACGAATTGAAGATTTTTGTCAAACTAGTTAGAGATATCTAGGCTTGAACCAACTAAGATTGACTTTTTTTTTTCTTCTTCTTCTTTAGAGTGGCCTTGGGAACCGTAAAAATGACCATATGAAAAAGTGTTGTACAAAACGATAACATAAAGCAAATTATTGCATTAATGAGGGGAGTTTTAATGTTATATGCGAACTAAGGATTGAAATTATTGATGGAAGGAATAGAATTCGTTGGTTGCATTATTCACAATGTTGAAACTTTGAAAGACAACAAACATGTTTGACCAAAAAAAGTTCCAGGCTCTAGGCATCTATTTCAAGAAGACTGTGTGACTGTGGGTGGCTAGCCTGCGCCCTTCTTAAACTTCTTCTTCTACTAAGCATTTATTAGATTCCTTCCATACATTAATCATTACAAAACTGCCAAATATCTCAAGCTTCTTCTGCTTGTATGAAAGAAATAAATAACTGCAGAGAGTTTGCAGATTGCACTAACACTCACCTGTGAGTAGCATTTTGTAGTGTTGTAGGTAGTGATGATGATGATGATGATGATGGAATTGGAGTTGATGTTAGTGGGTTCACTGAATTATATGGAGGAGGATTTGTACTAGAATCAGCCTTGTGATCATGATGATGTTGTTGTTGTTGTTGTTGTTGTTGTTGTTCAAGGATTCCTGTACTATTCCTTTGGCTTAATACCACCATATCTGTCTGCCCTTGCTCTGCTAAAATACAGAATGATGGAGTAAAATATGTGTTAGCTTTATCAGACAATTTACCAAATTATTCACATGCACATTATGTTATGATTTCCTAAGTTCAGTTTCATGACAAAACAAAAAGCTTGGGGGAAAGAAAGACAGTATTGGAAGTGAATGATGAAAAAATGTACAAAAAAAAAAAAAAAATGAAATTGGGGGGGTCCTCTCAACTCAAGAAGAGAGGAAAGATCCAATGGTTTAATTACCTATCGGTCCTGCTGCTATTCCTTTATCAGTGCTCTTCACTGTTCTGTACATCTGCATGAATGAAAGCCCACACAAAAAAGATTATCATCCAAAAAAAAAAAAAAATCTAAATAAATTCGGCATTACACTCTAGATGCCCTTTTGTCCTAATCTTTTTGTACTTCTCTTCTTCCCATCATCACCCCACTACTATTTTGCTCTTACAAATGTTTCATATCAGTAATAATGCATATAAGACATTCAAAAGGCCTAAAATCAAAAAAATGTCACTCTTTTTTCTTTTTGTTTGTCAAAGGGGTTGTTGATTGAACATAGTACTAATCCCACACACCTGCAAATGGCTCTTGACGTGAGCTAGGGTTAGATCCTTCACGTTCATCAACTCCAGCACTGATTTTGGTGTTGCTCCTGCATTATCATTATTTATTCAACATCAATTAATAATCATCACTTAGGTACCGTTTATATATATAGCTATAAAGTGCATTTGATAAAAGATCTAAAAATGACCCATTTTCCTAAAACCCCTCAAAAACAAAATGCTTCTTCAAGAAAATATAATAAGAATTAAAAAAGGGAAGTTCTATATCAAAAAAAAAGCATACGTTCATGGCCACCAAGAAGCTGAACTGCGTGAACAAAATGAGCATGAAGAGTTGAAGTCCATCTCATTCTGGGAGCTCTAACGCTTCTTTTAAGCCCATTATTCATCATCATCCTTGATGATGACGAGTTTCTCTTGAAATCAGGCCCAACTATCTGTGGTTGATAATTGTGAAAACCTTGAAAATGTCTTCTTTGTTGTTGTTGTTGTTGATGGACCGGTCCCAAACTGCCCATATCCAAACCTAAACTCAAAGTTGGATCAACAAAACCATAAGAAGCACCAAAGTTCTTCTGATCAAAATGCCCATTTTCATGGCTCAAATCGCTTCCGCAGCTGCCGGAATCCGTGGTGGTGGAGCTCCGATCACTGATGTTGTAAGAGTTCCTCATCATTAACCCCTCGTATCCCACTTCCTTGTTGTTATAAAGATCAATGCTTTTCAAAGATGGAGGACTTATTTGCAAAGAAAGATCAGGGAAATATGCAGCAGCTGATGTACTATTATTCATATCTCAAGAGACTAATGAAGAAAAGGATTGGAAGGAAGAGGGAAAAAAAAAAAGAGAAGAGTGTAACTTCAATACAAAGCTGAAGTATAGAAATAAGTGGGTGAAACCAATCAATTATAGGAACATGAGTGCCTTATGATTTTCTTTTTCTTTCCCAGAGTAGTACTGTAATGAAGATGAAAGGGAAAGAAGAAGCTACCCAAAATAGGCTTTTTTTTTTTAAGTAGGTGACTCTAACAACACCATATATATGTATAAAGAGATGGATGGTTTAATTGAAGAAGAGGGAGTTTTGCAGTTAAGTCAGAAAAATAATGCAAAAAAGGGATTGCATTTAAACATGCAGAAAGGCCTCAAAAAGTTGGAGAACTTTTTTTTTTTTTCCTCCTCTTCTTTGAGAGAAAAGAGAAGTAAAGGTGATGTTCTTTTGTAATGGAAAACAGTACTAGTATATAAATATATGGCTGGTTGGTTGGGAATCGGGTCGAGTAAATGGGGAAGTGGTACTGTCCAATGGAATATTGGAAACGGAATTGGGTCCTATTTCCTGAGGATGGATCGTGACCCATTTAATTCCATTCTCTTTTTGTTGTTTTCTTACACTACTAGTGTAATATAATAATAATGTAAATATTTGGTGCTGTGTTTTTTTTGTTTTTAAGATTTCAATGTTCTTCTTCTTCTTTCTTCTTCCTCTCTGATCTTTTAGAATATTCCTAAGCTAACGATGTTTTTTCACGGAAAAGGGGCTCTCACAGTCTCACTCGCTCATGCAGATGAAGGCCAAAATATCCTTTCCTTTGAGTGTGTGTGTGTGTGTGCGTGTTTTTTTTTTTTTAATTTTTCTTCTGTATATTAAGTCCCCACTCATTTTCAGTACGTTGTGATGCAAAATGCACATTATGTCAGTTTTTTCTTTTGTTTTCTCACTAGTGAGTCTGTGAGTGTGAGACTGTGTGTGTGTGTGTGTGGCAGCGTCAAAGCTGGAGTTTTACATGTTCATTTGTCCAAAATACTCCATAAATATTGTTGTCAGCCAGCTATCTACTACTACTACTACTACTGTTTAATTTATTTGTTTGACCATGGAGTTGGTTTTTTTTCCTTTTCCTCCCGTTGATTTTTTCTTACTTTGTGTGAAAATCTTTTTATGCTCTATACCAGTAATTGATCAGTGTCACAGATTTTGTAGACAAGAGCACATTTGAAAATCAAGGTGGATATCTGTTTTGGAATTTGGGGATGAAACATTTATTTCACTTAATTATGAGCTGTAAATTTTGGTTTTTCTACTAGTACTTAATTTCGTGAAAATCTTTCGGTCAAGACAGCCTTTTATTCTGTGTTTGGAATTCGAGAGATATATAGAGGTTCGGCTCAAATTCGTTATAGTTAAAATTAATGGTTTTTTTAACTGCAAAGAGTAATAATGCATCGGAATTTTGAAAGGAAAAAAAAAAAAAAAGGCAGGAGGAGGCCGGTTAGGAAGGCATAAAATGTCTTGTTTCCGGAAGAAAATGTAACTACAAAAGCCTTTGGTTGTGTTCTGCTTTTTCTCCCCATATATTTTGGATGAAATGACATGCTTGTGGAAATTCCAGGAAATTAAGGTAGAGAATGAATGTTATGTATAGCACCAGAAGTTAAGAGCTTCCTCGACACAGAATTCTCTCAGACCCACATGTCCTTTTTGACTTTTCAAGTTTAACATAGTCCCTAGTCAACAAAACTGTTTTTTTTTTTTATTCCCATTATATTAACATTTTTCTTAAATAAATGAAAGCCCTATTTTCGTACCTGAAGAAGTTCACGTACTGTTTTTCCACACGAGCTACTTAAGGATCCGTTTTGAAATAGAAAGGGAGATATATATATATACTTGATTTAGTTTCACTAAATTTGCTAATAAATGTGTATCGATTCATTGTGTGTGATTACAAACGCACTTAATTACATTTCACAATCAAACAATAATGTGCCTAGTTTCTACAATCTAGTCATTGCTTGCTACTAGCTACTAACTTTAAGCAGGTCAATTCATACGTGAAAAATGAAATAAGAAGGAAAAAAAGAAATGACGAGAGTGGGAGTAGTTAAGAAGAAGTCCATGCTCTCTGTATGTAATTAATTAAACGAGGAAGAAGAGAAGAAAACAAAGAAAACAACAATAAGATAATGTAAGTATGAAGAAAACAAACAGGTAGCATTTGTCGATTCAGCGAAGTAAGTTTGTCGCAACCCCAATATTCCCGGGTCTTGGCATCATCAACCCCATCGGGGACTGACCACCACCACCGCGGACCACCCGCTTCTCCTCCGAGCCCCTCCTTACCGGACTGCGTGAAGCCAAGAATAAAAATAGTGGATGATGTTACCATGTTCGTCGGCGTCAACATTGGGGTTTCCTTCCCATATATCACGTGACTTTGTGGGCGTGACCTTGTCTAGGCCCCTCCCTCTCTATACCCTCCTTCATTCTTTGTTCTGTTTCTCCCGTGTTGTCTTTTCTCATTTTTCATTCTATTTTTAAATAATTGTCACTTTTACTCATAAAATTTGTGCTAAAAATAATTTTTTTAAAAAATAAACAATCATTTCCGACTTGTAAAAATGTCTTGTTTACATTTCTTGTGATTGATCAACACAAAGAGTATTCATCATATTATACACAAGGAGTATCAACCGTGATGCGTTTAGGAGGTTTGAAATCCATTTTTTGCTCTCTTTAATAAGAAGGAAAAAAACTATGATCCAAGTGTTAAACCTATTAGAACCTGTTTGACTAGAATTTAAATTAGTCGGAGCAATAAATTCAGACAATCGATGATGTGTAGTATAAAAAAAATAAAACTGCGATCAATAACGTAGGGAGTACTTAGTAATGTGTCATTCCCTATGTCATTTAATAACAAGAAGCTGGTGTACATAGACAACGTTACATTTTTATTTATTTTTTTGGTTAATTAGTACTACTACTACTTTCCAACGCCATGGTCAGCGCCTGATCCGCTCTAGATCCTCCGGGAAATGTAATCTAATTATTTTTCTATTCCTAAGAGATTAACATATTACTAGTGTACTACTAATTCAACTTTCTCAATCCACTTTAGTAAGTAATATTATTATTTTGGTTTTTTTTTTTTTAACTCATTAGCAATCGTGTGTGTTGGATTGTGGAATGTTGAGATCTCAATCGTGGTTGATAGTAATATATAACTATAAAATAACAACGTTTGATCAGTGTCATCGTGTGTATAAGATTCCAAGTCAACATGCTTCTTCCTGGCTCTATTTCTCCTTTTTGAAAATCCCTTTTTTGGTTAGCCATGCAAAAAAAAAATAAAAATTAATATTACTAACAAGATTAAATTAAATTGGTCTGAAAAGATTGCAAAAATACTGATATATATTCCACATTTATTCTTTGCATTTGTCTTATCGATCCATCCAACTAAGACTTATTCCCCGGTTACAGTCCGTCCTCCCATCTTCCTCTTTTTTTAAAAAAAAAAATTTTCACTTGTCCTTCCTAATATAAGTATATTTCTTTTTTCTTTTCAAACAAATTTTATAACAATCCTTGTTCAACGGCCTTGTTTTTACTTTTGGTAGTTTTGGATGTGTTATAATAAGAATAGTTAAAGTTGAAGTGGGAGATAAATCAACATTCATGATAGACTTGGTTGGAAATGAAAAAAAGGTAGATCAGCTGAGATTGAAATGTGGATAGATACAAGACTTAGACACAAATTTTTTGTATTTATCGATATTTTCTTTGGATTCAACGGGATTGGGAAGATACCAAAGATTATACTAATTCACAGTAATAAGTCGTCAAACCGTAGTTAGAATACAAATTATTATCTTCCAGTCACATAATAATGTGTTTACTATTATCAAGTAATGTGCAAGGTGTTTTATTTCCTTAATCGAACCCAAGTAGATGAATTACGGGCTGGGGACTTTGGTAAATATTTTTGTTAGGGTGAAAAATTCTAAAATCCAGATCTTATGATAAATTAAATTCCAAATTAACAAAGAAAACACTCGGTCAGAAGTACTTACCACGTTAAATATATATCCTATTATATTAGAAACAAAAACCTCCCTTTCAAACACCTCATATGATTGCCACGTGGCATGTAGAAAATACTAAATTGCCCTTTTGTCTAACCATAACTAAATTACTAAATCTCCCTTTGCACTTTAAGTGACACGTTTTTTTTTTTTATTTTTTCTTTATGTTTCATTCAACTAGAGTGGTTTTTTAAATTGAATTGATCAATTAGGTTTTTTGTTACAAAGTGTCAATTTTGTTTTAAGCGTATACCCTTCGGATGAAGCTTATTACAAAGCTATTAAAAATCTCCAAAACTAAGTATTGATTTGACACGACCAATGGAGAACATCAATAAATCATCTTACTAATATTTAAATTTATTAGGATGCTTTTATATTTTATCTAACATTTACTTCAACACATATATTCGATTAAGCTATTTATATTTAATAAGTAACACTTATAAAACATTTCTAAAATATACATGGCGAAATACAATTTTTTTTTTTTTTGCGAAATACAAATATTTCTATGATCACACTTATAAAACATTTCTAAATCCTTCAAAAATTTCTAAAATATATCGCTTCAAATACAAAATTTTATTTTTTTCAAATATAAACATTTCTAAGATCTACAGATAGACTGGGCCAGAGTCACGCATTGCGCGACCAGACATCACTAGTATATATATATATATATATATATATATATATATGAATATTGAAGCTAGCTGGATATTATGCATACATGATACAACATGCCTGCCTGCTTGAAATGCCAACAGCCAAAATAAAACCTCTTCCATTTCTACTGGTCCTAAAGGTAATGAATGTGGCACCCATGCTCCATCCAAATTCCTACTGTAAAACACTATTTAAAATCATAAGGTTAATTAGTTTCGCAAATATTTAAGTAATTATACATTTTATCCCGTCATTTTTACCAAAATATACTGGATAATTATGGAGAGTTCGAATTTTCAGATGTTTAGAAGAAATTAAATTACTGTTTCATAGTAACCTAAAAAAATAATAATAAATAACATTGATGTTTGATGCTCCCATAAAAAAAGAATAAAAATAAAATCTGAAAAAATTGTTGCACTCTTTTTAACTACCCAGCTTGCAGAAGCGTAGGGGTACAAAAAGAAAACAAAATACAGTAAGAAGAAATTTGGACACGCCAAGTCCAACCATGACGAAGCATTATTAATGACTAATAGCTGAACTAACTCATCTCTGCTCGTGGATGGACGGTCGTAAATAGAGTAGTACAAAATTTGATGAGGTGGTAGTATTAATTAGCAGAATGGATTAAAATATTCATCGAATGCTTTGTCCTAATTAAACACAGAGTGAAACGATTACAGCTAGATGGTCAGAAGAATATTAGTTTCTGCTTAGGATTTCGGAATGTAAAAAAAAAAAAATTAATTAAAAAATAACCACAAAAACATGTTTGCATTGGAGTACTTAGTGATGGGATTTATTCTTAACTTGGATTATACACTACTCCTAAGATAGAAGACAAATACTTACTACTACTAGAAAAAGAAGAAAAGAAAAGGAATCACCGGAATTACCGCCGTTTCGACGG